CCTTTTAAGCTTTTGCAATCAGCTTCAGAGAGAAGTTTTTCGCAAGTACATTAATTTGATACATCAACATCTGTTGCAGAAGCAGTAAGAAGTAAAATGCCTATTATCATCTAAACTCTCATATTGATTTTAATTTAAATAAATAATGAATTTACATATCAATCTGAACTCCTTATCAAAGCAAGATTCATTAATTTTTGAAAATTTCGAATTTGTTTAAATCTGTTTCCTTGAAAGTTTTCTTTATTTTATAAATCCAAAAAAATTAAAAGAAAAATGGTTGACTATTCTTTTTGTCTTTAAAAGAATACAGATATTTATATTTTGTAGATATTTTTCTTTCATTTAATTTAAAAACGTATTCATTTTCTAATAATAAAATATTGTTCTTCAATTCAAAATGGATTTGAAATCATTCAAATGGATAATTCACTTCTCTATATTAAGGTAATAACAAATTACTTAATTCTAAATAAAGGATGTTATTGTAAATCATAAAATGAATAACCTAACAGTCCTTTTTTAGTATATTTAATAATTATATTTGAGATTTAATTTAATAAATGAGAATTTATAGTGGATATTCAAAAACACAATGATTGATTTAGTCATTTAGCAAAGCATTATTGAATACGTATCAAATAGAATCTCTCTAATATAGGTATGACTCTATGAATTGAAAACATTTAAAGATAATAATTTAATAAAAATAGAAATATTATTTCTTCGGATTTATCAAACAATGCATATCCAATCATCTCTGTTTATAAATCTAGTCTTTTTCATTTAAATAATATATATTATTATTTATATTAATGAAAATAAGTATAAAGTAATTGAATTGTTACTTTTTAATTTATCAATCCTAATAAGGAATCAAATAGATGAAGTCTCTATTCCAATAAGTGTCAGAGAAGTATAATCAAACATATATATTCATTTTCATGTATTTTTAAGTAATAATAGGATAACTATCTGTACTACGATATTTATACTTCTACTCAAATAAACAACCTAAAATATATATAAAATATGACTTAAAAATATTATAGATGACTAATGATTTCAAAATAATGAAAAAAAGGATGCATATATTATGATTTCATCCCTTCAAAATCAAGACTATGATCAATAATCTTAAACTGGTTATTTCAATTTTTAATCGACTCACAAATATAAAAATAAATAATAAGTATTTTCATTTATATATTCAATAATATATCAATTCTTATATTATTACTTTCTTATAACTTTAGTAACAATGTATTATTTATGATTATTGACTTTCTGTTAAAGTAAGAATCAATTATTTATTGCTTTCATAAATAGTATATTTTAATTTATTTATAAAATTATGATTATAATCATAAAAAAATTAATCATATTAAGAATTCTTAAGATATTGTCATTCTAATAGGATAAAAAAAGTAAAATTTTGAATATTCATTTTTGTCTATTCTTCTAATATGATAAATAAAAAGGCTTTCTCTTTAAATAAATAAATAGTTAATTAATAAAAATAAATTAATATTATACATCTAAAGTTAATTATATTAAAGTTGGAATATGATTACTAAATAGATTAAAATATTTGAAGTAATTATTTTGTTTATTATATATTTATTTTTAATTTTTTCAATGAATATAATTAGTATATGTTAATGAAAATCATAATAAGTACAATATATATAATTCATTATTTTTCTACATTTTTAAACATTTTAAACCTTACATGTAACTCTGAAATTATTAAAAATTTATAAACTTCATTTTAATTTTCAATTTAACAATTTTCTGATTACATGTAAGGTTTTTGATTAAATAATAAAATTGATGTGTATATTTTTTGAATCTATAAAATATAAGAGTTTTGTGAAGGAAATATTTAAGATTTATAAATTATATTATTATTAATAAATATTTATATATTTAAAATTAAGATCGGATTGAAACAATATAAAAGATAAATATATTAGAAATTCAGATTTATTCATAATTGGATTATATAGTAAATATATTAATATCTTTTTTCAATTTAACTAAGATAACATTCTTATCTTTTTATTATACCATAATGAATAAAGAATTATAAAAATAATTTATAATATTAAATTATATAGAATATTAACATTATATCATTTTATCAATAAGTTTTGAACTATAATCTTTATTAAAGGGTTTATTGGCTAAACAAAGATAATTATCTTAATAAATAGATTATAGAAATAAAAAATAGAAATTGATATGTATTACGTATATAATTCTATACTTTTATTTTATACTCAAGAATAATCTATATGCATAGATTATATATTAAATTATGATATTCAGTCAATAAGAATGTAATACTTAAACAAAAGAATCCTAACAAATAGAACTCTTTGTAAGTTGTAGAAATTTAGATGATCATTTTATGACCGTTTACGATTCATTTGTTATACTTTATAGAAAGAACAATAATATTTGTATGAATTTGATATAATTGATTAAGGGATCAAAATAGATTAAACTGAAATAATTTAGAATAATTAGAATCCAAATTTTGTAAAGACATTCTTGTTCAAATATTAATTTTAAGTCTAGTAATATGTGAAATTGGAAGTTCATAATTATATAAGTCCAATATAAACATAAGTATTAATTTAAACTATTATAGATTATTGGTTAAATAGAAACAACAATAGCAGAAGTTATAGGATCTAAAAACTAATTATATAAAGCTAATCTATACAATTAAAATGGTAGGAAAAGTGGATAAATTATCTTAAAAGCTGATTAAGTAAAATAATGTAATGAAGAATTTTGTATTTCTTTATCAGGATTTAAGATAAAAGGTATTAAATTATGGTTTTGGAATAAAATCCATCCATTTCTTAGATTTTATAGACTAAAACAAAATGTTGATATACCTATTTTAGTTTATGAAACAGAATTTATAAAAGATATATCTTATATTTAATGGAAAGATATATAATGTTAAGCATAAAAGTTATGTAATGGAAATTATTCAATGTAAATAAAAGTTGAATTATGGAATTATAAAAAATCTGGTAAGCACAAATATATTGGAGAAACTTCTTTTTGTATTAATGAATTAATTGAATCAAATAAAATGAAAAAAATATTGTAAAAAGAATTCATATCTAAATTTAAAATGATAAAATCTTTAGGAATTCTTTAATTTGATAGATTTTCAATAAGATCAAATTATACTTTTTTAGATTATTGTGCTGGAGGTTAATAGATTAGTATAATGCTTGCTATAGATTTTACAGCATCAAATGAAGATTCTCATAATCCTAATTCACTTCATTATATACCTTAAAATGGTTCACCTAGTTAATATTTATAAGCAATTATTAGTGTTGTTGAAATATTAATACATTATGATCATGATAAAAGAGTTCCTTTATATGGTTTTGGATGTAAACCAAAAATGAAAAATTATAATACAAATTAAACATTACATCTCTTTCCTTTAAATGATAATCCTGATGATCCAGAGTAATTATTATATATATTTTAAGAGTATATGGATTAGATGGTATTGTTGAATGCTATAAAAATTCATTGCATAAATTACATTTTGATGGTCCAACATATTTACATCCAACATTATAAAAAGCAATGGAAATGGCATAAAATTGTAAAGATAAAGGAAGTGAAAATTATCATGTATTATTGATTTTAACTGATGGATAAACTGATGATATGTTAGAATCTATAGATGATATAATAGCTTCATCTTATTTACCATTATCTGTAATTATTATTGGTATAGGGGATGCTAATTTTAAAAATATGATGATTTTAGATAATAATAACAAAACTATGGTAGATAGTAAAGGGAATAAAGCTATTAGAGATTTAGTTTAATTTGTTCCTTATAATCAATTTAAAAATGATCCAACTCAACTATCTAAAAAAGTATTAGAAGAATTACCTATATAATTAGTAGAATATATGAAATTAGTTGATATTCGTCCCAAATCTCCAATAGGTATATTTAATTATATAATAATTAGTTTCTCCATATTAATTATCTAATTAGGAAATTGAATAAAGTTCTATTTAATTAAAATATGAAAAATAAAATACTTTAAAATAATAGTAACAAGAATCAGAAATTTTAAATAATAGATTGAATATTTAAGATTAATTATTTAAAAATAATACAATTACAATAGAATGTAAATAAAATTACTTATTAAATGAATATAATTAGTAATAATGAACTATTATAAATTAATAACTCTATTATCATCTTTATTAAAGTTTAATTATTTATATATAACATTATCTAAATTTTAAATATAATTATGTATAAATAAACAAATATTTATGCTTAAGAATTGAGCAACTTTTTTATTAAAATAAATTATAAAAATGGAAAAATGTTGGTAATAATATAAATTAGTATATAATATATAAATTTTAATTATATTATTAATTAAAATATCCAGACTTAAAGTGTTTGAAAACCAATAAATTTATATTTATTTCAATAATAAATATTAATTCAATCATCATCAACTAATTAGAATAGTTGCTACATATTTAAATCAATGATTCATTTAGCTTTCATTAATAAATGATTAATTCAATTAAAGGTAACTCATATTTTCAATTATTTTTAGATTTATTTCATATTACTTATCAATACAAATCATAATTGAATAAGAATATACATTTTCTAATTGTTTGATTCTTAATAAATTATTTGTAAATGTTAATAACAAAATTAAGAATTTTATCATAGATTTGATAATATTTCCTTCATACTAGTATTATAGAAGAAATACTTTTATATTTTCATTTGTATGAGTTAACTTATTGATTAATTAGAATATGAAAGAGTTAAAATGAAAAGAATTATTTTAACTTAGATGGAATCATAACAATTTATAATATGCTATCTTATGCGTTACTAAATTGCAATACATTTTTCAGCATTTATAAATTGATAATATGTTTTATAAGTCTTTTCAATAAACTTAAACTGGATATCAAAATCGCTTGTCATTTGATTCAGCATTCTCATCATCTCTTATTCTAAATTGAATAGTAGTAATCCATCCATTTCTAACTATCCAATAGAATAGAAAACAAAGTAATCCTTCCAAACTCATAAATTTATAGAAAACAACTGTCATTCCTTCGTATCCATTTCCAAATCCAATCAAATTAGCTAAACACATCATTTGTATTTAGAATCCTCCTCCCAATTAACATAAATAAACAAACCACCACTTTTTATAGAAAAATTCTTTATCAAAGTATTTTTGTAAAGCAATTTCTGGAATTAAAGCTAAACAGATTATCCAAGCCCATAATAGAAGATCTAATTTAAAATCATGCCATAAAGCTACAAAAGAAAATACAACCCACATATTCAAAGATTTATATTTTGTACCTCCCAATGGTACATATATATATCTTATTAACCATTAATTAAAACTTCTATGCCAAGATCTCCAAAATCCACTAAAATTGTAACTGTTATATAAACATCTATTCATATTTTCTGGTGTTTCAATACCTAACATAATACATTATATTACCATCTAATAATGCCCATCCTCTAGCAATTCTCCATATAGTAAGAAATTTATACCATAAAAAGATTAAGTTCATCACACACATTATGTGAAACTCATATGCACTAAAATTCTCAAGGATATGAAAATTTTAGGCTAATTTTGGAATTGCATTTGGATAACATACATGCAAAAATACTTCAAAAGTTAACAAATCCAATATATACACTCTCAAAATGTATTTTAATACTTAAGCTCTATTATAACTTTATTAAGGGATTTTTAATTAAGAATTAAAGGCATTATAACCCATGGATGGTCCTGAAAAGAGAAGAGGCACATAAAAAATAAAACTTAAATATCCAATAAAGTTATATTCTTTTAATGGTTAGGACTCTTCTACTCTATCACGATAAGTCTTGACTATATTAGAACTTTCATTATAATTCTAATCACTATATTTTGAAAGTTAAGATGCCCAAACCTTATCAATAGAGAAACTGATTATTCTTAATAAAATCATATTAAAAACAAGATTCCAACTTACTAATTGATTGTTACTTCTAAAACCATCTAAGAATGCTAAAGATGGAGAAATCATATTGAATTAATATCCTTTAAAGGTTTCATTTGACCATAATGTTAATATGGCCAATATCCATAATGTTGGGATGAAATATTTCATTTTGTAACAAATCTATTATAAAAAAAAAATAAATTACTTTTTGGAAAAGATAAAAAGAGATGATGATCATCATCTAAAATATCATTCCAATATTGTGTAAATAAAATGCATATCCCAATCCAAGGATCATATTATAATACTATAGGTTTCTCTACCTATTTTCTAATTTAGTATTATATTTAACAGTGTAGGACCCTAATAAAAAAATGAATTGAAAAATCATTAATTCAGTCAAATGTCCTGCAAATTCACCCCATTAAGGATCTGAATGGTCTCTCATTATACCAAAGAAACCTATAATTATTGTATTCTTGTACCTTTTTCAGTACCCTCTATATCATTTGATTTACATATGATTGAAAATCGATAAAGAGAGTAGATTTCAAAAGTGATGATGCAAGCCAACGAGATGTAATATGAAGAATCAGAAATATTAAAGGATTTCTTTGTTAGAGGTTGTCTCATAAATATTTTAATAAATTATTATTTAAATTTTTTTAAATCCATTTAATAATCCTAATTTATTTCCTCTTTTTGTCATTCTATCTTACTTAAATCACTTGCAATGAGGCCATTTATTATAATTATTATTTATATCATAAAATTAGTCATCATGAATATCTGACATCTAATAATAAGCCTATAAATGTCCTAATATTCTTTCCATATTATATATGTATTTTTATAATTAAATTTTATGAAATATCCCCCCTATACTTCTTATTTTTTTAACTATAATCATTTAAGAGGATGTTCCACTCAACAATTTTGTATTTACTTTTTTTTTTATAATTAATAAATCTAATCATTAACACATCAATCAAATTTATTAAAAATCTTATTGGAAATATCTCATCTAATGCTTTATAAATTTAATCATATAAGCATTTCATTAATCTAATATATAATAGCTGATTATTGTTTTATTTGATCATTATATTTAAAAATTTTAAGATCTATATTCTTTAATTGCTCATTCTCTCATTACAAATACATATCAATAATCTAATATATATATCAAAACTAAATGAGTAAACTAATAATGTAAATATCTGAGATTACAATTTGAATATATTAGATTGATGTCTTTAATTATTGTCTCTCAATTTCTTCTTGATTCATATATTGAAAGAGTAAATGAGAAATTTTCATTTAATATGTGGAATAAATAATTCTCAAGCCAAAATTTATTGTTCACATCTATTATTATTATTACATTATATATAATAATCTAAATTATATATAATAACAATAGTGTTTCAATCATTTTATGTGTTATAATCTTATAAGACAAATATAAATTGATCAAATCAAGTATATTAAGTAATCAACTTGTTTATTCTTGAATGATGTGTATTAATTTTAAAAAGATCATAACTACCGTGTTGATGTTAGATATTGTTTATTAAATATTTAATATAATTTAAGAAATATTGGAAATGAATAATAAGTTCATAATGAAATGTATATGAAGAACTTTAAATTCTTGTAATCAATAATTAATATTATTTATAAATATATTATTTATAAAAAGGATATTTTAATTTATCAATATTTATAATGTAAAAATTATATGAATTTAACACTATTATTATTTATTTTATAATAAATAAGACAATAATATAAATCTACTTTTCAATGATATATTTATCAAAATCAATATATTTTGAATTCTATATTTTAGAAACTAAATTTATAAATTTTTAATACTATTATTAAAAAAATATTAGTTTATTTGATACTTTGTAAATCTTTAAATAAATTGCATAAATAGCTTATCAAAAGAGAATTATGAGAATTAATTATTAATCAAAATATTTACTACATATCTGAATTCAAATATCAATAATTTAATTAAAAATGTGAATAATTGTATTCTATTTAAATAAAAATAATATAATCATCAATTAAATTTGTTTTTCAAGAAAAGATATAATTCTTTAATTTTTTTCCATATTGATTCTATAAGCTCTTTTATTAGGAATATCAATTACAATAATATAGATAAATAAATACAAACTCCAATAATCCATCCTAAAATATAAATATTATCATCTTGAACTATTTGATATTAATCCTGAAAAGCAAAAATAATGGTTATACCTACTATAATACATATGCAAAAATCAGGTATAAAGTTGAGAATATATTATTATCTATTATAGAATGGATTACATAGTAATAATAAGATTATGTTTAAGAAACAAGATAAAAAACAAATACTTGTTTAGTATATTGGAAAATCATATAAAAGAACTGTTGCTGCAATAAATATAGTCTTCCTTAACATATTCACAAATGAATAAGTCATAGATATTTTGGAGTTAGTTTTTATATCTTCATAAAAACAACTATATCTTCTACTAAAATAATGATTATCTAATTTCAGATGATGTTAAACTGAAATTGAGTAGGATAAGTGAATCAATAATAGTACAATTCCAATAAAAGAGGTTGCTAATATGATATTAATTTTAACAATTAGATTAGTAGCTGTTTATTAATTAGTAATTTATAATACAATTGCCAATAGAATATCCAAATAACTTATTTATAGAGTCTTTAATAGATTAGCAAGAAATGATCTTTCATAATCAATACATGAAAAGTAAATAGATTTGAGTTTATTTGGAATTTCATAAATGGAAATTTAATTATTAATTTTAGATTCTTTTATTTAATTTTCTTATTTAAATATATCAATGATGTTATTCTATAATTAAAAGATTTAAGTTGATGATTGATTTTTGATTTTAATATTTTTTTTAAACAAAGTCTACATTACTTTTCTAAAAAGAAAACAAATTATATAAGTAATAAGGACTTGTAATAAAAAAATAATAACAATTTAAATATTATTAATAAATAATGGGTCAACATCTTTTTCAGTAAATTTAATTTAAGCTTAAAAGTAATATTCATCAGAAGGTTGATTAAAAATATTAAGTTATGGAAAATTAATTAGATTACTCCATTCAGCTTATTAAAAAATGAGTCTAACATTTTCAGGATAATTTACATTTAAGAAATAAAAATTATTCATCCAACTCATAATATCTAGAATAGCCCAAATAAATTTGAAACCTCCAATAAGTAATGCTAATGGAGCAAATACAACAATAGATGATGTTAATGATTTTGATACTGCAGCCATAGTTTTTCCTTACTCTTTTTAATCTTCATTTGCATACACTTATCTTTTTGGAACAATAATAATTTCTTTTATTGGTATTTCATCTAATATTCTTTTAGTAAAATGATTTTTGAATTTAATAAAGATATGAATAAGATTTAAGTATTCTACAGTTTTAAAATATTGAATAGAAATATCACAATTTAATCCTTATTCATTTATTGTATAGTTGTATTCTGATTGATTGAAAAGTTCAATATTAATAGTAGTTCCAGTACAATTGATAGTATCTTAGAATTGTTCAGCATATATAGAAAAATCATTATTACTGGAAGTTTGTGATTAAACTTATATAAATGGTTCATTAATAAATGATAAACTTATTTAATCAAACAAATATCCAGATTCAATTTAACATTTATTATTGCATCCATCAAAATCATTAATGTTAAGATCATCACATTATTCTTACCCATTAATAATACCATCTCCACATTTTGTAATACAATCTTAAAGTTCATAATCATAATATAATCCTAAATTTTAATTACAATCTTTAAGTTGATAAAATGATGAATTAAAAATAATACAATTCTTTGGAGATATTATACATTCAATACAAATCTGATCACATTATGAACAACCTTAAAATGAATCAATATAATATCCATCTATACATTTTTAACAAATTTACTTTTAATTTTATATTATACATTATTTACAATTATAATCTGAACATCTTTCACAAGATTAAAATAATAATTAATTTGTATAATAACATATAAATCCATCTTCTTATTAACAATTATAACAACCATCTCTAGGTGTATTATTCTAATCATCACATTATTCTGTTAATATATTTAAAATTCCATCTCCACAAGTAATTATGCATTAATTTTCTTCAAGTATAAATCCTTCTTTACATTTCATACATATTCCTTCAATACATTCATAACAATATTCATTACAATCATACTTACATTAATAACATCCATCAAATTATATATCATTTCCATCATCACATTATTCTTCAATTACTATAATTTAATCTCCACAAATAGATTAACAACCTAATTGATTTTAAATCCATCCAAATTCACATTAACATTAAAAACATCCATCAAATTCTATATCATTACCATCATCGCATTATTCATTATCAACTTTAATGTAATCTCCACAAATAGTATTCAAACATTCTTAATTCTCATTGAAATAATATCCTTATAAACATAATTAACAAATAGATTAATTGCAAATATCACAATTTAAATAGATTTCATTACATTTATAACATCCTTATAATAAATTATTATTATTATCAAATACTTACACAAAATGTAATTAACATTAACATGAATTATTAATTAATTCAGCTAAAGGATCTATACATGATAAACAAAAGTCATAATTATATTCACATGTACTACAAGGTTCTTAACATTATGAACATTTTAAAGATGTATCAATATAATATCCATATGGACAAAAACATCCATTATTCATAAATTCATAACTTAAATCTATACAATTTAAACAATTATCACTATCTATTTAACATTCCTAACATTAATTTGCACATTTAATGCAATCATAATCTTACATAAAATATCCTTAAGGACATCTACATTCTTAATTCTCTAAGTAAATTAAACTTATTTAAAAACAACTAGTGCATTTATTTACATCATTAGAACATTCTAAACATGGATATTTACAAGGAGTACAATATTATAAATTTGTTTTTGATATTCCAAATCCAGTATTACAAATACATTAATATTCAATAAGAGTTGAATTTGGATCAGCACATTCTAAACATTTATCAGATTAATCTATGCATTTACTACATTGTAATTAACATTATAAACATTTTGTATTTTCATAATAATATCCAATTGGACAATCACAAGAGAATGAGCCAATCTCCAATTATAATGTTGTGTCTAAACATCTTAAACAACTCTAATTATCACAACTTTAACATGTGTAATGACATGGAACACAATTTATATTATAATAATCTAAATAAAAGCCTTCTTTGCAAATACATTATTTATTCGAATTAACATATTAATTAGTATCTATACAAGTAAGACATTCATTTATAGCATTTTCACAACTCTCACAAGGAGATTAACATTATTGGCATTCATTATTATCATTTTACAAATAACCAAATTTACAAACACATTTTCCATCATAGATTACTTGAAACTCGTACATGCAAGAAGTACAATAATCCACTCTGTAATCACATGTTAAGCATGGAGTCTGACATAATTCACAATTCTCTTCAATTAATGAATATCCATAATCACAAACACATTAGAATATTTCATTTACCACCTGATTTTGAGGAGCACATGTTAGACATTTACTGGCAGATCCTTAACATGATGAACAAGGTAATTAGCAATTGACACACTTATCTATTTCTTAATATTAACCAAAAGGACATTTGCATGTTGTCTCAACCTGAATTAAACCTGGTAGACACTCTATGCATTCTTATTAATTAGTGCATTTTAAACAAGGAAAAATACAAACTTAGCATTATTAAGTAAAATCTAAATAGTATCCATCTTCGCAAGTTTAAATTATATTTTATGAAGTACATTAATAAGTAGATGTGTTCATAATATAAGACTCATTGCACTAACAAGTAGGAGTTGATTAATTAATACTGTCCACACATATTGTACAATTTGTTGAATTAGAACTACATGCTAAACATGGTTTATCACAAGCTATGCAGACAGACCCTTATTAATAATACCCTTAATAACATGTTATACACTCAGTTTAAGTTGGTGTTGCTAATATTCTAAATCCACCTGATCTATATAAGATTCTTGAAGCACTGCCACTTAATCCTTAACATTTTTAACACCCATTCCCACAAGAATAACAACTATAACTTGATAGCATATATCCTTCTTTGCATAATGAACAACCTTTATTAATAATTTTTGATTACTAGTATTACTAATACATTCTTTGCATCCTGAAGAACAGTCTAAGCATAACAAACCTGAATTATATTGGCCTTCTATGCATGTTAATGTTGCTAATCATATCAAAAATGACACTTACATCCTAGTGTAAGATAACAAATCGATAAAATGAGTAGTATTAGTTTCTTGTTCTTTCTTTATTCCATATATACTTAATTAAAAGATTTAGTTTAAATGTATGTTTGATAATTAATTTAACTTAATATTATATAAGTAATTTACAGATTCTTATTAATTATATTTTTGTTGAGAATCTACTTCTCTTTTTCTATACTAAAATACTTCTCTATCATATACTTTATAATCATATTTTTATTTAATTTAATAATTATTGTTTGTTCTATTACTGTTTTAGAATACATATATAAAAAAAGAAGATTATTTAATCTTTATAATGATTGAACTTTTAATAAATAAAACTCAAAATATTTAGCAATCATATTATTCATAAATTAAATTTTATTATATTTATATATTAAGTTTCATTTAATTATTTTCAACAAATTAATATCATTTCTTAATATTGTAATAACATTAAATTTGAACACAGCTTATGGAGAAATTTAAAACAAGAGATAATATACAGTATATATTATATGTACAAGATCGTCAATCATATTAAAACATAAATTAAAAAACGTATATTAAAATGATCTTTATTTACATAAATCAAATAATGATATATTAATTAATGTTTCTTTATTTTCTTATATTTTTTACTATAATTGCTGCCTATCTAATATTGAGACCATTACTTATAATGATCAAACTAAAAGTTCAATTTGGTAAATAAATCTATTTTTATTACATTCCTATATTGGGTGTCATCTAAATCTATAGATCATCAGCTAAAAAAGGTAATCCTTAATAATGGGTTATTGATATTATCACTAAGCATCCTGAAGTGAAATTAATAGTTTCCAATTCTGTCACTAAACCTGTATTTATCATAGTTGATCCAGAATATTACAAACCACTTTATTAAGATCACCATCTTGTTGTAAAACATGATTAAAGTGGAATTAAAGAGTATATTTTTATTTTAAACACTAGTTTTCTTTTAAGCAAAGGTTTATTGTTTGCAGAAGGTGAAAAATGGAAAGAATAAAGAAATCTTCTTGGTGAACATTTTCTCTATGATAAACTTAAGGATAGAATTCCAATGATGAATTAAGTAGTAAGAGATACAATCAATGATAATTAATTTGTAGATAAAGTATTCTAGTTTATTTGTTCAATAACTGGAGAAGTTGTTATTAGAAGTTTTTTTGGAGTAGAAGCAGAAGGATGGAAAATTAATGGAAAACCAGCATAAATTGAATTAGGTGAAATCTTAAAATCTTTTGTTTTAGTTAGATTTAGCAATTTCTTCATTTATTTTAAATAAAAACTTCTAGGATTAAAATCTTGGGATTATTGTTTAAAAGCAGAAAAATTGATTTTGAATAGAGTTATTAAATTCAAATAAGATCTAAACGAAATTATTTCTAAAAGAAAAACAAAAATAGAAAAAGAAGGTAGAAAATTAGATAATGGAGACTTTCTTGATGTTTATTTAAATAAGTTATCCAAATTAAATGAAAATGAAGATATTATATCTTAATTTATTACACTTTTCTTAGCTGGTACTGAAACAACTGGAGCATTAGTATCAAATTCCTTACTTTTTTTATCAGAAAATACCTCATACTTATAAGAATTAAGAGATGAAGTAAAATCACTTATAAATGATGGGGATATTACAGCAGATATATTAAATAAATTAATTTATATGGAATGTTTCTTAAAAGAAGTCATGAGAATTAAACCATCTGTTGTTCATCCTATTGTAAGATAAGCTAAATCTGATATCTAAATTAAAGATCTATTTATTAAAAAAGGATCCTATATTCTATTAGGTAGCTTTTTGGCTAATATCAATTCAAATCATTATGAAAAACCATTAGAATTCAATCCAAAGAGATGGTTGCAATCAAAACCAATCTAATAAGACAATGGTTTTGTAAACATTCCTTTTGCTGCAGGAGGAAGGAATTGTATAGGATAGCATATGGCCATGATTGAAACTAAAATCATTTTAGCTCATATTATCAGAAAATATGATATAATAAAGAATCCTCAATAATCCAAAGTTAATTGGTTATCAAGAGGAATTTAAACATATCTGCCTGACGATGCTATTCATCTTAATAAATTAGTGTGATATTATTATTTAATAATAATGATTTAATTTGAATGTTAAATAATTACAAAAAGGATAGTATTAAGATAATTTTTTCTTTTAATTAATATACTTTACCTTTTAATAAATATATAAATGAATTATATTTATTCTAAACTCATTTAAAATATTGTTGTAGGAATATTAATTTTAAGAATTTAAATCTATATCAAAAACTTATAATAAGAATGTTTATTTTCATCTATTATAAAATAGACTACATTACTAAATACAAAAGATTTAAATTAGTTTTTATAGTAAATCAGTTAAAGAGATTAATTTATGTAAGAATCAAATACATTAAATCTGCACAGATGTCAGATTTGAATTTGAGTGGTTTGATTCCAAATATACACCAATTTTAAGAGTAAAGAATTTAAAAATATTATAGACATATTGAAATAAATATTGACACAAATAAGACTTATAAAATCTATTATTTTTCATTTTATATTTTGATTTTTGTTAATTAATTTATTACCTTCATTTTTTATTTATTTTTATCATCTCAAACCAAAAGTTCAAACTGTAATTGAAATTTATCAACTTCTTATTAATACCCTTTAATTTTATAATACTATTTATTTGATAATAATTATTATTATAATAATGAATGATTTATATATATGGGAAGAAATTGGACTTTAAAAGAAGGACTTGAAATTAAAAAAAACCTATTTACAAATCCAATTTAATCAAAAAAATAAGAAAATTAAATATATTAAAAATGGAGAAATATTAAGATAGTACATTGATGAAAATGTTGGAGAATAATAAAATAAATTAAGTTTAAAACATAATAACATTATAAATTTGGAACACATTAAATATTTAACTTGGAAGTGCGAATTAAAGAATGATGAAAGGGAATTACATATTGCATATTGGGATGGACGTCCATTAATAGTTGGAGGTTTTTATAATTAAATTGGTTAAAAAATAGAAAAATGGATTGAATTATCAGATTATTTTTGGGAGTATATAAGACAAATATTATAGCCGTTGTGAAATCATCCATTAAGGATATTATAAAGATGGAATAAAATTTGGTTAATGGGATACAATTTTAAAAAAACAAATTATGTAAGAGCTATCAGAATAATTAGTGGAGGAGGCTTTTTTGATGAATTTGGAAAAAAATAAGGGAAATGGATTGAATTGCATCAAAATTTTCATAAGTATTTAAAAAAAAATATTAAAGTGAATCAGAAGTTAAGCTTATAGGAGAATATAAAGATGGTAAAGAATTAGGAAGATGGGATATAATATTCAAGAATAAAATTATGTAAATTTTATTACTTAAATAAATTAGAGGAGGGGGATAATACGATAATGATGGATTAAAAGTTGGATATTGGATAGAACTACATGAGAATTTTTATGAGTATTAATTTTATTATTCAATAGATATTGCTAAGTTTTTTACAAGGGAGAATATGTTAATGGTAAAAAGAATGGAAAGTGGGACTCATATGACAAAAAGAAATTAATGTATTATAGAAGATATTAATATTAGTGGAGGGGGATTTTTTAACCAAAATGGATAGAAGGATGGAAAGTGGATTGAATTGCATGATGATTATTGGCAGTAAAGAATTGTACTAAATTATTTAGATTTTGTTAAGTCACTTATATAGGAGAATATTCTAATGGAATTAAATAATCATAATGGATATCCAAATATTATTTAAAATAATTGTAACAATGATATTTTTAAATTAGTGGAGGGGGACAGTATGATGAATTTGGATAGAAATAAGGAAGGTGGGTTGATTTACATGATAATTTTCATAAGTATTTAAATATAATCAACAATTTTAAGTGGATGTTAAGTTACTTTAGTTGGAGAATATTAAAATAATAAAAAATTGGGCTAATGGGATATCATGTATATGGAATAAGGTAGTAATGAATTTAAAAAGATGTAAATTTTACAACTATTGCTAAAGTGGTGGTGGTATTTATGTTGAAAACGAAATTAAGGTTGGATTTTGGATTGAGTTGCATGAATATTTTTGTGAGTAATTGAAATGTAATATTTTTAGTACCTACTAAATAATATATTGTGGTGAATATAAAAATGGATGTAAAAATGGAAATTTTGATATGAAATTTAAGAAACAATATGAAAATGAATATAAAAAAATGTAATTAATCATATTTTATGATAGAGGTGGAGGTACTTTCGATGAAGAAGGATTAAAAGATGGGGAATGGATAGAATTATCCAAACATTTTTGTTTGTAATTTAAACTAAATCAATATTTTCAAGCTTTTCATTTGATACTTGTATAACTTAATATAAAAATGGAGTAAAAATTAAAATTAATGAGAAATAATGAAGAATAATAACATAATTATATAATGATCCACTAAATAATATATTAAATTTGTAGATCAAAAATTAAAAAAATCAAAAGTATTATAAATATAAAATTGATATAATCTTTAATAAAATAACAATAATAAATATGAAGAAATATAGTATATGCTATTTTATATTGGCTATTTAAATTACATATAGTAGAATAGTTTCTACCTTTTAAATTCTGTTTTAAAAGTATAATTAAATTTATGTTAAGCTAACTGAAGCATTAGAAAAGGGAAAGTTTCAATATCTAAAATGTTGTTTAAATGATTAGGCCAAGATTTATATATTTTAAGGGTTTTTTTATTCTGTTTAATTAGGAATTAAATGAAATGCTATCATTCATAAACCAAAAAATACTAGAGTTTAAGATTGATTAAAGAAGAGTTCGTAAGTATAAAAGATCAATTCTTTTACAAGATTTTATGGCATCAAATGATCAAATAAATATTTTCATACTATGGTGTTGAATATATTAAAAAACAAAGATGACTTTTTTACATTCTACAAATTGGTCAATCAAAATTTTTTTTGAATGATAAACCTAAAGGATGAAGTAATTCAAGGTTTAGGTTTAGTGAAATAATTAACTTAAGCTTGTATTTTTTATATTATTAATATAATTATTATTTGAAAGTGAATAAACATAACCATAATAATTTAATAACCGTTACAAAAATTAATTATCAGATTTTATCAATCTAATGTATTTATAACATCTAATATGTCATTTATAAATAATAATATTAAATCTTCGAATGATGCATATGAACTAAAATACAAAGAATCTGAAACATACTTAACCCAAAGTCTTTAATAATTAAAGAAGTCACATAAATATAAATAATAATGCTATTTAAAACTTTGAAGCCAAACAATAATAATCCATCAAAGAGCTGTTATTAAACTAGATGGAAACAAAGCATTTACCTAAGCATTTTAGAAGTGAACCACTAAATATGGGAGAAATTCCACAAAAAAATCAACAATTTATTCAAAATAACAACAATCAACAATTACCTTAATTGATTCATAATATAAAAAAGAAAAATAATTAGTTGGCTTCATAGTTATAATCAATTGAATAATTTGATATATCCTCTCAAACACCACAACCTCTACATTTAAATATTGTACCAAGTTTTAAACCAAATCAACATTTTGGACTCTTCAATATTAATCAACATGATCAAAATCATAATCATTTAAAACTAATTTCTAATAATTCTAGTTCAAAAAGGAATTAAAATAATTAAAATCTAAATAATCTTCCTTCTATATTTTAAAATCAAAAAATTTTTGAAGAGAAGTACAATAGTAAAATAATATTTGATGATGATGAATATATAGCCCCAATTAAAACTTAAAATAACCGAAAATTACCATCATAAGATTTTAGCTAAATTATCTAATTTGAAGTCAAATCATTATATAATATGAGCAAATTATAAAAAACTAAAGATTAGTACTTACCAGGGATTGTAAGCATATAAACTAAAGAGATGGAAACATAATAGCATGCTAAAAGAATTGGCGTTGATCTTGTATAATTTTATTCTATTCTTTTTAGATTTGTTTGATTGATAGAAGTTCAAGTATGAGGGATCAAAAAATAGATATGGTAAAAAAAACATTAATCATTTTACTTGATTTATTAGAATCTTAAGATAGATTGCAATTAATTATATTTAATGAAGAAGCTGAAAGATTGACTCCTTTGATTTGTGCTACAGAAAAAAATAAGCGTTACTTTAAAAAAATGATTGCAAAAATTTATGCCGAAGGAGGAACATTAATCTCTTCTGCAACTAATTTGGCCTTTTAATAATTAAACTAAAGAAGATATAAAAATAATGTGAATTCAATTTTCTTATTATCAGATGGGTAAGATGAAGAAGCTGTAATGGATATTTAAAATTAACTAAGAACAATTGAAGAAATTTTTACAATACATACTTTTGGTTTTGGAAATGATCATGATGCAGAAATGATGACATAAATATGTAATTTAAAAAATGGTAGTTTTTATTTTGTTTAAGAAATTTCACTTTTGGATGAATTTTTTGCAGATGCATTAGGAGGATTAATATCAGTTATTGCTGAATAAATAGAAATCTCAATATTGTGTAAAAATGATAAGCCATTTTAAGATATTGAAATTTCAAAAACTTATGGTTAAATGTGGTAACATTCTGGAAAATATCTTAAAAAAATTTAATTACAACAGTTATCTTTTGGATCAAGAAAAGATTTTGTTTTTGAATTAAAGCTTCCTAAGTTTTCAAAAAAAATAGAAGATAATTAAAGATATGTAAAAATTATTGAGGCTTAACTGAAATTGAAAGATCCAAATACTGGAGAAAATTTCACTAAGTCAGCTAATTTATATTTAACTTTTTTTAATTCTGATGAACAAATTAATTAAAATGAAGAAGATATTGAAGTTCTAACTTAATTTTATAGAGTAAAAGGAACAGAAGCTATTGAATAGGCAAGGAAAGCTTGCGAAAATAATAACTTTGAACTAGCTAGAAATATTATCGATCATTTTTTAATACAAATTCAAAAAAATAATAAATAAGTTACATCTAAATGTGGCTAAATTATTCAAGATTTAGAATAAGCTAAATAAGCTTCCTAATAGTATTAATATCATTAATACGGATTAAAATAAATGTATTAATTAGTAAGTAATAATTATTAACAAACTGGAATAAATTCTTAATTTTCTATGCATGGAAAATAAGTACAATCGCTTGAACCATCATATTCAAATTAAATGCAATAGAATTTAGTCAGTATAGTTAAATCCAAGAAATACCCTTAAAGCTGTTAATATTGATAATATTTAATTTTTTTATTTTGAAAATCACATTTGTCATTTTAAAAAACAATTAAACTATTTATATTCTATTAATGCAAAATATCTTATAATTTTCTATTAATGAAATCTCAGTTATTAAATTTTCTAATAAGTTATAACTATTCATTATATTATTAGTTGTTTATCAATATTTTAAATCACAATATGTAATTTTTTATTATTGATATAACAAATATAATTTATATAATAAATTATTATTAATATTTTAAATAAAAGACTAATATATTAAATTTAAGAATTTTTTATAAAAAAAATAGGTTGAATAATTTTTAAATTTATTATCGAGGTAAAAATTCATTATTATTCCTTCTCTTTTTTACAGGGTGACAATTATTCATTTTTTGATTAAGTAATGAAATAATTTAGAATTATCTGATCTAAGCAATTTTTCAATTTTATTTACAATTAATGTAAAAGTAGGTTTATTATTGTTATGCTTATTTGATTCTAATCCTTCCTTTTTTCTTCATAAAATAAAAATAAATGTGAAATATTTTTAATATTATTTATAAATTCATCGAAAAATCAAGCATGCTTATATTTTATGTTTAAAGATAAAACATTACTTTTAATAATCTTAAATTTGTATTATAAATTACTATAATATTATTTGTTAATTAGGATTTTCAGTGTGTTTAAGGAATGATCGGATTCTTAATAAAATCTACTAAAGCAATTTGTTTAAATTTTCTTATATTCCCATTTTTTATTCTTTTGAAAGTTATTTGATTATGGGGTATCATATATTGAAAATTAGAAATATTAATTATTTATTGTGAAAATTGCCACATATTACTATAAAGAATTATTTTTTTTTTGAATAATTTTAGTAAAAATTTTTATAGAATTGAAAATTATTTTTAAATTATTGATGATTTTGGTGAATATATATTAAGTGTTCTTATATAAATGGATTATCAAAAGTTTTATACAAATAATATTACTAATACTTATTGCAACTTATAAATTATTTATGAAATTCCAATAGATATCACCCTCCATGTTTATTAGTTTCCCTAATTTTATATAAAATAGTTGTAAGATACTTGAATTAATTTCTTTTCTTGTTTCTTATAAACATATTATTTTAGGATTGTTATTTTTTAATAATTCAAATTTAGTTGGTTTAATTGAGGAGACGTACCAACTAAATATTATTAATTATGATATTAGTGAAAACTAGTTAATTTTTCAGTTTTATTTGACTGAAAACTATTTCAGATTTTATTATACATATTATTATTATTAATTATTTAAAATAGGTATTTAAATAAAACTAGGTTTTGATTATTACTATTCTATTTTTATTTTATTTCACCTAGTTAGAATATTTATTTTATTTAGGTTTTAATCCCTTATGTTTTTAATAAACATTTTGTTTATATGATGTTAAGTTTTTATATAGTCATGTTGAACATTCTTCACAATATTTTGATTAAATACTTAATATTTAATTAGTATTATTTTTTCATATATTTTAAACTTGCTCCACCTCAATATCAGTATATTTATTTGTTTATTTTTCTTTATTTTCATATTCCATATTATCTTATTAATTATTTTTTTATATAAGCTGATTTAAATTTTCACCCATTATTTAAATTAGTATTTAGATTTGATCAGTATCTAAATTAGATAATTTTTGTATTTATTCTTCCATTTATATTAATAATAATAATATTAATAATAATATATTTCATATTTCATCCATTTATCCGTGAATGGATTTGGACCGGAAATGCTACTCTATCCAACCTATTAATTAGTTGAAGAAATATTTATTTAACTTACTACTTCTTCTCTAATTTACTACATCAACTTCTTCTCTCCTTCTTATTAAATTAAACTTCTTGCCTTCTCCTTCATAATTTATAATTTCAACAATAAAAATACTTCATCATTCTGTTTCTATTAATTATCATTTTATTTTGGCTTTTCAATTATTGAGTCAGGAATAAAATAAGGATCTTAAAATTAAATTTAGCTTTGATTATTTTTTCATTTTAATTTGCATTATTGATAGTTTCCATAATAACTGGATTATCATTTCTATTCAAAATTTATTTTGGAGCTAACTGTTGATTACAAAACCTTGATGTAATTTATTCTTTTTTTTTAGTGGGTACTTCTACCAATTCCCAATCATTCCTAATTCATTAATTTTTCCTGTCAAAATATTATTTTTTTTAATATAGACTTACTCTTCCTGCTCAGTGTAAATTATTCTACCTTATTGTGTGTTAATCTTTCTGAGAATGAATATAAATATTTTAAAGGATCTTTAAATTCTAAAATCCTCCATAAGTCCCAAAGAAGATAAAAAAAATTGCATTGATCTGGCAATATTTATAATTTATGAGTTCATTAATATTTGTTTGTTGAGTAGGTAATCTGAAAATATTTCACTTTTATTTTGCATCGCAATTGAAAAATTAATTTTAATAATAATTATATTAATAATAATAATAATAATAATAATATCAATATAAAATAATTATAATATTAAAATTATTGATGCTTAATGTTTAGATTTTTATAAAATGAGAGTTTATAGATAACTCAAATATCAATTTTTTGTTTTTGATGGATTAATAAAAGCATAACCGATATTTTATAATGATGTTATCATAATTTAAATTATAATCTTGGTATTATTTAGCTAAAATTTTAGATCTCAAATACTAATAAATTAATAAACACTAATTCATCTTTAATTAAAATAATTAGATAAATCAAGATGATTTCAAAATCTAAAATAGAATCAATACTAATTTTTTAAATATCTATATTAAAGTTTATGATTATAATTTAGAGTAAAAAAGATTTCTTTCTTCCTGGTGCTTTACTTTTTATAATATATATAAAGAAAATAGAATTAAATCTTATAAACAAACATATATCAATTATTCTGATTATCAGTTCTAATAAAAATTTCATGACTAGGTTATTAAGGAGTGTGAGAATGAAATAATTGATTTATTTTTTCTACAAGCATTTTGAGCTATTTGTATTTTTTTATCAACAATGTCCATTATTAAATAGCATCTATTATTAATTAAATCACAAAAATTAAGCTTATATTTGCAATGCAAAACCAACCAATATTTAATCTTAAATCATCACTAAAAATTTTTAATTCTTCATCTAAGACTAAACTTGAAATCAATACTAAAGAGCTTGTGGTGTTAATTTCACAAGATAATTATTTTTTAAACTCTTTGTCATCTTCAAGAGGTTTACAGAAGATTAAATATAGAGTTTGTAAACTAGACAAAAGAGTTAAGTTAATAGACTATAAAAATGGAGAGGAAAAGCAAAATATGAGAATTTTCATAAATAATAGTTTTTTAACAAGAATAATAGCATTAAAGTATTTGCTATAATTATCTTTTTTAATTCCTTCAATTAATGATCCATACTTCTGTTTATTTTATAATTATTTTTAAGATAATTAAGAGCCTCCACTGATTTTCGTCACAACATAAATAGCCAATAAATAGATTCCAAATGCTATTAAGGCTAAATATGAACTCAATCTGACCAAAATGTCTTTGGAGTGTAATTCTAATGCATATAATTAAAGAGTCATAGAAAATGAATAATCATAAGCTGTAGCTAAAAGAGTTCTAAATATACCACTATAAAAAAATTCTGAGACAATTATGTAACATAATTAAGTTATAAATATTTTTGCAGCTAAAAACATCAATTTAAATTTTATAGTTACATCTTTTACACCAGGTATTTCATTGTAATATTTAAATTTAAATTTTGATAATATTTATGGCACATATGTAGATAAAATATAAACTCCTAGAAATGATAGCCACACCACTAAAATGGATGATCCATTAATTATAAATAAAGAATTTATATCATCCTTTTCAATTTTAGGAGGAACAGGCTTTAAATCTTAATAAGAAATAAAAGGTTCAATCATTCCTTAGAGATTAAAATATTTGGAAATAAAATTGAGTTAAGCAAAACCAAAAAAATCAAAAAATTCTTACAAATTATAAGGCATTTAAGTATTTACATACTTTAAGTATGATAACATTTAAATTGTATCTAACAAATTATAAAAAATATCTAAACCTCCAAATAAGATTGCTCCTCCTCCCATAACAGCCATAACATATAACACATATTAATTACTATTTGTAGCCATTTAGACTTAAGCAACAGATGATTAATCTATAAACATATAATCAGAAATAGCAGTTGAAACTTCAGGCTCTTATTAGGAGTACCCTTAATATGAAATAAATTTGGAAATATTAAGATATTTAATAATTAGTTCTTCTTATTTTGAAGATCTATTAAATTGCAATTCAAAAATGACGGAAAAGTTCATTTTTGATTAATTATTGAATGTAAATGATGATTATTTTTTGTATTAACAATCAATTGGCTTTTCTATTAATTGATTCTTAATATATAATTCGAATTCGTTTTCAATTTAATCATTTTGTGTTATATTTAATAAAAGATTGTATTCTAGTTTAAATTATCTTATATTATGATATAATGAAGTATCTCCAAAGCTGATTAATTTTGGAGTAGGATATTCAGGAGTTATACAAATACCATCTTTACAAATAAATTTCTTTTCTTTTTTACAATTTTAATCACATCCATCACCTGCTAATAAATTACCATCATCACATTCTTCATCTATAGCTTTTAATGAATCTCCACATTTAGAATAACATTTATTATTTATCTAATCAGAATAATACCCATTTTTAGATTCACATAATTAGCACTCACCAAGATCATTTTTTAGATATCTGCAAGATTTGCAATTTGAAGCATTAATATCACAAGTCAAGCATTTTTCTGTACATCTGGCACATTTAGATTATAGTAGAAAAAAGCCATCTTTACATTTAATACATTCTGATTATTTTAAGTTTTCATTTAATTAGCATTCCAAACAATTTTCACTACACTGAAAGCACAAAGAGGGGTTTAGTAAAGTATTTAAACAAGAGTAATTATTGTCTATTTTACAGTTTGAACATCCATCTCTAGAAACATTATTGCCATCATCACAATCTTCACCATAAGTCCAAATAAAATCAGAACAATCTTTATATTTACAATCTTTAATTATTTTACCTTCATTTGAATTACAAGACCAACACTCATTTTAATCATTTTCAAAATACCCTTTTTAACAAACACATGTATTTTTTTATAATATTTTATTTAATTATTGATTACAACTTAGACAATTATTTGAAAGTTAAGAACATGTTAAACAACTTTTGTCACATATATCGCATTTATTATGGGTTAGATAATAACCATCTTCACAAACACATAGATTATTCAATAAAATAATTTTGTTCCAGGAATAGCATTCTGTACAAAAAGTTAAACTATAACAGTTTTTACAAGTAGGATCACAAGGTTTACAAATGTAATTCTCTTCATAATATCCATCTCTGCAAATACAGTTATTATCTATTAGTTAATGATTAATATCAACACAGGAAGTACAAAAATAAGAAGTATTTTCACATGATTTACAATTATTAAAACAGGGAATACAACTAAATGATGAATTATCATAATAGAATTAATCATAACAGGTGATACAACTTGAAGTATCAATGCAGGTTTTACAATTTAGAATACATTAAATACATTCACTTAAGTAATTCATAAAGTAATTATCAGCACATGTAATACAAGTACTAATATCCAAACAAGTTGAACAAGGTATTTAGCATTTTAAACATGAGGTCTCATGTAAATAATATTCATCTATACATTCTGTACATTCAGAATATGAATTACATTTTGTACACACTTTATTACATTATGCACATTTTAAATTAGACAAATAATATCCATCATCACATTAACATTATCCATTAACAACCAATTATTTATCATCATGGCAAGAAGTACAATAATCATAGTTTAATTCACATGTTAAACATGGAGGTTAACATTTTGAACATTTCATCTCTATATTAGTATAATAACCATATTTGCAAATACAACTGTTTTGAATAAAATCATGATTGAGGTCTGAACATTTTAAGCATATATCAGATTCATCAATGCAAGAGGAACATTAAGGCAAACATCTCTTACATTAGGTATCTATTTAAAAATAACCTTCTTAACATAAACATTTATTATCTTAAAGTTGGAATAAACTACTATCTATACAAGAAAGGCAAGTACTTACACTTGTTGAACAATCAAGACAAGGATATTAACAAAATGAACAATTTATTCCTCCATTTCCAGATGATCCATATCCAAATTTGCATATACATTAATTATTTATCAAATCATGATTAGGGTCTAAACATTCAAGACAATGATCATTTGATATTTCGCATTTTGTGCATGGAAGTTAACATTATTAGCAATAATTTGATACTGCAAAATATCCATCATTACAGATACAAAGATTGTTAATTTAAGTTTGATTAACATCAATACAGGTTAAACAATGGTCCTAATTTATTTCACAAGTTTAACATGGTAAAGTGCATTATGAACAATTGTAACCAACTGAGTAATAACCTGGTTTACAAATACAATTATAAGATGAATCAATGATTTAATTACTATCAATGCATGTTAAACATCCATTAATATCACAATTAACGCATGGTGATATACAAGGTGCACATGTATTAACAGTATCTGAGTAATATGTATCTTTACAAATACATTAATAAGAGGCATTTATCACATTATTTATATCAATACAACTTTCACAATGAGTATCATTAACTGAACATGTGACACAAGGACTTTAGCATGCTATACAATCATAATTATTATCATTAACCCAACCAGGATTACAGATACATGATCCTGTAGATACATAATGTTATATATCTTTACATTATGTACAATAGTTTGTACTTCCAGAACATTATAAACAAGGATTAACACATTATACACAATTTACTCCACTCATCAAATAACCAATATTACATTCGCATAAATAAGATGCATTTACTGTTTAATTAATATCGATGCATGTTAAACAATGATCTGGTGATCCTGTACATGTATCGCATGGTTATGTACAAGGTTGACAGTCAGTAGGTGAATGAGCTAATACTTCATATTTTCCAGCAGGACATTCACAAGTATTAAGAATAGTTGTGCTCATCACATATGTGGATGCGCATTCTGTACAATGATTCCCATTTGTTTCACATTTAGTACATGGATGAATACAAGGTTAACATTATAANCATCATGGCAAGAAGTACAATAATCATAGTTTAATTCACATGTTAAACATGGAGGTTAACATTTTGAACATTTCATCTCTATATTAGTATAATAACCATATTTGCAAATACAACTGTTTTGAATAAAATCATGATTGAGGTCTGAACATTTTAAGCATATATCAGATTCATCAATGCAAGAGGAACATTAAGGCAAACATCTCTTACATTAGGTATCTATTTAAAAATAACCTTCTTAACATAAACATTTATTATCTTAAAGTTGGAATAAACTACTATCTATACAAGAAAGGCAAGTACTTACACTTGTTGAACAATCAAGACAAGGATATTAACAAAATGAACAATTTATTCCTCCATTTCCAGATGATCCATATCCAAATTTGCATATACATTAATTATTTATCAAATCATGATTAGGGTCTAAACATTCAAGACAATGATCATTTGATATTTCGCATTTTGTGCATGGAAGTTAACATTATTAGCAATAATTTGATACTGCAAAATATCCATCATTACAGATACAAAGATTGTTAATTTAAGTTTGATTAACATCAATACAGGTTAAACAATGGTCCTAATTTATTTCACAAGTTTAACATGGTAAAGTGCATTATGAACAATTGTAACCAACTGAGTAATAACCTGGTTTACAAATACAATTATAAGATGAATCAATGATTTAATTACTATCAATGCATGTTAAACATCCATTAATATCACAATTAACGCATGGTGATATACAAGGTGCACATGTATTAACAGTATCTGAGTAATATGTATCTTTACAAATACATTAATAAGAGGCATTTATCACATTATTTATATCAATACAACTTTCACAATGAGTATCATTAACTGAACATGTGACACAAGGACTTTAGCATGCTATACAATCATAATTATTATCATTAACCCAACCAGGATTACAGATACATGATCCTGTAGATACATAATGTTATATATCTTTACATTATGTACAATAGTTTGTACTTCCAGAACATTATAAACAAGGATTAACACATTATACACAATTTACTCCACTCATCAAATAACCAATATTACATTCGCATAAATAAGATGCATTTACTGTTTAATTAATATCGATGCATGTTAAACAATGATCTGGTGATCCTGTACATGTATCGCATGGTTATGTACAAGGTTGACAGTCAGTAGGTGAATGAGCTAATACTTCATATTTTCCAGCAGGACATTCACAAGTATTAAGAATAGTTGTGCTCATCACATATGTGGATGCGCATTCTGTACAATGATTCCCATTTGTTTCACATTTAGTACATGGATGAATACAAGGTTAACATTATAAGGAACCATCCATATAAAAACCATCATCGCATATACAAGTATCATTAAAAACTGATTAATTTGCATTAGCACATGATGTGCATTTGGCAGCCAGATCAACACAATTGTAACAAGGTAATGTACATTATATACAAGTGTTTCCTGAAATGTAATAATTGTCTACACAAGAAGTACAAACAATAGATGAATTACAATTTAAACAAGGACTAACACAACTTTGACATACATATGATGAATCCATATAATATGTTTATTAGCAAGAGCATGAGGATCCTGATTGATGTATTTGATCATTACATGTTGTACAAATTGTAGCTGAAGTACAATTAATGCATGGCAATTAACAAGGTTAACAAATAATATTCTCATAATAACCATCATCACAAATACATTAATTACTAGATAAATGTCTATTTAATCCTGTTACACAAGAATTGCAATTAGTAGCTGATGTAGAACAAGTTTAGCATGGGCTTGTACAATATTAACATGTTTTAGGAGTACCACTTAATTCAAATTAATTATTTTAACATGAACATGAATTAGCATTTAAAGTGTAAGTAGCTGCACATGTTTAACAATAAGTTACAGATGTTTAACAAGTAGCACAGGGAAAAGTACATTAATCACATAAATAACTTGATGTATTAATCAAGTATCCTGATATACAATTACATAATGGAGGTGTTTATTTTGCAGTATCCATGCAAGTATCACATGTTGTAACACTTGATGAACATGTTGCACATGGTTTTGTACAAGGTATGCAGACTGTGCTACTCAATAGATATCCATCATAACATTAAGTACATACAGATGTTGAACTACACACCTTGCAATTATTTGGGCAATTATCACAATAGTATGTAGAAGTATTTAGAATTTAGGCTTCTTAACATGCACAAGTTGGAGGAACTTAATTAGTAGTATCAACACAAGAAGAGCAATTAGTATTACTTGATGAACAATTTTAACAAGGCTTTGAACAAGCTGAACAAGCATTAGCATTCAAATAGTAACCATCATAACATTATGTACAAACAGTTCCTGATGTACATGTATCACAGTTGCTGGAACAATTAAAGCACATATATGTGGTCGTATCCATACCCATACCAGATCGACAACTACAAGATGGAGTAGATTAATTTGTTGGGTCTGTGCAACTTGTACAGTTAGTTGCTGAGCTTGAACAATTCTGACAAGGCTTTGAACAAGCTAAACAAGCACCTAATTTTGGATAATAACCACCAATGCACGAAAAACAAACTACAGAGACGCAAGTCACACATGGACTGGTACAACATTTGACTAAATATGAACATATTTATTACTTTAATTGATAATTATATGGAAAATCAATAACCAATGAAAGAATCTTATTATCATTTTCTTTTGTATATTTTTTTAGTTAAGATAAAATAAATAAGAAATATTTTATTTCTTAAACATCTAAACTCTATCAAAGATAAATTTGAAATGAATATAATTTTGATGATGTCATACAAAATACTTTAATATTTTAGCTTATTTATATTTAACTTATAAATAGTATTAAGATAAGAATAATTTACAGTTTAACAAAATGGTTTGACAAAATTTTTTATTCATTGTTAAACTTAAATTATTTTATAGATTTAAGTTTATTGTAATTTAATAAATAATTATATTCTTCATATATATATATATGGGTTGTCTTACTTCCTTTTCAAAAGAAGAAGATATGAGTATAGCTTTGTAAAGTTCTAAGAAACTAAAAATTGTAATAATAGGATTAGAAGGAAGTGGAAAAACATCTATACTTCAATATTTGAAGAATGGAAAATTTACTGAAACTTAACCTACAATAGGTACTGAAATTTGAAATTAGGTTTGAATGTGGAATCAATTCAATTTAAAGCAAGGCATTATTTAATTTTTGATGTTGGAGGAAAGGTTAGAACTTTATGGTCTCATTATTATGAAAATTTGGATGGTTTAGTATTTGTTGTAGATACAACAGATTCAGAAAGAATTGAAATTGTTAAAAATGAATTTAAGAAATTAGGAAGCGAAATTAAATATAAAGTATTTAATTATCTAAAATAGATAGTGTTGCTAATATATTTGAATAAAATAGATTTACCAAGATCATCACCTGTTGAATTATGTAAAGATATTCAATAACAGGAATCAGATATAATAATGTAGAGATGTAGTGCAAAGACAGGAGAAGGTATTTGGGAAGGAATTGATAAAATGAATAAATTATTAGATCATAAATTTTAATAGTGATATAATTTATTTAATGTTTGGATATGTTTTAAGAAGAATGACCAATCTCAGATTTAACTTCTGTAGTTTGAATAGATAAAATCAAGCTAAAACTAATATGAAATCAGCCTCTACTAATTATTCATATACTTTTGATGTAATTAATCATTATGATTAAATTACCAAAATTAAAGGAAAAGGAGCTATTGTATCACTTATGCCTTGTTATGTAAATTAAAATATAATGTAGCCTCAATATTAAGTAACTAAATAAGGTTCAGTAGTTGTAAAGATGAAATATACAAGAAATTATATTTATTTATGGAGATTTTAACCTATAGCAGATATTGGAAAAGAAGTAATGAAGAAATTCATTAATATTAGGTTAATAATAAGGAATCTTTAAATTTCCCAATTAGCTATGAAAGTTGTGGGTATATCTTAGATTTATATGATGAAATATCAACAAGCCCTGAAATAAAATTAGAAGAATAGACTATAAAGGGAAATTTGACATTTACTGTTTAAATTGATTATCCAAATAAAGCAGTTCGTATCTCATTATAAGCAATTGCTTAATAATAGTAATAATAACAATAACAGTAATAATAGTAAGATTAGAAATATGAAGTTCAAATAGCTTTGGCACATTTTAAATTGATTTGTGAATAAATGAAAGTATTTATTTATTATTAATTGATAGTAAGGTCTACCTTTAGTGACAGGATGGATAATTCCTGAAAAATTTCTGTTTTAAATTAACAAAGAACAATAAGAATGATTACAATCAATATTCATACCTCCTTAAAATGTGGAGATTAATTTCTTAAAGTCAATAGTTTTTATTCAATTTATTTACACATTTCTTTAAATTCTAATTATTATTTTGATGTAGTAATCATATTCTCAATTTTATCTAAATGAGTTTCACATTTATTCATATAATGACACATTATATTATTAAATGGTTTCATTTACATCTCTTTAATAATATTAACTTCATTCAATTAAATATCTTCAGACATTTATTTTATTGATTCTTTTATTTAATGAATGTTAATTTTTTAATTTATTTGTTATGATTTAATCTATTCTGTGATTTCACTCTATGTAATAACAATAAATCTAATACTTTAATATGTTTAATATTTTTAAGAATTTAATTTATACAATCCTCAAAGCATAACAACTATTGAGTGATAGTTTCTAATTCTTTTAATTTTTCAATATTTTCAGTTAAGCATTATTTAAATTTTCTAATTTTACGTTTTCTTTCTTCCATCTCTAAAACAACATCAAATTGTAATTATTATTCACAATCATTAGATATTCTACTCTAACATTCTTTTGGAGTTCTAGCAGATAAAAGTGGAGATTATTATTTTCTCATTTTAGATAATATTTGATTTATAGGTGATGCAGTTCTATCAGTTGTTCCTATTCTTTTGAATCTGGCATTATCAATAAATGGTTTGTTTTCTTTGTCTCTTATCTATTTATTCATTAATTAATTTATGTTCGATAGTGAAAGTTTTGCTATTAGAAATTCTCATAAATCATTTATTTCTGGAAAGAATTACGAAGATGTATAATCTTAGGCATCATCACCACATAAACTAACTAGAATTAATGATTTAAAAAATCAAGTAGAAAACTATTTAGATATGTTGGAATCTAAAGTAACAATGGTTAAAGAGAGGGCTTTATCTGAATTTGTTATAGCATATAATGGTTATATGAGATAAGTGAAGGAAGATTTAAAATATTTAAAAGAGAAAAGTTTAGAGATGGAGAAATATTATAAAGATAACAAACGCATTTAAAATATGGAGTAATAATTAGAATGGTTCAGAGAGGAAAGTGTTAAGCTTTATACTAAAATTGAAATAAAAAACAAAGATATCTTTGAATTAAAATTTAGATTATAAGAAGTTTAAAAAGAAAATGAGTTCCTTGAAGAATAAATTAAATAATTAATGCGAAAGAATAAAAGATATGAAGTAATAAGACATACTGCAAGTGTTGCTACAGAATAAGCAGAATAAATTAAAGAATAATAAATATTTTGTACTCAACCTAGACCAAAAAGAATTATGTCAGGATAAACATAACCAAAACATATTAAATAATTATATGATATCTTTGAGAGAGTAGCTAATGATGATTAAAATTAAATAATAAATGAAATAGCTTAGTATGTTTCATTTATTGAAAATACTTAGACAAAGTAGATACAAATATTACGCTAGAAAATGAATTAAGCAATTTGTCAATCTACTAAAGCATTTGCAACAAGAAGTGAGTATGAAGAGTTTTTTATTGATTGTGTTGAGGTATTAAATACTAAATAAAAAAGTAAGTTCGTAAAGATATTATGCGACGTCGTTAAAATGCATAAGTAGATAATAAATTATCAGATTTTAATGTTTTTAGAAAAGAGGATAAATTTAAAGTTTTAGAATTAGTTTTAATGAATGAGAAATTGTTATAAACTTTACATTAGAAAGTATTTCCAACTTCTTATGTAACATAATTATTGGAACCTACTACAATATAGACTGAATATTAGGATATATTACATTAAATTGATAAGAAGCGAAGTTTTTCTACTAAAGAAAGAATGATAATCAAAAAAGGGAAGTTATTGTATAAGTGAAATATTTCATAAACAATACTAAATTTTAGTGGATTATTAAATTTATATTAAAATATAAATATATTAACAAGTATTTCAATCTGTATATATATATATATTTAGAATAAATTATAGATTAAAATAATATGATGATTAAAATTGAAATTGAATTCATTAAATACATAGAAAATAATTTAAATCAAATTTTGATTATATTATAAATATTAATTAATGGTTTTTTTTATTATCGGTTTAGGACTTGGTGATCATTTAGATATTACTGTTAAAGGATTAGAAGTATATTATAAATATTAATTAGGCTGTAAAAACATGCAAGGAGATTTATTTAGAAAGTTACACATCTATTCTAGGAATTAATAGATAAAAACTATAAGAATTTTATGGAAAAGAAGTTATTGAAGCAGATAGAGAATGTTGTGAAACTGGAATTGATAAAATACTTGAAAATGTTTGTGCAGATCCTTAAAATAATTATGCATTTTTAGTTGTAGGAGATCCTTTTTGTGCTACTACACATACAGATCTCTTTTTAAGAGCAGTAAAATTAGGAATAAAAGTAGAAGTGATTCATAATGCATCTATAATTAATGCTATTGGTTGCACAGGTTTATAAGTTTATAGATTTGGAGAAACAGTATCTGTACCATTTTTTACTGAGAAATGGAAACCTTATAGTTTTTATCCAAAAATCAAAGCAAATTTAGATCATAATTTACATACTTTAGTTCTTTTGGATATAAAAGTAAAGGAAATTTCAGAAGAAAATTTAGCAAAAGGCAAAAAAATCTATGAAGCTCCTAGATTCATGAGTACTATAGTAGCAGTTTAATAAATAATTGAATCTGATAAAGAATTGGGTTTAAATGCAATAGATGAAAAGACTAAATGTTTTGGAGTTGCAAGAATTGGATTTGAAACATAAAAAGTAATATTTAATTATTATATTGAGATTGTTTCTGGATATTTACATGAATTTTTAGATATAGATATGGGTGCACCTTTACATTCATTTGTAATATGTGCTAAAGAATTACATCCAATAGAAGAAGAAATGTTCTAGTTTTATAGAAACAATTAACAAAAAATAGATTGATTGTTAATATTTTCATTCCTTTTGTAATTGTTCAATTAAATATTAAGGGTTAATTTTCTTTAATTAACTTTTTGGAACTTAGACAACAATTGGTTTATTCTTTGTATCTTCAATAGGTGGTAATTTACTAGACATTGATTGCTCTTTAAGAGAATGTTTTTTATATTAAGCAATAATTTGTTCATTTAGATCTAATTTTTATTGTTCTTCTAGATATCTAAAATAAATTATAAATATAGATTACTCTTTATCCTTTTTTTTCCTTTCTTAATTATCATATTTATTAGATTTTGCATCAGTTTTAGGAGCACTTAATGAATGATCATATTATTAATTCTCTTCATCTCTTTGAAGCAACTTTTTTCTTCATCATAATTAATAATTTACATTAATCCATTTAATTTAGTAGTTACAGATTCTTATTTAGCTATGTATTCTTTAAGTTATTTAATTTAATTAGATTGATCTTCTTTTTCATTCTTACATTATTCCATTTATTATTACAAGATTCTAATATAATTAATATATACTTATTTTATTTTTCTAAAGTCTAGATCTTTTTCTGTAATAGAATTTTTTCCCTTTTTTATTATAATACTAATTAAGAGAGTTAAAGATTTCGATCATCTGTATTAGAATTTTAATCCAAGTTTTCCATTATTTATTAATTTATATAAATTATGTAATAAGGAGAAGAAACATAAGAAAAAAAAGAAAATGAAATATCTCACAATATTTCTGTATAGAATTTGATGGACAAAATAAAAATTATATTAATAATGAGATAACTAAAAGAAGATAGTATTCCTATTGAGATTATTCCAAATCTTTATTTAGGTTGTTTAGGATGTGCATTAAATAAAAAGAAACTATTAGAAAGTATATTTCAAAGATATTATATATAGCAAACATGAAATATATTTTATCTGCTTGTGAAATGCCAAAGGCGCCATTTTCTAATGATTTTACATCTTTGATAATAAATATCAATGATAGTGTAGATCAAGATATAAAATCAAAATTTGATGAATCAAATACATTCATTGAAAATGCCTTAAATTCTTAATAGAATATTCTTGTTCATTGGTATAAATGATAAATATATCAGTTTTGCTGGAAAATCAAGATCAACTACATTCATTATTGCATATTTAATTAAGAATCATAAAATGACTGTTAATGATGCTCTGGAATTAGTAAAAACTAAAAGACCAATAGCTTAACCAAATGCAGGATTTATGAAACAACTTCAGTAATATTATGATACATTATACAATAATAATATTGATTAGAAACAGTAAGAATGATTTATATTATTTTTATGATTTATCATACATATTTATTTTTCTACAGTAATGCTTATTATGCTAATTCTAAAAATAATTATATTTAAATTACTTTATCTCTATGCTTCAATATTATTTGTTACTCCTACTCTCTCATTAAGTAATTTGGTTTTTTAATCTAAATTTTCAAGTTACTCCTTAAATTTGTCAGCTTTCTTTAAATTTTCATCAAATTTAACATATTTTTATCCATTTTATACTTCTGATCTTGTTGGAGATCTATTATTAATAGTTTAAGTAGATCCAATAGTTCCAGTCTAAGGTTTCTTTACTTAATTTAAGATTTATTCAATTTCTTCATCTTCACCTCTTATTTTCTTTTTTGATCCTTTCTCTTTCTTATCCTTTTTCTTACCTTTAAACCAGAATTAATATAAAAGCACAATAACAATAGCAATAATTATTATGGGGAATCTAAAATTTGAGAATATATCAGTATCCTTTTTTTATGGCATAGTTATTTCATAATAACTAATCAATTCATGATCATCTTAAACTTCTCTAGATAATAAATAATGTGATGCACCATTTCCTTTAATAGATTACAATACAACTTATTAACCTTTAATTTATTTAAAGAATTCAAGATTAAAAGGTTAATCATAATCAACTTCAGTCAAAACATCTGTAGTATTATATAATAATGATTCTCTTGTATTTTAATCATAAACTATTAGATAATGTCTTAAACTATATAATTTAGCATTATTTAATAACAATTAAGGTTATTAATTATTTACTAATTTCAATTTCATTTTGCATTATTCATTTTATTTGATTTCAAATACATATACTTCACCTAAATCAGATAAAGCATAAACTATATTAGTTTATTGAATATCTAATGTTAAATGAACTATTTAGAATGGTAACTATTAATTTATTATACAATATATATACATTGTCACAAATTGGTTATACAATTTCTAAATTTATTGGATTGATATATCCAAATCCAGTAGATGTTAAATATAACATATTAGGATATGATTTGATCACTTGTAAAATTGGACTATTGAAATTCCTCTCACCTACTAATGTACCATTACGAGTATAAGCACTTTTATAATAATATTATTTTAATACTAAACACTTCCACTACTTGAACCAAATAATATATATTTTGTGCCTTTAACCATTGCATATATCATTGATGTGATTTGTTGATTCTCAATATTCATTTCAAATTCTTTATTCAATTAAATAACTAATTTAGTCTTTGGTTTTTAGGAATCCTATGATTCAATTGTAATTCTGGAATTCTCTATTTTATATAATGCAAATTATCCATCTTTATCTAATAATGTATAAAATTAAATTAATACTTGCTAAAGCCAATATTGGATCATCTGCACGATTACTAATTGATACATATTATGGTTAAAAATCTAAATATCAAATTTATTTAATACCCAATTAAGCATTTACAATCATTGTATTGGATAAATCATAAATCTCAATTTCCTTTGTATTTGTAACAACATATAACATTTAAGTGAATGAATTATCAGTTGTTGTAGATTTATATTAGAAACTATAAATATATAAATATGCAATTACGTTTAAATCAAAGATGCATCTAAAATGGAATTTGTAATATTAAATTAATATTTCTTTAACATTCTATTTGTAAATGATCTCTCCTTATTTAAATTATGCTTTCCATTATTCTAAGTTTTGTAAGGTTTCTTTTATACAACCTCTTAGAGTACTTATTAATCTATTTACTATTCATATTTTAATCATTCAATACAGGAATGTTTTATTAATTGTTTATTGAAATCTCTCTTAATTCCTTTAAGTAATGTAATTTTTCAGTCTGCAATTAAATTAAATGTTCTAATTAAGTTATCTCAGTTTCAATCAAATCAGCATCTCTTGCTATTATACAACTTAGTCCAACTAATAAAATTAATAGCATTCAGATTTTTAAATTAATTAAATATTCACATTTATTTTTTAGTATTTAACTTAATCTATATTTTATTTATTTATTTAATAAATGAATGAATAAATCAAACGAATGAATAATAAAAACATTAATATTAATTATAATCTATCAATCTAAAAACAATAATATTATTAAATACTTCATAATCAATAAAAGTCTATACTATACATAAATCTATTATAATAATTTGGATTAAAAATACTTAATACTTTATTTCAATAATATATAATTCATATTCAATATTATTAAACAACTAATATATCTATAGAATTTATTGGATTAGATATATTAATAATATAATAATTAATTTATCATCTTAAAAAATTATTATTTATCAGAATATATTATTCAATAGTTATTCTACCAAATGTATGTTATAAATTACTATTTATAATTAAATATAATAACTCAAAAGTATTGTAACAATAATCAATTTTAAGCAGCAGCCAATACTTCTTACCACGTAATTAAATTATCTACTCTTTCAATAAAAGTTTTTCTATTATTTATTTCATTACTATTAATTTAATTACTTTTGCTGTCTGCCTTTAATATTTTCTTAAATAAAATCTAGATTTAATAAATTTATTACTTAAGATATAATTGGACATTTAAGAATTTAAGTGAGAAAAAACTCTGCAAAAGGAACATTCTCTACAGATGATTTAATCTTTTATTTATCCAAAGATCTCAAATCCCATTCACCTTATGAAGTAGGTAAATAAACACCTATTTCTTAGGTTGTATCTACATTAAAAACTGAGAACTTTACTCCACACATTCTTCTATTTGCACCAATCACTTAAATTGTAACTACTGATATTTTAGAATTATCATATAATATCATTCTAATAAGATTATATATGTAAAATACCTTTTATAAGAACCACAATCATAAGAATTCTAAATAATAGGATTTTTATCAAATTATTCTTGACTTTATTCACAGACTTTTTCAAAAACATTAAGATTGAATGAATACAATAGTTATTAAAATATTGCCGTCTTTTCTTATGATGTTAATCTATCATATTTAACTGAGAATTCTCTTTGTATTGATGAATATGGTAATGTAGTTTAACCTTATGCTTTTATTTTAGTTTTGTTTGGTCCAAATGTTTCAAAACAATTTTATAAACATATTTAAATAACCTATTGATCTTAATTTTCTATTATGATTTACAATTAATTCTTAGATCCAGTATTCCAACTTTTACATCTAAAATATTTCTATCCAAATAAAGCATTTGAAAATGATATTCCTAATTATTTTAAGAATGATTCAAAATATATAACTATAGTCTTTAAATATTTAAGAAATTCTAAAGGATTCTTGAAATTCAAATTCTCTGTCATATAAGTTTAATTTATTAATATTGATTGTTATATTTATTTGACTTTATTTTTATCGAAATGTCTCTCCTGTAATGCTTCAGCTACATCATCATCACCAAATTTTGGAGTCTTTTCAGTCATTTTTAACAATGTAGTCTTACTAAAATATGAATATTAATCTTTAATAGATTTTGCATCTTTAAAAAAAGAATCCATAGTTGAATAATCCATTTCTAAATCTAATCTTAAAGTATCTTTACTAATTGGATCACAAATTGAAATCCTAAATTAATCAGTTTCAATATGATGTATATAAATCAAACAATTTTTGTCCATAAAATCTATTCTTAATGTCAATCCATTTAATAATCCATATGGTTTTGGCCATAATTATAATTTCATCTCTTATGTTATTTCATCTGGAACAACTGCAGTATATGGTAAAACTAAAAATTTAAAGAATTAATGAGTAGTATTAATACTAGGTTGATTAGTTGGTAACATTTCTTAAAAATCTACATATGTTATTAAACCTTTTAGTAATTCCAAATTTATATATTCTTAACACATTAATGCATTTTTATCATCATAAGCTCTAAGTAGAATTGATTTACCTTCATCTTTAGTTTCTATTATAGAAGCTTCTACTTTATAATTGGCAATATTCTAAATATCACTATTCCATTAATCGTTTTCATCTTGTGATTTTGATTAATATTTAGTATACATTTTTGAAAAAGTTACATTTATATCTAATATTTCAAATAATGATATGATATAACTTTGATTTTATTTATAAATATAAGGAGTTGTATCATCAATTTAAGTGAAATCATCATCAGGTGTGATACGTTATTCTTTTGATAATTCTTTAGGTGGTATTTTTATATTCATATTAGGTATTTAAGTTATAGAACTTTATTATTATTAATTTAAAATTTAAGTTGTTTAAGTAGCTTATTATTATAAAAGGTTTTATTAGTATATTATCATTTATTATTATTAAGATTATGATTGTAATAATTTCTCTAATTAAGATTATTTATTAATTAAATCTTATAATTAACTTTTTAATTCAATTACTTCATTTTATTTTTATTCTTTTTCTTTTTTATTTGTTGAATTTTCATTTTTTATTTAAAATAAATTATTTTCTAATAAATCTATTTTTTTTTTTAATTATTCAGCTAATTGATTATTTTCTGGTTCTTATTTTTTATTATTATTTGATGATTTAACATATAATTATTTTAATTCATCTAATTCTCTTTATTATACTACTAATTTATTTTAAATTATTTCAAATTCTTATGAATCAAATTAATTAAGTTTACCAGATGAATGTAATGAACCAGATGATAATTATTAATTTAAAGGAGGTCTATTAGTTATAGATTTAGTAGCTGTGTTTACATTAATTTGAGTTTATGAATTATTATTAGAAAGTACATTAAAATTTTATTATTTGAATTTACTTTAATTAGGACTATTGAGATCATTTTTAATTTATTTAATTTAAAATTATTTACCTGAACTTGGTCTAATATGATCATCAATTGTTAAAACTTTATCCTTTTTCTTACTCTCAGGTAAGATTCTAAAATAATAATTTAATACTTTATTACTTTTCCATTAATATAAAAATATAAGGTGATGTAATTAGATTAGTACTTAATCTATCAATATCAAACATATCCTTATAATTTTTGAGGTATAACATATCAAGTGAATCTATAAGAAATTAATGTATAACTGTATCCTGAGAGACTATTTATGATCGATTTATATCAGGACTCGTTCTTCTATTTAAACCATTGATTTAATCAAAAATCATTTGACCTAGGTATTTTTGAGATAATTTTGATGCATTATAGATAAATTTTCTTTTGAGATCATTAATTGAACAATCTATTGGTTTTCCTATAATTTCTAATGCCTATTTACTCAAACCAAGACGATTAGATAATTCTAATTACTCACTTAATAATATATATGCAATAACAAGTGTACTAATATCATTTTAAGTTGGTATTGCATTTGACTTAAATTATTGAAATATAAAGGCTTCTAATTATTCAAATAAGACTACTGCTCCTTTCAATGAACGTAATAAATCATATTAATTAAGTAAGAGCATACAACGTAATTGTATACGATTGAATGAGACTGGTATTGTATCTAATTAATACTCTAATTAAAATGATGTGAAATCTGGATTTAAGGATAACATTTCTTAATAGATTTCTAAGAGTCTTGTTGCATTTCCAGTTTTACCAATTAATTATTCATGACAGTGTAATATGAGATATTTCAAAACATCTTTATGTTGTTTATCTGTATATGCTTCATAAAGGATATTTATGAAATTGATTTCATCATATAGATTGAGTTAATATACTTTAAGTATTAGATTAAGTAGTTCTTATTAGGATAGATTATCTATGTTGAGATCATTTTGATTAAATGTAGAAATCAATTTCTATATTTTATTTGTGTTGTTTGTATTAAGAATTTCTTATAAGAGATGCTTATGAATTTGATGATATAATTACTTAAGGATTTTTGTCTCTCTTTGAAAATGTGTCATTGTCAGTTTCAATAAATTTTTGGAGAGGTCCAGTTACTGGGGAAGTCTTGGAACTTGAGACATATCTTCTTGTATTGGTATTGTAATGAGTAGAGTAATTACTAGGAAATTTAGACATCTATTGTGTTGAGTACATAAATAATTATTGAAAGGGGGGATTTCATATATATTAATAAAAATGGAGAAGAGATTTTATAAAACATGTTCAAAACATGCTTATTATTAGTACATCAATAGATTTGATCCAAAATTGTTAGCTACTTATTAGACAGGATATTATCATGGAATTGGTAGATAGTAAGATATTGAATAATAATTATGAAAGAGGTTTATTCAAGACATTGGTATTAAGATAAGCAGGAGATAGTATTGGAATGGAAGAAGATCACAGTTATACTTATAAGATGCATGTGATGGCCATGAATTTAATGTACAGAAGTGGATGGGTATTGTTTGCTTACATTTTAATTTGGAATACTTTTTTATTAGGAGATCCTTGCTAAGTATCAATCAATAAATTTATATATAGGTGTTTAATACATCTTATTGGGATTTAGCATGCAAACCTTCAGGTGATATGGATTACAACACTAGATATGAAATGTTGTATGTACAAGACAGAGTATTAAGATTCTGATCTAATTATATATTAATCATAAACACATAATTAGTATTATTAATAAAATCAATGGTATGAGTAAATTCAACAATCGATTTTTGTTATTGTTTTTACTTACGAATTTTTATAGACTCTATTTCTATTTCAAACTTTATATAGTTTCTTAATAAACTGCATGATTAATATATTTCTAATTATATTTAAATAATTATTATTAGTTTTTAACAAATAATTATTTATTAGTTTATACATATACATTGCGTTTTTAAATATGATTGTAACTTTATTTTTTCTCTACAAGTAAATTATTATTAGTTTTATGATCTTTATTATTTTTATTAACATCATCATTCTGATTTTCGAAATCTTTGTTATTATCACAATCATTTACTCCGAAACTTGAACCCATGTTACAAAGTTCTTTTTCCTCTTATACTTATACAATAGGATCCTACTTCAATTCCACTTTGAATCTCAACGAAAATGAATAAGGTTCTATATCTTCATTCCCTTCACAAATTGTCGAATTTGCATCAAAGTAATCTGTTGACTCCTTCTTCGCAAACATAACTGGAGGTTCCCTCTTCAATTAAGGAGTATCATCAATAATAAAATGTGATTGAGACAAATCAATCTGATATGCCATTAAAAATAAAAAATAATTCATTTTAAATTTCTTATAAAAGGTAAAACCTTATTTCTCCACTCTTAATCAAATGTTTCAGTTCTAAATGTTTCTACTCCATTCTTCAATTTCTATAATATATTAGATTCATATCTAAAAGCTTATGATAAATGATCAAATAAATCATCTGGAGTATCAAATACTATACCATTCTTTTAATGTTATACTAATTCAGAAATACTTAATAATAAATATTATATATACGCATTAAATGATTTAGCAAATACAGGTGTGCCAGCTCCAAACATATCCACTACTTTCATTGGTAAATCTAGACCAGATGAAGAGTAATGTAAACAAATTCCTAAATCAGCACAACCTAATAATTTAGGATAATCATCAATATCTAACCAAGCTAAATTTACTTTTACATGATTCCAACAAATATTACATTTCTAAAATATCTCTTTAAATTCATCTTTCATTGGTCCCTTACCTGTTATAACTACATATAATTTTCTATATTCCCTTCCTTACTCAATATCTAAAATAATCAATCTTCTAACTTACTTGCCAAATCCTCATATTTCTACAATGCTTACACTAGAATATTAAAATCTTCATCCTTTGTCCATGAAGTACTACTTACTATCAATCCTGGTCTATTCACTTTCTCTATCACTTATTAATTATTCAATTCCTCTGTAAATAATGTCTCATAACTATTTAATACTTCCCATTACCAATGGAAGTCTAATTTCATAAATAATTCATGTTTCTCTTTAGGTTTATTTATAACATTAAAATTAATGTTTGCCTTATCATATACAACTGTAGCACTTCCATCTATACTATTATTATTTATACTTTATCCTCCAATTCTATTACAAATCCTTCTACATTGCTTAAGATACACATAAAGCATAATCATATGATCTACTAAATTAATGTTCATAAGATCTAGCCATTTTTAATATAAATTTGTTTCTCATTTACAATGCCAAAATTGTATGTCCATAATTATGAAAATCTATTATAATTTTTGATCTACGTATTCCCTTTATTAAACTAACTACATGTAAAACTGGAATTGAAGGAGGATTCTAAACCAAAATAAATTCCTATTTTCTACTAAATAATAATAATAGGAATAAATATAATGATTGTAATGCAATTCTAAGTATTGCATACAATAAAAATAAGAATCTTGGCATTTTCTTTAATAAATTTACTATCCATAGATTTAGATCCACTATTCTAATATTTGGATTAGATAATAATGCTTAAGTTGGCTTATTATCCAAATACCCATAAAAATTAATACGATATTCTGTATTATCAGCTATTGCTAAAGCATGATTAACCATTCTTGGAGATCTTCCTATGTCTCCAAATACAATTATAGAACATTATTTCATAGATGTATTATTAATATTATTGTATATTTATATATAAAATATAATAGATAAAAGAATTTTTAAAGAAATCATTTTAATAAATTATATAAAAGATATTCTATAATAAAAATCAAAGTTGAATGAGAATATTTATGTATTTTATATCATAATAATTTAATACGTTTAAATTAATATTTTTGTATTTTAAAAAAAACAAATACTATTTTTTTATAAAATGGAGTAATTTAAATATCAAATTAATAAAAAGTGAGAATAATTTTTAAATTCATTAACATTATAAAATGGTTTACGGAGTGTTAAACATTTCTTTTCAGTTCTATATTTTTTCTACATGACCCTAACATTTTTTTCAATCTGTAATAATAGAAACAGTAATACTTAATCTAAATTATTTCTATATCTTGTCTAATTTACTAATTAAGATCTTTCTCTCTCTCTTTCCTTCTTTCTTTAAATAAGCTCAGGATTAAATTATACTCCACTACTTCTATATTCAAATTCAGAATAACTCTAGTTTCTCTTCTAAATTGAATGATGAAATTCAATTCCAGTCTTTTAATGAGATTCAATCATCTAATTTTTTATGCTTTTGCTACTCTAATTATTTACAATTCAATTTTCTGTCTAGTTTATTTCCATCTATCTAATTTTTATTCAACATTATGTAATTTGTTAATAATGTGAGCTTATCTATTAAAAGAGCATCGATTTACTCTTTCAAATATTTCTTATTCTTATAATTTCTATTTTGCTTCTCTTTCAGCCTATAGTATTTTTAATTTCTCTTGAACATCAGCTTAATTTGCAATACCCTTCATAGGAGTGGAAGGAAGGGAAGAGATACGCTATTTAGCCATAGGTTCACCTGGTAGAAAGAGTACTTTTGGTATTCTCAAACGACCCAATTATTATAATGGTGCATTTTCATGTTAGGAATGAGATTTCATTATATTATTATTATTATATTTTAACGCTAATTATTATGACAGATGACATATTTATGGGATTGACTTCTGTCCAACAATTTGATGCAAAATTAAAAGTATTCAATCAGAAAAGACATTCTATGAGTCAGATTAGTACTGCTCATAATTCTACATTAAAGAGTATGAAATCTACAATTGGAGATGGAATACCAATGGTTTCATTTTTGGATACTTTTGTTGAGAGAGTACATTATTTAGTATAGCATTGTAATGAATTACAAGATAGAAATGAATGTGTTCGTATAGCTTTGGAATTAGGGATTTCATTTTATAAGGTTTAAAGTCTAAGTTCTTAGTAAGAGAGGGAAGATTTCATTATAAAATAACTATAAAATTAAGTGATTGAATAATTGAGATAATGGAAAATCAAAATGGAATAAAGAGAACTATAACGAAATAAAACTAAAGTGATTCATGAAAATGAGAATAATCTAAATATATTTAATTGGGTTGAAATACATACTAAATTCAGAAGTTTAAAGAAGAAACTCAAATTTGCATTGATTGAAATACTAAATTCAAAGGAAAATAGTAAAATGATATATTCATAAGACAATATTACTAATATAACATATAAAAAGCCAGATATGTAATCAATAATTGATGAATTAAATAATTTATTACATAAAATAAAGAAATAATAAAAAATAACAACTAATATTTAATGGTCTAATGAAAAAGAGACTGATTTTAAAGTAAAAAGGAATTCAGCAAAACATAGATTAGGTATGTTAGTAAATAGTAATTCATTTAATACTATTGGAATGGGTGAATATATTATAACTCATGATAAAGATAAATAGGATCAATAAAGAAGAGAAGAATTATTATTTAAATATGATACTTAATAAGGTATGACAGAAGAAGAATTATTATATTTAGTAAATACTAGTAATCTTTTGAATAAGTGTTCAAATAAAAAGTATATAATAATATATTTTAAGATTATTATAAACAGTAATTAATTAATTAGATTCTGAAATAATAAGTGATATAGAATTAACTATAGCTGAGAATATCTTAAATTAATATTATAAAATATCTAAAGAAATGAATTAGAGTAGACATCTTTATTTGAAAGTCAATTAAAAAGCAAAAGAAAAGGAAAGAACTGAAATTAATATCTAATAAACAAATAAAGGAGATATTAAAAAATTAAAAGTATATTTAATATCATATATATTATAATAGTTTAAATTTCTTAAAATGTTAAGAGAAATGAAAGAAGATAGAAAAGATACATTTAAAGAAAACACTGAAAAATATAAAATATTTTAATAAGAATATAGAAGAGGTAATCCTATAGCAAATCCTTTGGTATGGAAATTCAAAGATATTATGATGTCTATATTAGAAAGAAAAGTATTATTTTATGTTTATTTAGAAAAGAGAAAAGAGAGAAAAGAAATTAGCTACAACTAATGATTCTAATAAACCTATTTTCCCATCCAAAACAGAAAGTTTAACACTTAAAGTAGTCATGAGAAAAACACATCCAAGTTCTAAAGTAATAATTAAATCTTAACCTGATTTAAATACTAATCAATCTAATGTAACTAAAATATAAGATTATTTACTCAAATTAAAAAAAAAAGATTATGAAATGAATAAATAGAATTTCTCTTAATTTTATTCAGGTGGACCTATTAGATAAAGACCTTATGCACATCAATCATTAACTATTGAAGAAAGTGATATAACATTACCTTATGGAAATAAATGGATAACTCCTGAAATTGAATTGGCTGCAGCTAATAAAATAAAAAAAGCATTTAAAGCATATATATCAAAGAAAAGATTTGAAAGAGCTATTTCTTAAAAGAAATTTCTAACTCCTTAACCAGCTAAATTTTATAGATTAGTATAAAAATTAAATGAAAAAAGAAAATAAATTGATGTTGAAGAATGTTATAAAAGTTTAAAGATTGCTTTATAATAATAATAATATAGAAAAAAAACAATAAAAAAATAATAAATTGATTATTCTAAAATTACTATTCCAAAAACTATGATATAATTGAAATTAAAATAAAGAAAATTATTTTTAGCTTTAAAAGTTAATAACACATTATGGATGGATCATTCAGGATTTATATTTGATTCAAATGATGTTAATTGTTATGATGTTGATATGTATTGTCCATTATATTATGCTGCTAAATAATAAAGTGTACTATTTTGTAATTTTTTACTTATTAATGGTGCTGATGTTAATATGCCTTGTAAAGATGGAGAAACTCCAACTTTTGCTGCTTTTGCATCAGGAAATATTGTTATCATTAATCTATTTGTTTCTAATGGAGCAGATATAGATAAATTAAATAATGAAGGAAAAACACCTTTATGTTATTGCTCTATTGAATTGCTTAAAGAACTTAATTTATAATATCGTCCATGTTTTATTAAATGAATACTAATATTTATGTCATTTTATATCATAATATATATTTTTTATATATAGTAAATTCTTATTTATAATCTAAATAATTAAATTATTTACACGTAATGGATTAATCAACTATGATTGATGAATCTGAATAGTCTTTAGAATAATCTAGAAGGGTAGAACCAACTGTATCTGATAAAATGAAAAGGACTGAATCAGCTGCACTCAAATAAAAAATAATTAAGTAGCTATTGTGCATGCATTAAAGTTAAGTTTTATTCGAGATGTGTAATAAAACAAAATGCCATTTGATTCATTACCAAATATAGTATAACAAAAAATAAGCGACTTTGAAGATGAATTTTAAGACTTATGGAAAGAATCTGATGAATATTTAAGAGAAAATGGAGAAGCCATTGAAAAACTTGTTATGAAACCACTTTGTTCCAAGTATTTGTATTCATTAATATTATTAGATTGATTTCAATAGATTTAGTCAAAGATAGAGAAATTGAATTTTCTATGAAAGCATATTCATTTGTTTAAGCTAAACATCTTGAAATTGATGAAAATATTGAAAAACATAAAATGTTTAACTAAGTAGTAGATTGTAAATTGTATATATATATATTTTAGTAATATCTAAAATTGATAAAGTAGAAACACCAAGAGAAAAATTAAATTGTATAGTAAATGCAGGTAAACAAACAAGTGGTAATATATTCATAATTATAATTTAGCTATTGTTAATCAAATGGCCAATAATCAACCAACAGGTGCTGATAATCTTTTACCTGTATTAATATATGCAACTCTTAAAGCTCAACCATAAAAAGCCTATTCTAATATATTATTTATTAGTTATTATAGATCACCTAAAAGAATTACTGGAGAAGATGAATACTATTTTACTACTTATGAATCAACTCTCTAATTTATTGAAAAATTAGATTATCATAAATTAAATATCAATCATCAAGAATTTTAAGATTTAAGTAAAGAACGTTTAGATAATATTAAAAATTCATAAAATGTAATTATATATAATAATTTATAGGAATTATCTCAAAATGGAGTTTTTAATATGGATGCACATTAAAATTATGTCAATTTATAAATGATTAAAATGAAAATATAAGATCTTCAACGTAAATCAAAGTTTTATGAATAATCAAAGAAATATAGATTAAAATTTAATCAAAAATAGTTAAATGTATATTATTGTATTTTAAATTTAGAATATAAACTTAAATGAAATACCAGACTTTTATGAAGAATATTAGAATCTATACAAAAATTTGATAGAAATGCAAAAAGATATTCATAATCTATATGATTTAACAAATGAAATAATCAAGGAAAGTTAAAGTGAAACTAAAAAATAAGCAACTCGAAAATTCTTTGGAATTCTTTGAATATTTATATATATATATATTATTATTATTATAATTAATGAGTACAATGCTTTATAATAGTGTTCGTTTTATGCTTAAACCATGGAGACCAAAAAGAGAAATATTTCACTTTGTATTTTCAAAAGCTATGACATAATCATCTGCAACTAAAATTATATTCTAATTAAGAAAACATATTTAAGAAAAACCTAAAGTTTTAATGTTATCAATCAACTCAGGTTTATTATATCAATATCATTTTAGCATATGGAGATATAACATAAGCATAAATTGTAGCAGAAGCATTCTAATAAGCTGCATCAAATTTAGATGCTCCATTCTATACATTTATTGATTGTTATGCTTTAGGATCAGCATATTATTTAGCAAGTTGTGGTACAGAAGTTTATGCAAGTAATAAATAATTAAATATATAGATCCATTTTCTTTAATTGGAGAAGTATAACCATGTAAAAGATCTATTGGATTTTAGAATGTGTTATAAAATTTAAAAATTAATTATAGATAGAGTAGAAGGGAAAGTATTTTATTAGATGCATTTACTAAAGTAAGTGAAAAATAATTGGAATTTGTAAATAAAGAACTTAAAACTGAATTTTAATTTGCTTTAGATTAAATAAAATAGAATAGAGTAGGTAAAATTAAGAAATTTGATGAAAGTCATATATATACAGCATAATAAGCACTTGAAAATGGATTAATTGATGATATTTGTACTTTTGATGAAGTTTTAGCAAAAAAATATCCAAAGTACAAATTCAGAGAATTAACCCTTTTTAAAGATGATAATTCAATGATTATTGTATAAGGATAATTACATTTAGCAATTGAAAATCTACTTACAAAATTTGAAAATAATTGTTAACTTTTTGTTAATGAAAATGTTTATCATGATATATAAGAATAGATTAGTGAATTATTGAGTAATGCACTAAATAATATTGATATATAATAGAGTGCATATGATTTAATGATGGATTATCTGAATGACTTTATTATAAATTCTAATAAATATTGAGCACAAATAAATTTAATCTATCAATTATAAATTTTAGGATTATTCAAAAATACATCTGTTACTCTAATTATATTCTCAGTTGAATCCTTTTCTAATTTGAATACTTAAACTCTCTCACCAAATTTCTATTCAATCAATTTTACAAATGTCTAATATTTAGTTATTCTATCTTTTAATAATTATTCATTATTAATCTAAATTAATTTATATAATTACTTAAAAATTCTGTAATCTATCTAATAATGGTTTATTATTTAATGGAACTTTCTCATATTTTATTTTAGTAACAGGATCAATTTTCAATAATTTTGATTTATTAATTAAAACATCTTCATCTTCATTCAAAACTACAAATAAATTCACATTTTATGCCTCCAAAAACTTTAATTAAGCGTCATTCTTAGGAAATCCTTCTAATACCCAACCCTTTGTTCTAGCCTCTGTTGATAGTACTTCTGTATATACAATACTATTGATTATATCATTAGATATTTCTTCTTCTTTTTGAAGTGTATTATAAATTAAAGGACCCAAAACTCCTTTATTATGAATTTATTATTGAATCATATCAAAAGTAATAAGTTATACTAAACCATATCTTTTACTAAATATTTATGCTAATTAAGTTGCTCTTTCTTTTAAACCAGGAGGGCGTATAATTGCTACCCTAGGAAAACGAAGAGGAGGAAACTTTCTATCTCTCAAACGAATAATCTATTTGATATTTTCAATAATATCTTCTTTAGTCCTTTTTGATGTATTAAATATATCCATATAAGATCCATAGATATATTCTAAATCTTTCTTATTCAATCTATCTCTAGTTAATGCCTTAGTCACTTCCTCTTAAGATTAAGATATTTATTCATAATATTGTCTACAAAAATCTAAATCACTCTCTAAATAAAATAGCCTAAAATGAATTCATATTTTTACCTCTCTGGTATAATTCCCATTGATTATAAATAATATGCTTATTTGATATTATTAGGATACCCAGATATTATGATTCCTCTGAAGTGTTTCTCAGTTTTTTTTAATTCTGCAAGAATGAATTGATTTACTTAATCATCATTTATCCAATGAGATTTAAAGTGATCCTCTACTGTTATAACTTTGTAATTGAACATATTAGCAAGAGATACTACTATTTCTTATCTTGTTGTAGTAACCACACCAGTTACTAGGATAAGCCGTTGCACTCTTCTATTTTCAAGAATATCTATTAAGAATGTCACAGGATCCTATGGTTTTGAAAGTACTAATAATCTTGTAAGATTTTCAAATAAGTCAGTCATTTTGTGCTCTTTTATATATGCCTCTACTTTTTATTAATACTCGACCAATTCATTTGTATTCATTTATTTAATATATAAATTTTTACAACAAATTCAAATTATCATTAAAATTAATATAAGCATCATAGCATTGAATATATCTATTCCATCACAATACAAAATATCAATATTTCCACAATCCAATTAATTAAATTTATCTATCTATTCTTCATTTGGACATTAATCTTTTGGATTCATTTTAATACATGGTGCTTCTTAATAAATACTAATAGCTAATGAAGTTCCAATCTCATTTTCTAATACTCTTCTCCAATAAATATTTTTTGTTAATTTAGATGACACATATAAAGAACCTTTGTCTGCTATAAATGGAACAAGTAATTTAAATATTGTTTTTCCAGGCAAATGCTATTCAAAAACTGGTTTAAATTTTTTAACTAATTGATAGCTATAAAATGTTAATTCATAGTCATGTGTATACCAATCCTCAAATCCCTCTTCCTTTATTTCACTTAACAAATATATTGGATTATTTAATGTAATATTAGGTTCAACTGCTACTTCTAAACAATTTTAATCATTGCAAAATGTTATTTCTGTATATACTTTTTATACACATGTTCCAAAAATATTACATGAACCCTAATCATCTAACAATTAATCATTAAAATGAGTCTCAATCAAATTTTAATTATTATCAAGCACAATTTGAAAATCAAACATATATGATATAATTACATAATTTTTCACATAATAATTTATTGTGTAAAATCCATTATATATTGATTTATCTGATTATTTATCCTTATACAACTTATTAGTTAAATCCCTAAATATTAATTACATCAATACTTAATCAAGAAACTCCATTTCCTCTTGTTTTAAATATAATTACTAACAATATTTGTATCATCCTTAATTTCATGTACATAATTCATTTCATGACGATATAATTGATCTGTTATACAAGATTAATTATTATCTCTATTAAATACTCCCATAAGTTCATCATTGAATTCAATTTCAATTCCATAGTTATCTTATTATTTAATCACTTTTCCATTCATGTCTAATTATACAAATCTTTTTCCACTTGGTTTCTTTTTTGATGTAATTTTTTCAATGTATTATTAACATGATTTTGGTATGCATTAATTTTTGAAACTATACTCATCTTCTGGACAGATTTATTGGTTTAAGACCAATACAATTAATGAATTTAGAATAATATATAATTTTATCATTAATTTTGATATTTAAATTTAAGACTTAAACAACTAGCAAACTTAAGAATCAAAAACTATTGAAAATTGATTCTCATCTTTCAATATAAGAATTTTACATTATATAATAATAACTATTAATATATATTAATATAAAATAATCTCCTCTATTAATTTAAATGTATTTCATATATCAATTTACATAAAAATCAAACTTCCAATAATTATTTATATAATTCATTAATAGAAAATAAATTTTATAGAATATATTAATCTCAATTTAAATGGTAATTTTGTTTTTATTTAATATTTATTATTTTTTTTTTGACATTCTATTATGATCGAAGAATTGAAAGAATATTTTTAAGATTACTTAGAGAAAAAGTTTGAAAAAATAAGTAATAAATTATAAGATTTACAACAATAATTCTTTTAACACAAAAAAGAATTAGAGATCAATATAATTGAACATAAAGAAAAAATGTTTACTAATTATTAAAAATTAGAAAACTAATTCTAATCTTTACTTAAAGATATTAATATCACTTAAAAATAAGCTGATGAAATTATAGAGAAGATTTCTAAAAAACTAGTTCCTAATTGTAATCCATAATAATAATAAATTCCTTTTATTTAGTCTGTTTATCCATCATAAGTTCAAAGCACAATTTAATCTAATATAAATCTAAAAGACTTCAATAATAATAATTTTTATGATTATTCTCATAAAACTGCTGATAAAACTATAGAAAATATAGCTACATAATCCATTGCTCATTTAAAAGTTTCTAATTTTGACAAAGGTCAAAATATAGTTTTTATTACTAAATCAGGAATTAAATATCATAATGCTTAATGTGATTATCTAAATAATTCTAAAATTCCTTTAACAATAAGAGAAGCTTTGAAAAGAGGATTCACTTCTTGCTAAAGATGCATAGGATGAAAATAAATTTATAAATGAAACTATATAATTATAATGAACTATTTATAGAATTTTATTTTTAAGAATAGTCTACATTAAAATATTGTATTTTTAAAAGTAAAAAATTGAATTACATACATAAGTTTGTTATTTTAAATAGTAATTATTATATATTAGCAACATTTCAATAAAAAATATAGATTTCTTTGATAATTTTGAATTAACTAATTACAACATTATTATTTCCTAATAACTTATCTTGTTTAAAGTAAAAATTTAAACAAAAATTTATAAAATAATAAAAAATTAAATATTTATTATTTTAATATAATGTATAAACTTCTTGCTCTTTCTATAGGATCAATTAGTTTGATAGCAGGAAAATTAAAAATAATGGGAGGTATTAACTATTTTAAAACCCATGAAGAAGTATGATTAAAAATAAATAAGATTTCATTGGATGATAAAACTATATTGATAACAGGTGGAACAGATGGGATTGGATGGGAAACTGCAAAAAAGTTAGCAAAAGCAAAATGTGTAATTATTGCAGGAAGAAATGTTGAAAGAATAAAATCTTAATTAATTAATTACAAAAATATCAAATATATGTACTTAGACTTGAATGATTTGGATAAGGTTTAGGAATTCTGTTAGGAATTTAAAAATACTTATGAAAAGTTAGATATTTTGATTAACAATGCAGGAATTTATAATTTAGAGTTGAAATACACTATATAAGGATTTGAATAGAATTTTGGTGTTAATTATTTATCTCCTTTTTTGTTAACCTATAATTTGCTTGATCGCATTCCAAATGAATAAGAATCAAGGATTATATTTGTTGCTTCACGTGCCCATTTAAACTCTCCTCGCTAGGTTGATTTCAATTACTATTTAAATCAAGAATCTATACCATATTCATGGTATAAAATTTATGCCATTTCTAAGTTAGCTAATGTATATCAAGCATCTTCATTTGCTAACAACCTAAAGAACACTAAGATTAAGGTTTACACTTTACATCCTGGCGTTGTTCGAACTAATATGCTTAATTAATTTTAGTTTTTTTCATTTTTAGCTCCTATGATATGGTATTTCACAAAGACTCCTGAATAAGGATCAGTAACTTCAACATTTTTAGCTACATAACCAAATCAAAAATTAAAAAATGGATATTATTATAAAGATTGTGTTCCAAAGTATCTAAAAGAAGACAATAATGTATTGTTTGAGTAAACAATTAAGTTACTTCAAAAGCTTGGTTATATTAAATGAGCATATATATATCTATATATTTTAATTCATTGAAAAATGGGAAATAAATAATCAAATAAAAAGATAAAATAAGAGTTTTAAATTTCAAGTAAATTAATCTTAATAAAGAGGGAATTATTTATCTACTTTTAATTTAAATATTAATGGTTTTTAAAAATAAATGTAAATTAAATATAATTAATAATCTCCATCTTTAGATGATCAAGAAAGAATTGAACCTGTGTAATGAAATAAAGACACCAAATTTTTGTTTAATTTTAAGGCCATTTCTATTTAAGTTTTTCAAGCAAATTTTGTCATTGTCAATAACTAATAATAAATTTTTAAAAATTTGGAAAAATTATTAAGGTAATTCTTTTGAAATTCAAAATATTTTATAAATCATATTTCTAAAATTACTTAGCTGCTACTTCCAAATATATTGTATTACCCTAATTTTTATTTGCAGAAAAATTAATTAAATGAACCTTAAATCAAATTCAAGAAAATGATATTTTAATATCATGTGGCATTCATGCTAGAGAAGTTCAGCCATCATTTATTTTATAAGATGTTCCTGAATCTTTAAAAAGTTATTATTAAGCTGGCCAATATTTACCTGAAAACTATGCTTTCTTAATTATGAAAATGTTAAATTATGATGAAGTTTATTGTAGACATTATAGATTAGATTCTTTATCAAATGATGAAAATAGAATTTACAATAGATTTGTAAAATTTCCAAATGTTAATGGTCCTATTGTTGTTTTAAAAATACTTATAAACCCAATGTAGCATTCTATATTGAAATTTGTTCTCAATTTGCTAAATAATCGCTTTATTTATACAAATTGACACTCTAACACATCAATTCATTATGCTATTTTAGTATATTATTAGGATATTTGTAGGAATTTCAGAAATAATTAAAACCAAAAGTTCACCATTTTCAAAAAGTACCTATGTTCACATAAATTAATTATCAACAAAATTAATATGGAGTTGAAGGAAAAAAAAGAAAATATTTAAAAAGCATTAGAAAGTGAAATTCAATTTGCAAAAGAGAATTTAGTACCTCAAGCTATGATTGTCCATTATCCATATACGATTAATCCATATTTGACAGGAGTTGCAAAAACTCATGTTTACTTAACAAAAAAAAGTTATGTTTAGTTATGCAATAGAAGTTAACTATAGATATTGTAATTAGGTCTTTAAATATGAAATTATTGATTTTATTAATTTAAGCAAAGATATAATTGAATCACTTTACACAGCCAACCAAAATTAAGATTTTTATCTAAATAAAATCACAATTAGACTCAAATATATTTAACTGACAAAACCTTTCTAATTAAATATAAATAAAATTTAATTAATGAAAAGAATCCTAATTTGCTTACTTTTCATATCTTTAATATCTGGTAGGGCTGTCAATCACCTTGTTGATGAGAAAAAGCCTGTAGATCCAACAAAAAAAGCTGATGACAAGAAAGAAGAGCCAAAAAAGGAAGAGCCAAAGAAGGAAGAACCTAAAAAAGCTGATGACAAGAAAGCAGAACCAAAAAAGGAAGAGCCTAAGAAGGAGGAGCCTAAAAAGGCAGATGACAAGAAAGAAGAACCAAAAAAAGAGGAGCCAAAGAAGGATGAGCCTAAAAAAGCTGATGACAAGAAAGCAGAACCAAAAAAGGAAGAGCCTAAGAAGGAAGAGCCTAAAAAAGCTGATGACAAGAAAGAAGAACCAAAAAAAGAGGAGCCAAAGAAGGATGAGCCTAAAAAAGCTGATGATAAGAAAGCAGAACCAAAAAAGGAAGAGCCTAAAAAAGAAGAAAAAAAGGATGAGAAAAAGGACGAAAAGAAAGAAGAGAAGAAAGATGAAAAGAAGGACGAGAAGAAAGATGAAAAGAAGGAAGAGAAAAAAGATGAAAAGAAGGACGAGAAGAAAGATGAGAAGAAAGATGAGAAGAAAGATGAAAAGAAAGACGAGAAAAAAGATGAAAAGAAAGATGAAAAGAAAGATGAAAAGAAAGATGAGAAGAAAGACGAGAAGAAAGACGAGAAAAAAGATGAAAAGAAAGATGAAAAGAAGGATGAGAAGAAAGACGAGAAAAAAGACGAGAAAAAAGATGAAAAGAAAGATGAAAAGAAGGATGAGAAGAAAGATGAAAAGAAAGACGAGAAGAAAGACGAGAAGAAAGATGAGAAGAAAGATGAGAAGAAAGATGAAAAGAAAGATGAAAAGAAAGATGAGAAGAAAGATGAAAAGAAAAAGGATGAACCTAAATAGAGCCCTGAAGAAAAGAAATTTAGATCATGTATTGAAGATAAATGTGGATCATAAGCTAAAGCATGTGACAAACAATGCAATTCAAAATTAGAATAATGCAAGGATGTAGTTTATGTTGCTGGATACTAAGCTGTAAGACTATTAAAATAATTTTTTAGTATTTGGATTGCATCAATGAAAGTAAGCCTGCAGTTGCCCTACTTGAGTGTGTTTAATCTAAATGCTTGGAGTGAAAATAATTTTAAATTTAAGCAAATTCATATCAAATAATTATATAAAAAATCCATGCCTTCCTAATACTTGATATTAAAAGTTTAAACTACTAATTCTTAATCAATATATTATCTAGTTAGCAATGAAATGATTTTCCACTGATTATATCAATTTATTTAATTATGAAAACTCTAACCCTGTTATTTAGTCTATGCATAAAAGTTTAAAAAAATGCATTCTATATAATTTTTTTAGCTCGATATGTGGGAGAGAATAGAGCTTTTCCATCTAAAGGTTAATAAATAGGATAGTTAATTTTAATTAACTTAGCAATAAAGTTAGTGAACTTGAGGAATCTAAGATGTTTGAAGAAATAAATACTTCTTCTCCAACGTAGACATTTTAACCTTAGCCTAATACAAATAAAGTGCCAACAAAGATTAAGCTAAGCCAGAACCAAAGTCTGATTAAGGTAAAAATATGCCCTTTAAATATAGGTAAAAAGATCCTAAAGTTGATTAAGGGAAAACAGATCCTAAATCTGATTAAGGCAAATCAGATCCTAAATCTGATTCAGGGAAAACAGATCCTAAATCTGATTAAGGCAAAACTGAGCCTAAATCTAATTAAAGTAATTTTACTCATAAGAGTTGCAAGTCCTAAAGCTGAAAAAGGTAAAGATGAAAATTTTCCCGATTAAGGTATGACTGATCCTAAAGCTGATTAAGGTAAATTTAATATAATTATTTTAGGTAAAGCCAAAAGGGGATAAAAGTAAAATACAACCAAAAGATGATTAAGGTAGAATTATTTCTAAACCTAATTAAGGCAAATTTGAATCCTAAGGAAAAAAAAACCAAGATAAAAAGCAAAAATCAGAAAAAGCAGAAGAAAGATAGTCAAAGTGATAGTGAGAGCTAAGGAGAAGAAAGTGAAAAACCTGTTAATTTCAAATTATGCTAAGAATGGGAATGCACAAATTAAGTGATTGCTTGTGCTAAAGTTTCAAGTTGTGTACCTGCTATACAAAATTGCAAATTTGTAGCAGATAACGAATTGTCCATTATTTTTAATTAGATCAGATTATTATTATATTTATATAGATTATTTAATTAATTTTAACAAAATGTCTAATAATCCAGAAGAAGAATTACAAAGTTAAATGAACTAGATCATAGAAAATGGGATATTAAAAAATATTGAAAATGTGTAGCTTAAGAATAAAGTTCTTTAAAGTCTTTAGTTGAAAAGAGTTTCAAAGTTAACTTTAATTGGTATTGATATAAGTAAAAACTAAAATAAAAATAAGTTCTTGACTTAAAATTTCGAGGTGGATCTACACAGCTGAAGGATAAATATTCAAAAACATATGTTAAGTTGTTTGCTTAATTACCTTAACCAAAAGACGAGATTATCAATTATATTCTTTTCTTAATCACCTATAATATTCATTGGTATTTATGGAAAGATGCATAATATAAAGAATAAGTGAACATTAGGTAGTTTTTTACAATAATTGAAGATTTGTATACGATTGCTATCATATAGTAATATTTTACTCGAATGGATTATATGTTTCAGATGCATATATAAGAGGATAAATAGATAAAATTTTCACATCTAAATTTTTAGAGTATGAAAGAATTCAAGATCAGATAATATTGTAAAAGAAATTGGAGTAGAAGAGAAAAGCTTAAGAAAAAACATTTTTAGGTAGGAAGCTTATGTTTCCAAATTTATCTGGTGATGGATTAACATTTGCTAAACATNAAAAGATGAAAAGAAAGATGAAAAGAAGGATGAGAAGAAAGACGAGAAAAAAGACGAGAAAAAAGATGAAAAGAAAGATGAAAAGAAGGATGAGAAGAAAGATGAAAAGAAAGACGAGAAGAAAGACGAGAAGAAAGATGAGAAGAAAGATGAGAAGAAAGATGAAAAGAAAGATGAAAAGAAAGATGAGAAGAAAGATGAAAAGAAAAAGGATGAACCTAAATAGAGCCCTGAAGAAAAGAAATTTAGATCATGTATTGAAGATAAATGTGGATCATAAGCTAAAGCATGTGACAAACAATGCAATTCAAAATTAGAATAATGCAAGGATGTAGTTTATGTTGCTGGATACTAAGCTGTAAGACTATTAAAATAATTTTTTAGTATTTGGATTGCATCAATGAAAGTAAGCCTGCAGTTGCCCTACTTGAGTGTGTTTAATCTAAATGCTTGGAGTGAAAATAATTTTAAATTTAAGCAAATTCATATCAAATAATTATATAAAAAATCCATGCCTTCCTAATACTTGATATTAAAAGTTTAAACTACTAATTCTTAATCAATATATTATCTAGTTAGCAATGAAATGATTTTCCACTGATTATATCAATTTATTTAATTATGAAAACTCTAACCCTGTTATTTAGTCTATGCATAAAAGTTTAAAAAAATGCATTCTATATAATTTTTTTAGCTCGATATGTGGGAGAGAATAGAGCTTTTCCATCTAAAGGTTAATAAATAGGATAGTTAATTTTAATTAACTTAGCAATAAAGTTAGTGAACTTGAGGAATCTAAGATGTTTGAAGAAATAAATACTTCTTCTCCAACGTAGACATTTTAACCTTAGCCTAATACAAATAAAGTGCCAACAAAGATTAAGCTAAGCCAGAACCAAAGTCTGATTAAGGTAAAAATATGCCCTTTAAATATAGGTAAAAAGATCCTAAAGTTGATTAAGGGAAAACAGATCCTAAATCTGATTAAGGCAAATCAGATCCTAAATCTGATTCAGGGAAAACAGATCCTAAATCTGATTAAGGCAAAACTGAGCCTAAATCTAATTAAAGTAATTTTACTCATAAGAGTTGCAAGTCCTAAAGCTGAAAAAGGTAAAGATGAAAATTTTCCCGATTAAGGTATGACTGATCCTAAAGCTGATTAAGGTAAATTTAATATAATTATTTTAGGTAAAGCCAAAAGGGGATAAAAGTAAAATACAACCAAAAGATGATTAAGGTAGAATTATTTCTAAACCTAATTAAGGCAAATTTGAATCCTAAGGAAAAAAAAACCAAGATAAAAAGCAAAAATCAGAAAAAGCAGAAGAAAGATAGTCAAAGTGATAGTGAGAGCTAAGGAGAAGAAAGTGAAAAACCTGTTAATTTCAAATTATGCTAAGAATGGGAATGCACAAATTAAGTGATTGCTTGTGCTAAAGTTTCAAGTTGTGTACCTGCTATACAAAATTGCAAATTTGTAGCAGATAACGAATTGTCCATTATTTTTAATTAGATCAGATTATTATTATATTTATATAGATTATTTAATTAATTTTAACAAAATGTCTAATAATCCAGAAGAAGAATTACAAAGTTAAATGAACTAGATCATAGAAAATGGGATATTAAAAAATATTGAAAATGTGTAGCTTAAGAATAAAGTTCTTTAAAGTCTTTAGTTGAAAAGAGTTTCAAAGTTAACTTTAATTGGTATTGATATAAGTAAAAACTAAAATAAAAATAAGTTCTTGACTTAAAATTTCGAGGTGGATCTACACAGCTGAAGGATAAATATTCAAAAACATATGTTAAGTTGTTTGCTTAATTACCTTAACCAAAAGACGAGATTATCAATTATATTCTTTTCTTAATCACCTATAATATTCATTGGTATTTATGGAAAGATGCATAATATAAAGAATAAGTGAACATTAGGTAGTTTTTTACAATAATTGAAGATTTGTATACGATTGCTATCATATAGTAATATTTTACTCGAATGGATTATATGTTTCAGATGCATATATAAGAGGATAAATAGATAAAATTTTCACATCTAAATTTTTAGAGTATGAAAGAATTCAAGATCAGATAATATTGTAAAAGAAATTGGAGTAGAAGAGAAAAGCTTAAGAAAAAACATTTTTAGGTAGGAAGCTTATGTTTCCAAATTTATCTGGTGATGGATTAACATTTGCTAAACATTTGAATGAAAAATTGAAACCACAAAAAATTTTAAGAAAAGATTCTACTAAAATTGAATAATTTGAAGACCAAAATGTTTAAGTATCTGCTTAAACTAAATATTTACTATCTCACCTTTAGCTAAATGTTAATTAGGTTTCTCCTTCTGTAAAACTAGTATTACACATGAACAAACCACAAGTTCCGTTTTCAAGACCTAAGATGCTTTAGCATAATTTTGAAAAGTCAGATGAAAAACTTAAATTTGTTGGATTACTTAACAATCAACCTTAAATTTAGAAAAAACAAGATATTAAANCTAAAGCTGAAAAAGGTAAAGATGAAAATTTTCCCGATTAAGGTATGACTGATCCTAAAGCTGATTAAGGTAAATTTAATATAATTATTTTAGGTAAAGCCAAAAGGGGATAAAAGTAAAATACAACCAAAAGATGATTAAGGTAGAATTATTTCTAAACCTAATTAAGGCAAATTTGAATCCTAAGGAAAAAAAAACCAAGATAAAAAGCAAAAATCAGAAAAAGCAGAAGAAAGATAGTCAAAGTGATAGTGAGAGCTAAGGAGAAGAAAGTGAAAAACCTGTTAATTTCAAATTATGCTAAGAATGGGAATGCACAAATTAAGTGATTGCTTGTGCTAAAGTTTCAAGTTGTGTACCTGCTATACAAAATTGCAAATTTGTAGCAGATAACGAATTGTCCATTATTTTTAATTAGATCAGATTATTATTATATTTATATAGATTATTTAATTAATTTTAACAAAATGTCTAATAATCCAGAAGAAGAATTACAAAGTTAAATGAACTAGATCATAGAAAATGGGATATTAAAAAATATTGAAAATGTGTAGCTTAAGAATAAAGTTCTTTAAAGTCTTTAGTTGAAAAGAGTTTCAAAGTTAACTTTAATTGGTATTGATATAAGTAAAAACTAAAATAAAAATAAGTTCTTGACTTAAAATTTCGAGGTGGATCTACACAGCTGAAGGATAAATATTCAAAAACATATGTTAAGTTGTTTGCTTAATTACCTTAACCAAAAGACGAGATTATCAATTATATTCTTTTCTTAATCACCTATAATATTCATTGGTATTTATGGAAAGATGCATAATATAAAGAATAAGTGAACATTAGGTAGTTTTTTACAATAATTGAAGATTTGTATACGATTGCTATCATATAGTAATATTTTACTCGAATGGATTATATGTTTCAGATGCATATATAAGAGGATAAATAGATAAAATTTTCACATCTAAATTTTTAGAGTATGAAAGAATTCAAGATCAGATAATATTGTAAAAGAAATTGGAGTAGAAGAGAAAAGCTTAAGAAAAAACATTTTTAGGTAGGAAGCTTATGTTTCCAAATTTATCTGGTGATGGATTAACATTTGCTAAACATTTGAATGAAAAATTGAAACCACAAAAAATTTTAAGAAAAGATTCTACTAAAATTGAATAATTTGAAGACCAAAATGTTTAAGTATCTGCTTAAACTAAATATTTACTATCTCACCTTTAGCTAAATGTTAATTAGGTTTCTCCTTCTGTAAAACTAGTATTACACATGAACAAACCACAAGTTCCGTTTTCAAGACCTAAGATGCTTTAGCATAATTTTGAAAAGTCAGATGAAAAACTTAAATTTGTTGGATTACTTAACAATCAACCTTAAATTTAGAAAAAACAAGATATTAAATATACTTAAAATATTTTAGACAAATTTAATTTGAGAGCTCCTCCAAAGGAATATTATTAAAAATTTGCAAAGGTAGATCCTTTATTTAAGGAAATGCTTGAATTGAATTATGTTCTCAACAACCATTAAGAGAGTCTTCATGATTTATACTAATTCAAGGAATTGGGACAATATGAGATTTAGATGCCTTTATCTGAGGAATCTCCATTAGATCAATAAATTCAACATAAGTCATAATTTGATACTCCTGATGATGGAACCAATACATAGCCTCCTTAAATAGAATAACCACAAATAATTTTACCATAAGTTTAAGGAGAGTAAAACTTTAAAGTTACAGATTCATTAAATATCCTTGATTAGAAACAGGGATAATAGAAATAGAATGTTCCTCTTTATTAATCAAAATAAAAAGAATATAAATAAAAATATGATAGATTTATATAATCTGAAAGCACAGATAATAAAATAAATAGTATTTATGTTGATCTTCAGAAGAAATAACATGTAATAATGAATCATCATCATAAGAGTTCTAGAAGAAAATGAATTATATTTAAATAGAAATAATATATCTTAATTTAAAAGTATCTCGATTAGAGAGAAATATAAATAGAATTTGTTATTAGTAAAAAAGACAATGGCTGAGGGCCATTTGTTGTCTAGTTAGTGTGGATATAATATATATTAACGTTTTAATGATTTAATCTCTAATTTGCGAACATTATTGAACTGAAGTCTGAAGATTGAAATTTTTGGAATCTTATGAGATGGTTAAGGAATTCAGGAAGAGAAGGACGATTTATTCATATTTAATTTGCATTTACTCATATTTTTGATTAATTATTAAGACAATTGTGGAGGGCTAAGAATAAACATTTACTTTAAAATCCCACATAGATTAGTAGCTGGGCGGAGCGACAACAACTAGAGGAGGACGAATTGATCACAGAACCAAAGGAGATATTGGCAACCCAAATCAACCTTATAGAGCTCAACAGAGGGAAATCTATTAAGTTAATTATTAAATGTCCTATCACATAGACAACAATCTTTTTAAGAAAGTTTTGTAAATAAATATGAACAAAATTCATATATAATTTATGGGTTGTTAAATATTTAATATAATGAATATTAATTAATCTCAATATAGTTTAGAGAATGAGAAACTCAAAATAAAAATCAAGTATCTGGAAGATTTTATTGAGAATTCAAATAATTATGAAAAAACTAATTAACTCTTTGATCTAAAACAATTCTTATCAAAAAATTATAAAAGATTTAGCATGCTATTGGATGAAATCTACTATTTAAAATAGTAAGTTGAAGGAGAACAAATGTAAAGGATTAATGAAGCATAGAAACTATAAACAGAAATTAATTAACTCAGAATGACAACTAGTTAACTATAACAATAATTATCTTAATCATAACTTTAACTATAATAATAATAACAATAATAAATTGAAGAAAGTGAACATGATGTTTATAGAGGATCTTTGAATCCAATATAAAGATTAGAGCAAATAGAAAATCTTGAAAATACCATCAAATAATTATCAGATGAAGTATCAAAATAAATTTAATTAGATAGAGGAAATTACTCAACTCAATATCAAATAAAGAGAGTAGTTAAAGAAGAAAGATTTTTTTAGAGAATACGAGATGATGTGTAAGGAAACAGAGGGATTACGATAATAAAATGCAAAATTGTTAGACTAATTAAAAGCTTTCAATTCTAACAGAACAAATACCAATTCATAAAACTAAGGAAATATGAATGGATTTTGAGTATCATTTTTCTATATATCTATATAAGTAATTAACATATAATAGTATCATTTATATGCTCTAGCTGCCTAATAATAATCTTATCTAGGCTTATAATCTTAGGCTTTGGGTTAAGATTCTTAAGGTTTTCTTTACTACTATAAACTTTCTAAATAAGCTTTCTATTATTCAATTTCTTCCCTTGTAAGACCTAAAGCCAGGTAATCTATATCATCATCAACAGCTTTTGGTTATTATCTAAAATTTTATAATTTATTATACTATTTTTTTTATTAGGGTTGTTAACTATATTATCTATGTAAATTTTGATCTGATTATTTTTTATCAATGCCTCTCATATCAAATTATTTATTATCATAGTATTTATTTTCTTATTATCTATTTAAATAAGAATTAGGATCATATTATCGTTGTTCATTTGTCTTTCTATCTGGATACTTCTATTAGTTAGACTATTATTAAGCATATTTATCAGTTAATTTTTCTTATTAAGGATATACATTTCTAACCTCTTAATTACCAGAAGCTTATCTTTTTATGACATTTGTTGTTGGTTGAAGTGGATAATCTTTTGGTTTATTTTTTTATTCAACTGCAATTTGTTATTACTATTAATTGAAATTGTAATATTATTATGGGGTTTTTCTATTTTAAGAATGATTATCTGTTCTAGTTTCAACTGGTTTATCGTACTTATTAATAGGTTATCTAATTTATTATTATTATTATTATTATTATTATTATTAATTGTAAGGTATTGATGGTTTTTCATAACCAAATATTTCATGTTTTGCTTATACTTATTATTATGGTCTGCTAACTTATTCAGCTTCTGCTTGAAGTTTATATTTATAATCAAAATTCTTATAATCAGGCTTAGGTGGTTAAACACTTTATTAAGGTTGTTATGGAATTTATCTATTTTCAACTGTTTTTTAAGTTGGTTATTTATCTTAAACTAATTCTTTTGGTTTTGGAGGTACACATGTAGCTACATGTTTAGTTAAATCTCTAATCATAATATATTGTTTGCATATATCACACTTTTCTGTTCTACTACCGCATAAATTTTCATGTTGAAATATTTAATCTTTAGTTTAATCTAATCCACAATGTATACATGGGACTGGTTGTTTAAGACATTTTGTATGTTTTGATATATCTACATTGATATAATGAAGTACCTTAGAATATTTCTTTACAAAATTCGCATTTAGTTCCTTTATGAAATTCTTCTTCATGAGATTATGGGTCATTCTTATCAAAGAATTATCCACATCTCTTACATTCTATGTTATTACGAATGCAATAGATTTCATGCAATGCAAATACTGTCTCTGCGATTTAAGCTCTACAGTTTGAACACAATTATGTCTGTTGGGACATTATTTTTTAATTAAATAATCGTTGGTTAGATTTTTATAATGAGAATAGCCCCAATTAAGATAGTACTTAAATTATTATTATAGTTTATATTAAATTTATTTTTGCTCTCTTGATCCTTTTCAATTAGTATGAGTATCATAAATTGAATCTCGAATTCATGTAAAAGTAAAATGAATTATTTTCAAAGTTTATTTGAGAGCCATCAGAAAAATCATTTAACTCGTCTATTATGATCTATTCAATTAATTTTATGAAGATGGAGAATCTGGAGGGTTAAATTAAAATATTGGTTTACAGATTAGTCAGCTTATTGAAGTATTTAATAATTAATTTTATATTTGATTACAAAGAAATCTCAATTAATTATAGATAAATTAATTTGATTCTTAATAGAAGTAGATAATTACTAAAAATCAACTCAAATTAAGAGAGTAGATTTTAAAATTAAGTGATTGTTTCATATAATAATGAGATTAATATGAAGAAGATATATATATATGCTTTTGGTATAATAACATCATCAATTAAAATAGAAAGAAAAATTACAAAGGATTTGTTAAAACAAATAAAATTTAAGAATAATTTTTTAATTATAAAAAGGAATCAATATTATTTTAATGGAAGATGTTTATATTATTTGTTTTGATAAGTTTATTTCTTTGTTTTTAATTAATAAGATATTTTTCAAAGTTTAGGAGAATATTTAATTAAATTTATTTATATTGATATATTATTTTACAATATATATATATTTGATTTGGTAAATAAGTTTGAGATGAGAGTACTTAAAAATTATTAAGTAATAAATTTAATATAAGTATCAAATGTTTTTTCTATATTATGAGGGTAGTTTAATTTGTTCATTGCTTTAAAATTCGCAACTCAATTATTGCTGAATTTCATGGAGATCTTCTAAAAAGTTAGACCTGATGTTCTAAACTTTGCTAGATTGTTAATCTCTAGATGATGGAAGAGCTTAAAATGTTATAAAATTTGAGAAATGTTGTTCTGAGGAGATTGTTTTGAAAGAGTAAGATTATAAGGCAGTAGATATGCAAGCATGTTTTTAATACATTTGAGGTTATCTTTGATTGATTTGTAGAGGGACTGCTTCTTGACCAGGGGAACTGGCTCTTGGTGAAAATTAATCATCTCTTTTGTGGATAATAGATTCTTAACTTGAAGAGTCAACATCATCAAATTTAAGAGTATCAACACGAGGAGAGTTTTTACAGCACCCAACGCTTCCCATAAAATAGGTTAAATTAAATATTAATTAATATATTGTTTATGATAAAAATGTTAGATTTAAATAAAACTTAATTGATTGTTATAGATTCAGTTTTAAGATAAATTTATTAGGTGATTTTTATTAATAGTAGCACCTTATAAAATTATTGATTTATAAGTATTATAAAATAATTATGGATTTATAAAATTAGAGAAGAAAGAGCAAATTTTCATTTTCTCGAGCCCCTGTCTATGATAATACATAATAAAATACTTTGCAACAATTTAAAAATAAGTTCAAAGGTTAGAGTTAATAGTATAATTGATTAGGCTAAATGCTACAATTGATAAATAGGAGCGAGAATGGAAATAATAAATAATAGGAAATACAATAATTTTTAAGTCGAATTAGTGTAGAGTTAGATGAAGAAGATCATAAATATATAAAATTTGAATTGAGTGAATATAATGAGAAATATACTGAAGGAGAGGTTTTAGGAGAAGGATGTATTGGATTAGTAAAGAGTATTACAAGAAAGATAGATGGATAAGAGTTGGCATGTAAGACAGTAAAAACAGATGCTGAAGAAATTGTGAAGAATGTAGATAATATTGATATATGAGTTAGATGATATTGGAATTCAAGAATCTAAAAAAGTTGAGTCATCCTCGCATTGTAAAAATGGAGGAATTATATATTCAATGGAATGAGGGATTCTAATCAACTGGAACTGTTTATGTAGTAATGGAAAAAGTGAAGGGTAGCGAGATGTTTGAAGTGATTTAAAAATAGAAGAATTATAGTGGTATTTGAATAAATAAGGATAGAGTGTATTGCTAGAATCTTATTTTAACAAATATTGGAAGCAATTGATTATATGCATGAAAATTATTGTTGTCATAGAGACTTGAAACCGAATAATATTTTATGTGCAGAAGATGGTAGATCAATCAAGATTACTGATTTTAATGTAACAAATACTTATAATTTAATTAAGGTATCCAAATTTACAGATGGATACAAAGAATTTGGAAATCTTAATGAACATGGAAAAATTGAAATGTGGACATATACAGGGACAGTTGCATTTTCAGCACCAGAGATATTTTCAGGAGGTTTGTACAAGTAATAACATTATATTTATTTAGTGAATAAGTTGATTTATGGAGTGCAGGAGTGATATTATATGTAATGTTAAGTGGAGAATTACCATTTAATTCTGATTATTTAAATGATTTGATTGATAAGATTTAATAATGTAAATATGAAATGGTTGGTCCTATTTGGGATTAGATATCTTATTAAGCTAAAGATTTGATAAGCAATTTATTATAATTTGATCCTTAAAAAAGACTCACTCCATAATAGGCTTTAGAACATCCTTGGGTTAAGAATGCTTAAAATGAATCAAATTTACCTAGAGATAGATTAGAAAAGAATATGGCTAGATTTTTGAATTGGAAACCTTAAGAAACCTAGATGAATGCCAAAAAAATTAAATAACTCTGTTTCCTATTTGGAGCAGGGGAAATTTGGAAGAGAAATTCTTTGAAACATTCATCAGTCTCTACTATATCAGAAGAATTTAAGAAGTTCAAGTCAATTGACATCACTTCATTCAAAGCTACTGAACATATACAAGTAATAAAGGATAAAAATTCAAGTCACATTTATCATATTGATTATCCATTTAGTGACGATGAATCTGATTGATATATAGAATGAAATAAATATCTATATAAATTTAATATTAAAAATAAAACAACTCTCTCATCTTTCTTTGTTTTAATTACTTTAATCATAGGATATGTAAATCTTCAATTAACTATTTCATACTTATATAATATCGAAAACTATGTAGTTTCATAATTTTTAGTAAAATTTCATAAGGTATCTTATAGCTTAAATTATTAAAATTATTTCAATTATGATTTTTAATATTACTTCAGTTAAAATATAAATAATCATTTAAATTGAAAATCTGCCATAGATTAAATATATTAGAAATCCTTTTAGGGTATAATTCTAGAATATATAAATTATTAAATAGTTATATAATATATATGTAGATGCTTATTAGTATCACTTAATGGGTATACTTTCAATAAAGAATGAATTTATAATTTAAATTCGTTTTTAATAATAATAAAAAAAGGAAAATACTATTATTAGTTCTAATTAGTTTGGTAGTATTCAAATAGAATAATAGGCATTATGCAAATTAGGAACAGATCCAAAGATTTTCTTAACAGAAATTGATGATCATCATATGGGCAAAACATTTTTGAAAGCTATCCAAATCAGTCTTGCCACTGGTTCACCTGTACATAAAATTCATTGTAAAACTATTATTTATAATATTTTAAATCATTTAATATTTAAATTTAATTGTTAATCCTAATAATTACAAGGCATAACTTTAGATTCATGTTAGAATAAGAATAAAAAGATTCAGATCTATTTATTTAAAATACATAAGCTTCTTGTAATAGATTATTGCATGACTTTTTCTACAAACTTAGCCTATCATCAAAGTTAATTGAAGGCACATTAAAAAATAGTTTCAGTAGAAATTGAAGAAAATACAAAGAAAACAAATGCAGGACAGAGTGAAAGAGATTTATAATATGCAGAATTCTAATTAAAAATTAAGGATCATACTGAAGCTATTTCAGCAATTGATGAAGCTAATGCAGTTATTGAACATTTATCTGGAGGTTCTTCATTTATTCAAGTTAAAGGAAGATTCAATAAAGTTTTATAGAGATTACAAAGGTATTTTTATTTAGATGGTTGATAGTCAATCTACAGGTTTATTATTTTAACCAATCTTAACAATGTTGATTCAATTGTCTTCAAAATTAGATACAGATACTGATAAGAAAGTGCTTTAATTGTTGGCTAATTTGAGAGTTTAAATAGTTGATAGTAAAGGAAATGATGAAACTATTGAAAAACAATAAAGTTTGAAATGTTAATAATTTTTGGCAGACTTAACAAATGAGAAAAACACTTTGTAATATCTTTATTTTTTAATATAATTAGATCAGATCAAAGATAGAATTTAGAATAAGCAATTCTTAATTATCAAAGTATAATTGAAGAGTCTGAAGGGAAAGTGGAATATCATGCTGTTGAAGTAGAGAGAAATTAGGTAAAAGAAGATTTAAACAATAGAATAATTTAGAAGGTTAAGATTAATGGTGTAGATAATAATAAGATATTTATTATATGGAAACTTAATCAAGAGTTTAGACTTAAGATTTAATATCAAGAATATCAGGTCATATTTAAGATATAATTGTTACACTTAAAGAATATTTAAGAGAGAGACTTCAATAAAATTGAGATTTCTATAAAATATTATTATAAAATATTAAAATAGATATAGAGAAAAAAAAAGTGATACTTTAATTCACAAATTACATTGTTATTTTTAACTCTAGACTAATTTTATCACACTACTTTATTGTAAATAAATCTAAGGATTAATTTATTTGAATTTTTTATGTTAAATTTTAGCATATTTCAAATAACAAGGCTATATATATATATATAATTTTAATACTTTGTTTTATGGTGTATTTTTCCATTTCCTTCCATTGAAATAACTATAAAAATCTCTTAAGTAAGATTTTGATTTCAAATTGATAAAGGCATATCCAGGATTGGAAGTACCATCAAATGGAAAATTAAAATAATCAAATTTGTTTTTGAATTTTGGATCTATTTCCATCATAATCATTTCCTTTGTATAGGTTTAAGGAATGTTTCTCATCATTAAAGTTGTTCTATTATCACCATCAATCTTAAATTTATGTTTGAGTTCATACATTTGTAATATTGAAGTCAAATGATTATTCACTTTCTTCAGACTTATCAAATACTCCTTGAATAAATTAAAGTTATTCTGAATGAATTGAACTAAATGTTTAATTACTACTTATAAAGATCTAAGATTCTTTGAATAATAAAAATCAATAAATACAATATGCTTCAAGTGTAGAGTTCATAAATTCATCAGATATAGATGAATCATCACTATAATGTCCATCATCATCTTTCTAATTGAATTCATCTATTTCCTTAAACAATGATAATTTATATAGTTTTCTCTTCATATTTAAATTAAATTAACAACTTATTAAACTTTTAAATTATGTTAAAACACATTTATACATCATTAAATAAATTGTTCAATTCTTTATTATTTCTCTGGTTTTGGAGCTTCATATTAACCTGGATTATTGAGTTCAGCATTTCTTTATTTTCTATTCTTAGATTCTTTCATTTCCTATCTCTATTTCTTTTTATTCATAAGATATTTAGGTAAATGTCTATGTTTAGCAATCCTCTTTATTTCTGGATTATATTTAAACTTCTCTTTCAAAGCCTATCTATAATTTGTAGCATTAGTTTCTCTTTAATTAATTATACCAACTTTCTGACTTGCATTTACTTTCCAAATTCTTATATTCATATCATTAGATCCACTATATACAAATTAAGCATCACCAGAGAATGAAACTGAATTAACTTATTACATTCTCTATCCATGATATACTTCTCTTGAAAATCCTTTATTAAATGGGAATATTCTAATAGTTCTATCAAATGATCCAGAAACAAATTCTCTTCCACTAGAACTAAATGCTACTGACATAACAGCTGAAATATGATCTTTATGAATCATAGTAGGTAATTCAATCTTTCTAATATCATATGTATAACAATTTGAATCATCATTTCCAATTACAATATTTAATGGTTCAATTGGATTCCATGCCAAACATTATGATTTATTTAACATAGCTACTTTATGAATTGCAGATTCAGCTCTAACATCATACAATATTACACATCTATCCATTGAAGTTCCACAAATTAAATTACTATCAGCAGGAGAATATCTCACACAACTAACTGAATCTACTCCCCATTAAAATTTCATAATTGGTTTTGGTCTTTCATAATCCCAAACTTAAACTACTTATCCTGCAGTTGCAAATTATGATAACTAATAATTATGATCAACATTTCCTAAAGTTCCTTTACTTAAATAACGCATCAATGGATCCTGAAAAGTATTATTTGATTATTCCAACAATTAAGGAAAATCATATAAGTTTATTGTCTTATCTTCTCCTGATGAAACTATACGCATTCCATCTCTACTAAATGATACTCCCTTTACCATTTATTAATGTGCATCTATTTAATTTATTAACTTTTTATTTACTTAATTATACTAATGTTCTTCTACTTGGAATATCCCAAATTCGTATTTCTCCATCATAACTTCCACTTACTAATTTTGATAAATTGAATCTGCAAGCTTCAATACAACTCACACCATCTGAGTGTCCATTCAATGCTCCCAAGAATGGTTAAGCATATATTTTTTCTACTTTTGTAGCTACTAAAGCTCGTTGATATTCTCTGGCATGTGCTAAAGGATGTACTTTTGGATTAGGATTCCTATATACTTTAGTAATATCAGCATTTGTTGATCTTTCTTATCCAGACCTACAGATTGTGTTGAATTTTACCATAAATTATTAATATATACATATATTAATATTAAAAATGAATTTTATACAAAGAGCAGCTTATCGTTATGGATAAAACAATATCTCCAAACTTGAGTAAATAGGATTAAGTCATACTAAAAGTGTCAGCTTATCAAGACCTTCAAGGTAATTCTAAATTTATTAAGTATCAGGAATTTCCATCCTGGACAATAAGCACCAAATGCTTATAGTGAATAATTCACATATCCAAAGGACTATAGACCTTGGACAGTTAATTATAAGTACAAATAAAATACAACTATGATAGAAAGGATGGAGCTTTTTGGTTAGTCATGGGTATTTCTTGGTTTGCATATTTCTCTTATGAATTGGCATATTTGAGAAGAACAGAGCAAGAAGAAAGACCAAATAAGGATTATTATGCTTCTTGATGAAGTTAATATATATACATAATATAAATTATTAAAATCAATGAAAGTTGATCTAGACAATATTAGTAGTGATGATGATTTAATATTTCATACAGGTTTGGGATTCAAGAAACCTAAATTCAATCATGATGAAGAACATAAGATGGAAATGGAAATACCAAAATAAAAGATACCTTAATCATAACCATAAAGAGCTCGATTAAATCTCTTTTAAGAAGAATTTGAATAAACTCCAAAATAGTAGGTTTAAGATACTCCTAATAATTAACACCAACAAATATATAAGGAATATCAAAGAAATTAAGCATTTGCTAATTTTCAAAAATCTAATGCTTCTCTTCTATCAAATGTAGATAAAGGTGTGACTGTGAAAATATTTGATAAGAATATGCCTAAGAATGAAAAAGTTAATGAAACTGGATATATTATCAAATAGAAGCGATCAGTGTAATTTAATCTTGATAATAATATTGTTCATCCAATAGTTAAACATGAAGATGAGTATTTAACATTGACAGAAAAGCTTCATCTTTCAAATAATATCAGACGTTCTTGGTAATTTTATAAAGTTGATTCTGATTCTGAAGTAGAAGCTTAAGATGATGAAAGTGATGATTCCATTATTTAAGTTGTGAGTTAAGCAACTACTCCTAAACCAAAGGGAATTTTAAAGAAGAAACTCTAAGTCTTTAAAGAAGATGATGGTAAGAAAACAATTACAGTGGAGTAGGTTGCATTTAAAGATAGTAGAAATAAAAAGAATTTGAGTTAAAGAGAAAAAAAGAATTTAGAAAAAAGAGTGGAAGAACATGATTATGGTATAGGGTTGAAATTTATGTAAAAATTGGGATATAAATATGGAGAAGGTTTAGGTGCTAATAAATAAGGTAGATTGGAGCCAGTAATTGCTGTAAAGAAATAATCATTTACAGGGGAAGGAGTTTAGGAATAATAATATTAAAATGAGGAAGAATAATAAGAAAATGAGAATAATTAGATTTAAGAAAATATATAGAAGCCTTTTTTTGAATCTAAGAAAATGAATAAATATGAAAAATAATGGAGAAAAAAGAGGAATAAGTAAGATGGATAAACTATTGTTTAAAACAAAAAGGAAGATGTATTGAATTTAGATAGGAATCATATAATGGGTAATATAATGAGAGAAGATTAGAATAGTAATAAATATAAAATAATTGATATGACAGGTAGTGATATTAATGATTATTTAAATAAGACTTAAGATGTATAGATGTAAAATAATAAAGTTGTTAGGGAATATTTGAAAGATGTTTAAGAATTAACTTGGTCAGTTTAAAAGATTTTAGAAAAACGTTTAGGAAAATGGGAGAATAATGAATAGAGTATTTAGAAGGAGAAGGATAAAATGATAATTTTAGAACATGAGAAATAGGAAGAGTTAATTTAATTTACATAGTGGAAAGATTCTGTTAAAAGAAAAGAAGACTTTTTAAATTATTTAAAATTTTTTAAGGAAGATGAAGTTTTGATTTCAAATGATTAATTTCATATATTTGCAAAATTTGAAGAATGTTTTAGAAAGTTTAGTGATTAATTTATTTAATTCAATTTAATTGGATTAATAGTTAAAAATGCTGAATAAGAGATTAAGACATTAATAATTAGATGGAAAGGACCACTTACAAAAATTGATATCTTATAAAATGAATATTAATTGATATCATAAGTTATTAATTTGGCTAAGGATGTTTATATATAGAAGAAATCTTAAAATTTATGTAAATATGCTGAATAATTGGATGTTTTTATTATTAATAATTCAATTTCAAATTCTGATCTTAATACTTTAAAAAGATTTATTGGAATATTGATTGCTCCTATTCTTATAAGATTAAGAAATTATATTTCATAAGTATTTGATCCAACATAAGAAAATTATTTAGTAGAATTCTTAGAATTATGGATGAAAGACTTAGCTTTAGTTGAAACTGATGAAACAGGAATCAATCAATTTTAGACTATAAGATTATTGGATTAATAAGTATAAAAGGATATTATGGGTATAGTTATGTCTAAACTTAAATTAAAGATTTAAGAATGGAATCTAAATTAAACAATATCTTTACATTAATGGTTGTAACCTTGGATTAATTCTAAATTGAATAATAAGGAATTACTTGATGAAGTGGAAAAGAAATTGAAATAATTGAAATTTACTGATAAAGATAGCTTTGGTTTTAGTGTACTGTAACCTTGGGCCAGATATTTAGGAGAAAATTGGAAAAATCTATTATATATGTCAGTTTTACCAAAGATGTTGTTCTGTCTTCATAATTTAGAAATCAATCCATAAAATTAGAATTTGCAACCAATCAAAGAAATTTTCAAATGGATTGATGAAATTGAACCATATATTGAAATGATATTCTAACCATTAATTGAGAAATTAAATAATACTTTAGATATTTGGATATAACATTAGGGATGTAGAGATGAAATGAATAAGTAAAATGATTATTAATTATTATATAGATGGTTGGATGGATGGGAAAGATTCTTAATGAAAAGAGTTATTTAAAAAGTGTATAAGTTTTAAACCCAATTCAATTCGATGAAGCAGAAAATTATTTGATGATAGTTAAGTTTTTATGTCACTAGTACAATATATTATAAATGTTATGTTGCTTTCCTCATTCAACTTCATAGATTGTCATATATTAAATTAATGAATAAATTTTGAAAATATAATGTAATATCTACTGAAGTTTATTATAGAGTTGTTGAGTACATAAAATAAGTAATCAGTTGAATTGTTCATCATTTTCCTTGAAGCAGGACTTCTTTCTGTTTTATTTCCCTGGACTACATAACTACGGATTTAAATATGAAGACTCAATCAACTCTATACTACTATGTATTTATGATTTCAATCTTTGTCTAAAATGAAGTATTTCTTCTTCTGAGTATCTGAGAAATATGAGAGTTGAAGAAGCAAAACTTACTTTCCGTTCCATCTTAGAATTGTTCCATTATCTCTATTCAAGATCGAAATTCACTTCAAAAATATCCTCCAATGAAATAGACTTTTTTGTAGGCATCACAAACTTTAACTTAGGTCCCAAATTTGTAGTCATTCAGTTTTAAAAGATAATTTATATTTAATAAAGCAAAAATTACATTAAAAAATATTTTAATGGATTGAGAAATTCACTACTAAAATACATTTCTAAGGAGGAGAGCAAAAATATATCAAATTAAAAAATATTAATTTCAATCTTTATTTCGAACATTATTTATATGATAATATTTATTAATAAATTAATTCACTTATTTCATTCTTTATAATTATTTTTACTATTCTAGTCAAATCTTTATTGATTTAAAATAAGTAACAATATTATCTACTTGTAAAATTCTAGTGTAAAACATTTTTATTTTTTAGTCTAACTGTATTATTATTTTAAATACTTATTAATATTACTATAATAATAATTATTAATTTATATATTGTAAAATGGGAGGTTTTTAGAAGTACCCAATTCCTCGTTATGTGTTGGTAATTATCTTTTTATAAATATCTCTAGAGTGATGCCTGGCTTTACAATAGACAATGGTTTAGACATTCAGTACATGTAGCAATTCCAACATTAATTCTCTCATTCCTTATTTATAGAGGAGGAGTAACTTCATAGACATAGAAAATGGGAGAAGACTATTATGTTGATCCATAGGATTATCAATCACCAAAGAAATTGATTTTCTGAGACTTAAAACACAAATATATATAAATATATAATCTAATGCAATCAACCAATATTTCAAGTCCATAAAAACCTTCAACTGCTTCTCCAAGTATTACTATTTTACATAACATCAAGGTAAATCTATTGGACCATATCGTACTGTATTTATATATTGCAATATCTCTTATAGATTACTACTACTTATGCTCCATTTACTATTCTTCAAAAGAATTCCAAATTTGAAGATTCTCCCATTAAAAGAGTCAAATAATTTGATGATGATAAATTGATTAAATCCATTAAATTAATTAAGCCCAATCGAGAATAGAGTAAAAGCTGTTCTAAAAGTTAAGATAAAATTATCATAAAGGATATCAAAGATGATTCATAATATATAGGTTCTTATAATGGAAAAGTGAGAGAAGGATTTGGTAAATTATATAATGCTTAAGGCATTTTGATTTATGAAGGATAATGGTATAATGATTAATATCATGGCAATGGAATTCTGTTTAATCATGAAGTAAATTCTTAATTCACCAAATATCTTGGGTAATTCTAATTTGGATATAAATATGGAGCTGGTATAGAGTATTACAGAGATGGTTCTATGTATGTAGGTAATTTTGAATCTGATTGTCGAAACGGAATGGGATAACTAACCAAAAAAAATGGAGAAAAATTTAATGGGTTATGGTTAAAGGGTAAAATGATTTCTAGAATATGAATTTTGTTTATTATTTTTAATTGAATTATAAAAGTTTTTAGATATTCATTCTCATATCTAAAATTTTCAGAATATCAAGTAAATATGTAATGAAATCAATAGATTTAAACATTGAGTATGTGAGTATTACAATTTCAATTTAAATTAATAGGGTCTATTACTACAACTTTTTTGATTTTAACAACAAACTCTTTTGAACTAACATCATAATTTATACATAATGATTTAAGTGGATAGATAGAATATATAGTGTGATAGTTTCTAAATTTCTATTAAAATTAATTTAAGGGATAAATTAAGAGAAAAATAGAAAACATATTACAATTAGATGGATAATTTGTAATTTTTTAGAGATTGGACTAGAACACAATAAAAAAAGAATTTAAAGATTAAAAATGATAATAATAGGTGTTTTAATCTAATAAATATAACCAATAAATAACAGAGTTTATTAACCGTACATTGTGTTCAACTTGTATAGAAAAATGCTAAAAATTATAAAAAAAAAGGGTCAATACTACAAATACTTCAACTATCTTACATATTTATTGAAGTCTAAAAATAATTACATTGAATTTAAGTAAATGATTAAAAATTTTTATTAATTCTTTACTTGAAAATAAAAATGGAACGATTAAATTAGATTGATAAAAAGAAAATACTTTTTAAAACCTATACTCTTTATCAATAAAATCTAATTAAAATATGCAGTTTTAAATTTTCATATATACAATATGTCGTTTAATTCATCAATAATTAGGCTACCAATATAGATAAACTATTATTAGAGTAATTACTATAGATGAAATTTATATGTCATTAAAGTTATGAATATTCTTAGTCTATGAAAATATGAATATATTTTATATATATATGAAACTCAATCTAAAAGTTAAAAGTTAGAAACGGCTAATATAACAAATATTCAGAAGAATAGTTAGTAAAGGTTGATTTTTTTAATTCAGATACAAGTTCTTAATTTTCTATTAATATTATCTAATAAAATATTGATTGTATCTGATTATTGTATTAAAATTCATGTTTTAAAATCATAAAATATTCATTCAGATAATACATTATTAATCTTATCAAACAAATGAATTCTTCACAAAGCTCATTTACTGATCTTAACGATTGGGCTTTAGTATACTAAAATCTCCAAACCATTGAACCAGAGTATCTATCTTTGAAGCTCAAATTACATTTTAAAACTATACCCAATTTTGATGACTTTATCAAACTTTATGAGTCATCAAAAATTGGGTGCAACGAAGATTGGAATCACAATGAAGAGATTTTCTTATAACTCGTTGTCTTAAGTCTTAATCCTAGATGCATAAAGGTATAAAATTTGATGTAATATTTAAAGAATCGCTTCGACTGGGAGAAGATCCAAAAATTAATGCCAAAGTACAGGAGTCTGTCTGAATTGTGCTTTAAATTCTAATCTTTCTATAAAGCACAACTTCCCAGATAACCCTGGTCTTCTTTTGAAGATAAAGCTTTGTTGTAAATCATTTTGTATTTATCTTTATACTATATTTAGGGACAATACAAGTCGCTGCAAGAAAAAATGGAGCTCTATTGCAAACTAATACAATCTAAACTGTTAATCTGAGATTCTTAGAAATGCTAAATAATGCAGAGAGAGATGGAACAACAAGCTTGATCCATAGATAAATAGGTAATTATAAAAATTTAATCATACTTAGAGAACAATGGTCTAGATCTGAGGAGTTGCACTTTCTTCAATTGCTTCTTCAGAATGGACGAAGATGGGCTGACATATCTTTGAAATTGTCAATGATCACAAAATACAAGAGAAGAACTGAATTTGCTCTTAAACATAAATTCAAGTAACTTTAGAAGTATTATGGTAAATTAATCATTCTATATTTAGGTCACAAAGCTAAAAGACTCAATAAGACTGATTTCGAAATCAGTCCTCGTTGGAATATCCCGGAGGTTGATATGATTCTATCAAAAATAGAGATTATCTAAGAAAAATAAAAAAAGACTCGGACTCAAGAATATTCTTATTGTGAATTTTTGAGACCAACTTTTGAATTTTCCTTGGTGATAATCAAAAATGGATGCTTAATAAAATTGTGATGATTTCTATATATCTAACCATTCAAATATAAATAAATTAAATGTTGAGGATACAAAGATTCTCTGCTATTCTAACATTCGATTTAATAATCTAAAATATATTATATAAGACTTAGTTTCTGATCACTATTATCTCCCTGATTCAATTAAAACCTCAAAAAATTATTTATTTTCAAGATCATATAATTTGATTGATCTTTATTGGGATTTAATTCATCTTAATAGTTCATCATATCAATATATAAGAATCAGTGATATATAATTTATATAATTAAAGAATTGCATGATATTTATAAAAATCTAAGACTTTAATTATATTATAATAAATAGATAAATATATTTATAACAATTTTTGTATTTAATGATTTAAGTAAGATAATTTTTTTTATTCATTATTTTAACTAACCTATATATAGTAATATTGATATATTTTAATATTATCCTAATCAAAAAAAGTTAATTTAAAAATTTTTTAGATGGAGTTTTCAGAAATGATTTACAAAAATAATAAGAGAGGCGATTAAAAAATATAATAAATATGACTTATAAAAAATTTAGAAAAATTCTCATGCGTTAACACCATATTTTATAATTTAAATTAATTCTTTTACTATTCTTATAGAAAATCTATGCTAGATAAAAATAAAAATAAAATAAAAAAAGAAGTATTTATGTCTTAATGAAAAATATAATTTTGACATTCATTTTAATCTTTATCTATATTTTATTTTAATTTATTTTGCTCATAATAATCGGTTTTTATCAAATTTATTTAAAAATAATATATTTTGTATAATAAAGATAGATGTCTATTAAATAGATTAGAATTTAATAAAATTTATAAATTATTTATGATATTAAATGATATATAATATTTATTTTTTGATAATATAGGAACATCATCAAGTATTTAATGAATTCTAATATGATGGATAACTAAAGTACTCAAATTGATCAAATTTTATTTAATTTGTAAAATATTTGATTATGTAATCTTCAATTAATTCTTAAATTAGAATTAAATGATACTTTCTATTAATTGTGAGAACGATAGTAACCTCAAAACTTAAAACTTAGAACTTCTAAATTCATCTACACGATTACCTTAAACAACAAATTTATAAATTAATACATTATATCAAACTGGATCTCCATTAAAAAGAGTGAGAACTTTAAAAAGTCTAAGAATCAAAGATAAAGAAACAATAGTAAATAGAATTAGTAAGAGTTTTGAATTAAGAAATATAAGGAATATAAAAAAATTATAATAAAGAAGAAAAAGTGGTACAGAACAACTATCATAAAAGTAGGTAAAACATTTCTAATATCAAATAATAGCTACATATTGATTGTTAATATCCTAATACAATCATCAAATAATAAGAAATTATATCCAATGAGTTATAAAGAACAAAGTAAAGAAAACGGACTGTATTAAAGAGAATGTCTAGCATTCTCATTAAACATTAAACCACTATTAGAAATATTAATAATCAAGGCAATTAAAGAAATAGCGAAGTTTAGTTACTCATGTTATAATCACAATAAAAAGGAAATGATGAAACTAATGTTACATAATCTTAAGAAGTAAAAAAACATAAACTAAGATCCTCTGTTATAGAACCTGAACAACCTAAAGTAGTCTTGAATATTTCTCTAAAATCAAAAAAGGCATTTGCTTCAATCTAAAGTTACATAAATGGAAAAGCAATAATATAAACAAAATAACAAACATTAAATCAAAATAATTGTATGAATTAAACAAATCCATTTATGAACTACATGGGTTGTTAGAGTCTTACTGAAATGAATGGATTAATTTAAAATAATTCACCATTGATTTTAGGAAGATATCAAGTAACCAAACCAACATATCCTCTACCAGAAATTAAATTAATTTCTTCAGCCAGAAATAATTGCTCATTACTTGATACAAATTTCCTAAAATAGAAGAAACCAATTGGAAATACGTAAAGAAAATAGAGAATTTCTACAAATTCATGAAATATAATTTTTATTAATTTAACGTTCACTTATGCAAAGATAACAATAAGAATCTAGTCTATAATAACGTTTAGGGTTTGTGTAATAATACCATAAGAATCACCCAAATATCATTGAATTTAAACCTTTGTAAGATTATAAGACACAATAGAACTTAAAGTATATTAATTAGTATATATTCTTAATAGGAAACCTAAAGAACTAGAAGAATAACCTAAGTCATCATTAATGGATAATTTAAATAGAATCAATAATTTATATAAAGCTGTATCCCAACCTAGAATTGATGCAAAAGAAGTCAATCCACCTTAATATTTTTATAATTATAAATAAGGATGTTAGAAACCAGAATCAAATACTAATAAGGCTATAAAAGAGAACCAAATAGTTAAGACATTTTTGAATAATAATGAACTCTCATTAAAAGATTATGATTGGAAACCTACAAAAGGAAATGCATTTACAGCAAAATCTACTTCTCCAATTGATTTCAGTATGAATAAAAGTCCATTGAATAAGGTTACTCGAACTGACTCAGTTTTAGCCAATAAAAAAACAAATGAACCAGGAGTAACATTTTTAAGAGGTCTATATTGAAAAATTTGTACAATTTTTCGGATTATAATTTATATATAAACAAAATTTTGCTTTATTTAAATTTCTTATTTTTAATAGAATGAACCAAAAGAATTATTAAAACTGTAATATTAAGGGACATGATGATGAGTTTTTGAATATGATTTGCATAGATGAAAAATGCAAAAAAAATTAATTATTATGTTGTTATTGTGTTGAAGAAGATCATAACAAATGTTAAAAACTTCCGATCTCAAAGTTTTTAAAATAATTTAAGTAACAACATTAATCCTAGATGAATGATTAGGAATAAAACTATGAAAGGTAACAATAATATATAAAATTAGTCTTGAAGTCCCTTATAATATAATTTAATCAATTATAGAAAAGGCATAAAAAAAAATAATAGTAACATTTTTTAAATAGATAGATGCAATAAAAAAGTAATGTTTATATTAAGATTTTTAGTGCAAAATCTACAATACAATAATTGTTAAAAGAATAAAAAAGTATCAAAGATTAAAAACAAAAACTATAAGAATTTGAATCAAATATGACCTAAGAGAATTGTTCTTCCCTTCTTGCTGAAATAGTAGATTTTAAACCAAATTCTGATAGATTTTCATTCACTCTCAAAAAGATATAAGGATAAAAAATTGACTAGATATAAGATAGAATCTTACATGGAAGCAAATATTCACAATAATACGAAGACTTCATGAAAAGGTTTCTTGAAGATTTTGAAAAATAACATTAAGATATGGAGAAAAATTTTTAGAATTTTTTTTTAAAAGCACCACAAGAACTCTAAGATTTAGAATAAAATAATAATAATGTAAAATAATCAAATATGTAATCTGAAATTTAAATTAATTAAATTTAAGTATAAGATAGATAATAAAATACAATTGGTATAAATAGAAATAATACGAATATAAACAATATTGAAAATAATCAATCGCCAAAAATAAAAGGTAAATAAACACAAAATAATTTTATTTCACCAAATAACAAATAAATATAAAATTCTTAGATGTCTAGTGCTTAAATATCGAATTTAACTAAGTAATAATCCTTCTCAAATAGTAAATAAAATAATAATTAATAATCAATTGAAATAAATCAATAATCAACACCTCAATTTTAGTAATAACTTTAATAACCCATCTAATAAAATACTTCTAAATAATTTTCATCTATTGGCACTCTTCCAAACTCTCATAAAGAATAGCTTAATCCACCCTCTCCTAATTTATAATTATTAAATGGTATTAATATTTATTTATGAATAGTCGAATTTCAAAATGATAATTAAATAGAATCAGAATAATTGATTGATATAACTCAAGAAAGGAGTTTCTAAATTGAATCAAATGGGAAGAAGTTTACAAAAATATTATTTTTAAATAATTCAATGTTAGTAGGATGTTGCGGATCTGAATTTTTAATATTTGATTTGAAAACTTGTAAATAATTATTTTAACAAACTGTGGGTGCATATATAACCGATGCTGTAAATATAAACTCTAATGATTTAAATGAAATCCTATATTTAGCTATGAATAATGGGAAAGTTTTAGTATATAAAAGAGAATAATAAATGAATTAATCTTTAAATTTTATCTAGTAAAAAGAATAAATTGTGGATACATCTGGCAACTTACTTATTTAAATTAATAAAAAAGATAATTAATTAATAAGCTTTGGAGAAGATAAAATCATAAAAATTTGGCAATTGAATGATTTTAAAGAAGTAAAAAGATGGGAATTAAATGAAGCAGGAACAGCACTTCATTTGGATTCTGAATATATTTATGTGGGTGGTCTTAAATATTTATATATTTGGAACTTTACTAATTAATTAAAAAAAATTATAAAAATCTAATAAACTAAGATCATTTATATTAATACACATTTAAATAAATTGGTTGTGGGATTTTAGGATAAAATTAAAGTATTTGAAAGAACATCCAATGGGGATTATTAACAGAAGAATGAATAAATATTTGAATCTATTAGTTCTATGAATATACTAAAAAAATGGTCTATAATTATTGTTTCAAATACATATGTAAATTAAATTAATCTAATTAAATAGCAATAGTAATAGTAAGTTTGTCTATATAATTATGAATTATGTAGTCTAGCCACATTGGAAGAACAGATAGCTACATGTTGTACAGATGGAGAATTTGACAACCTCAATCTTTTAGGATTTGTATATGAAAATGGATAATTTGTAGTCTATAGAATATAATAATCTTAAAGATGATTTTATATTAGTATAAATAATAATTTTTTAACTAAATATTCTAGCATGCAAACTCCTTTCAAAACAGATGAAACTACTCAATAAATCAATGATAATGATCTCAAATCATAATAGATTGACAATATTAAAAAGAAAATATATAAGCAACAAATTTATCCTAGAATTGGATCTAATTATTAAGCTCAAATTATTACTTCACCAATCAATACTCAAAAATGTAAAAGATTTTGTGAAAACTTGAAAATTTGGGATGGTAGTTCAAAGAAACATTTGAAACTTGAAGTTGAAATGGAAAGAAAACGTCTCCGTTATTTAATGGGTAGAGAATATAATTCTGAAGACTCTATACTTACAATGTTCTATATGAATAACTTTGATAGAACTAAAGTAAATAAAGCTTTGAATATAAAGAAAGAAGAACTATTCAATAATAATATACTTTGAAATATTAAAGTATAATTAATATAAACTTTACTTATATTTCACTTTGCATACTCTAAATTTGTTTATTATTTATAGCTGATAATATTAATTAATAATATAAATATATTCATTAAATGGGTTCTTGTCAAACTATTTATTGCAAAAAAGAAATAGATTATGGATTAAAAACTCATCAGAAGAGTGAAAACAATGTTGATGAAGGTAATCCTGAATTTGAAGATTCTAATATACAAATTACACATCATTCATTATAAAAAGATAAAGATAAATTTCAAGAGGATCATTTACTTTTAGAATCTGAATTAATTAAAAAGAAGAATCAACCAAAAGATTCTAATTGTATAAGTAATTAAAAAGACCATGAATAAATACAGAAAAACTAAGAAATTATTTATTATAATTATGAGCATCCAACATCTACTTCTGATTAAATATATTAAGAACATTAAAATTAAGCAGATAAATCTGAAAAACAAGAAAAAATAATTAAGAATTCTCTTTTTTCCATTTCTAAAAATTAAAATTTTGAGTCTACCTTTGGGTTTAAAAAAATGTAAATATAATTTATAGAGGTTTAAATGATTTGTTAAATTGAGTTATTTCAAACTTATTTTAAGAAAATATAATAAAACAAACTGCAATTAAAAGTTATAAAATTAAGATTTAGATGAGACAATGAGTGATGTTAGAATTAAATTGGGAGCTGAAATACTTGATAAAGGAGCAGTTTATGAGGGAGAATGGCTTAAAGGTAAACGTGATGGAACTGGAAAATAAGTTTGGCCTGATGGATCAATATATGAAGGATAATGGATTGAGGATCACTGTTGTGGAAAGGGAAAACTTATTAATGGGGATGGTGATATTTATGAAGGAGATTGGTTAGAAGATTAAGCAAATGGATTTGAAATTTATTAACTTATAAATGGTGTTAAATATGAGGGATGAATACTTATGTAAAAATTAACTTAGTGGTTTTATGATTAACAAGAAGGAAAAGGTGTTGAAAAATAGCCAGATGGAGCAAATTATGAAGGTGAATATCATGAAGGAAGAAAGGAAGGTAATGATATTTTTTATTTTGCTGATGGATCAAAATAAAAAGGGTGCTTTATTAATTATGAAATACACTGAAATGGAGTTATTGAATTGTCAGATGGAAGGGGTTGTAAGGGTGATTGGAAAAAAAATAAAATAAATGGAATAGGGGAAATTAAATGGAGTGATGGTCGAAAATTTGTTGGAGTACTATTAATATCGATTGAAAGAATTACTCAGAAGATTTGAAACATGGAAGAGGATAGTTTTGGTGGCCAGATGGTAGAAGATATGTGGGAAATTGGGTTTTAGGTAAATAAGAATGATATGGTGCTTATTATATGCCTAATTAACTAGTTAAATATGGGATTTTGTAGGATGTAATGAGAAAATAATGGATAGGGAATGAGGAATTGGAATAGTTAAAGGGTAAATAAGTTATAGATTTTTGAATGGTGATCTATTAATGATCATTTTGTCTTTTTAATTTTTTTCTTTTGAATTGCGATGAAGGTATCATTTTCTGAATCACTATCTTATTCAATAAGAACTTTGGCTGATTATGCATATGTTTTTGGTTTTTATGAACGATTAATTTTATGTTTTTCATAATCTGAGAATTTATCTTCTTCATCTGATGAGATTGGTTATGGAAGCTAAATGAATATTAGTAATACTAATTACATTTTTAGTGGATATTGGTTTAAGATTCTTGAGACTACTTGAATAACTCTATTCCCACCATAAATCATTCCAACTTTATCCAAGACTGTATTGTTAAGCACCAAGCTAGAGTATAAAATTAAATAGAATACAGCCAATTAATCAGCTCTTCTTTCAATTTATACACAATCTGTTTTACCATCTTTATTCTTACCAAGACCTTGACCTTGATTCCATCCCATCTTTTACATCAATTTCATTGCATAATCTGATTCGAATTTCTTGTTTGATACTCCAGTACCTATAAAAGTAATAAGGAATAACATACCTTATAGTAACCTCTCTTTAAATTTTTAAGCCATCTAATAATAAAAAATTATTTTACTCTAAAATGGATGAACTATTAGGAGCTATATAGCAAAGAAAAGCCAAAATAAATGAGATTTAAGAAGCAATTTATTAGATCAAAGGTAATTAGTAGTAAGAGAGATTGACTGTATACTCAATGGTAAGAAAATTAAAAGAAGAGGAGAAAATAAGAGCAGAGAAAGAAAATTGGATCATAGGAGTGATACGAAATACAAAATAATACAATGAAGAACAAATGTGGTAAATTTAAATATCATAATTAGTCATATTTATGTAAAGACAAACGAAATGATGAAAGCAATAAGCAATCAATTTTTAGAAATCCCATATACACCTACATCTAATTTGTACTAATATTTGGAAAATTATTACATACTTCATTCAAGTTTCTAGAAACATTTGAATCAAGATAATCAATTAAAAGTACAATTTAAACAAGCAGTCAGAGCTGGAAATATATCATTAGTGACTGATCTAATTAAGTCACTTTTAGGAACATCTCGTAAATAATACAGAGATTTTGTTGATGAATTAAGTAATCAAGTTAAGAAAGAACCATCTCCATAGAAACTTAGAATAGAAAATCAACGCATACGTTCATCAACATAAAAGATTGAAGAAGTCAAATTAGTTGAAAAACCTCTTACAACCATGATTAATAAGGTTGATAGAATTAAACGAAAACAAATTACTATCTCTAAAATACAAAGGTAATTATCTATAATTAAAACAGTTCATGTGATTTATCTCCAACTACAGAAACTCCTACATTATATCTCAGAAACAAATTCAAAGAAGTTGAAAAAACTCCATTCACCTCTATGTTTGCTAATATTTTCACTGTTATAGAGGATCTAGATGAATAAAATATTTAACTATGTGATTATTAAACAGTCAAAAGATAATCTCAAAATTATGAAGAATTTAAAACTAATTATGATGCTCTATGTGATAAAATTAGATTAAGAAATAATCTTATTTAATAAAGTGTATTTGATTATACTAATTATGCTTTAAAAAGGTTATATTAATATATATATTAGAGTCTAAAATGTTGAAACTGAATACCCAAATTTAATCAAAGAAAAATATACTACTTTATAAAATAATTAAGATTATCATTTCTGCAATATTCAATTAAAACCTATTTTCGACAATTTGTGTCCTTGTATGCAAAAGACAACTTATTAACCTAAAACTTCACCTATTAAAAATAAAGTCATCATCAGAAAATCTGTCTTATAGATTAAAAAGTAGGTAAATAATGTATATAAGTAGTCTGATTAATAATCTAAAAAAGAATAAATTGATATAAGTAAACATAATAATAGTCCTAATAACAATGGGAAATCTAAATAATAAATGCCATAACTCAAGTTATAAAAAGATACTCAATTTATTAAGCCTCATCCAAGAGCATTATCAGCCAATACTCAACAATAACCAGTCAAATATTTGACATGCTCAAGTTTTATTGAGAATCCTATTGCAATCAAAACTAATCTCTTAGTTCGAAGCACTTATGAATGAAAATATGAAATCATTTTATATCTCAAATGTTTAACATTTTAATTATTATTAATTAATATAAATTTAATCAATTATTTTATCATTTTCAAATTGTGGTATTTAATGACATTATTTTCAAAATTCTTTAATAAATTGTCCTTTTCCTCAAGCTTAATAGTATTTTTTTTAATCCCTTTTAAAATATGTAACATAAAAAATTCATTCTTAAATTCTACTCGAACATACTTGTTATTTGATATTTAATAATGAATATGGAATTCATATTGGAAATTTAATTTGAAATCCTTAAATTATAGAATAAATTTTTGTTAATTAAATTAATATTCCATCAAAAGAATGACGACTGTGTGGTAACAAGCTACTGTTGTTTTCCATAAAAATTTCTCTATTTATTACCAAGAGAAATAATTCAGACAAGAGTTCTTCGTGGCTCTTCTTATTTTTATTATTCTCCTGGTTGGATGTAAGTATTGATAATATATCCATCAATAGAATAAACATCAAATGCTACACTCCTTTAAATAGGAGCTGAGTTTTTACCTATGACTCTTTTGATAAGTTCAAGGTATATAGTCACAGCGATGATATCAGAAAAGAGCGATAGACAAAAAGAAATCTAAAAAGTAATTATTTTTCATAATTAATCTTTAGATAATGGGTCTTAAACAATCAGCATATTAGTTAGGTTGGTTCCTCTTCAACATTTTTAGAATAATGGCTGTCTCTATATTCTTTCTTGTTCTAGCTGTACCTACAGGATGTTTTGGACCAGAAAATACATATGTTAAAATTAATTCTGTTCAATATCCATTGCAATTCTTTAATCCTATCGAATAAATAGGAAGTTACTTACTATTTGCAATGGGATTAACAGCCTAACAATATTTTTTAACAACATTATTTGATTAACCAAAAAATGGAGCTGATTTATCAATGTTATTAAATATATTTGGATCAATTAGTTCAGCATTACTTAATATCCAATATTTTTAAAAGTATTTGTAAAATATAATTTAGGAATTCTTGGATAGTAATTCTATTGGGAATTTTGTTTCCAACATTTTTGTTTGACATATATCCTTATAATCAGATACTAGGAACCATTGAAAAAGGTGCTAAACCTGCTATAGGACCTAATTTATATTTTAGTTTATAAGGAGCTGAAATACTTTTCTATGGAATTTTGTATTTATATTTAGAATAAGTATTACCAAATGAATATGGGACTAATAAACATCCTTTGTTTTTTATTGGAAAAAAATATGAAATTTAAGGGGAAGATATTTCAAATTAATATGAATTACCTAATATGAATAAACCATTTATAGGTCCAAGATAATCTGAAATTTAAGAAGATAATAGTTCAGCTATTTATCATGAAATTTTTGATAATCCTAAATAAGTCAAAGTAATTATAAAATATGATAATATTAGAGAGCTATAGCAATAAAAAATGTTAAAAAAAGCTTTAATGATCTTATGGCTGTAAATGGTGTTACACTCTAGATTTATGAATCTTAAATACTATGTTTATTAGGACATAATGGAGCTGGAAAGACTACTCTAATTTCAATATTGACAGGTTTAATAAAAAGAGATAGTGGAGCCATTGTATATTATGGAACAGATACAGATTTTGATGTTATTAGAAATTATTTGGGATTTTGTCCATAAAAAGATACTCTTTATGATAGTTTAAATTGTGATTAGCATCTTTATTATTATGGGAGAATAAAAGGAATAGATGAGAAAGAACTTTCATTAGAAATAGATTAGATAGTAAATAAATGTGATCTTTCTAATGATAGAATGAAATTAGCTAAATAATTATCAGGAGGAACAAGAAGGAAATTAAGTTTAGCTATTTCATTGATAGGATAATCTAAAGTTATATTTCTTGATGAACCAACCTCTGGTATGGATCCAATATCAAGATAAAAGATTTGGGACATTTTGACATAAGTGAAAAATGAAGGTAGATGTTTAGTACTGACTACACATCATTTAGATGAAGCTGAAGTCTTATCAGAAAGATTGGCTATTATGGCTAAGGGTAAATTATTAACAGTTGGATCAGTTGATTTTATAAAGATGAATTTTGGAATTGGATATCATTTAAGTTTATATGATAAAACAAACAATCCATAAGTTTGGAGTGAGAAAAGTAAGAAAATTGCTAATGTTGTTTAATAATACATTCCTCAAGCAAAAATTAGTAGTTAAACTTCTTAAGACTGTATTGGATTCTAAGTTCCTTTCAAATAGAAAGATAAATTCTTATCATTATTTGAATAACTTGAAAGGGATTAAACTATTTAAGTTAATTTAATGATGAATACTTTAGAAGAAGCATTTATCAATATTGGAATGGATGAAGAATCTTTCCTTGATAAAGCATCAGGGAAATAAATATCAAATGAAGATTCTAAAATAAACATAGACATTACAGAGGAATTCAATAAAATTATACCTCCTGAATGTTTAAGTAGACCACCTCAATATAATTTTGGATTGTAACTTTGGGCATGTTTTATTAAAAAACATTATACTATGACACCAAAAAGATATCTAATGTGCATATTTATGCCATCATTTTTTGCAGTTTTAGCTCCTATTGTTTCAAAAATTGCATATAATGCTGTCTTACCATCAATTGAAGATGAAAGCAATATTAATTAAATATTAGTTTATAGTGAAATTGCCTTAATCGATATATATGTCTACTTATTGATAGGTGCATCAATGGCTAGTTCTTAAATTGGAAGTGCTCCTGTTGAAGAAAGGGAGAAAAAGTAGAAATATGCTTTAAATGTTATGGGATGTAGAACACTACCATATTGGTTAGGATATTATTTCTATGATATCACTATTTGTATCATAGTGTTGGTTATATTTATAATAGCAGTAAATATTTGTGATGTTCAATTAATTAATAATGGAAATGTTTATGGACTTGTATTTTGTTGTTACTTAGCCTATTTGCCTCTTGGTTATATATTGTCATGGTTATTTACATAATTCTTATCAGCAGTAAGATCCTTAATATTGATATAATTATTTGGATTCTTTATGATTGCTTCAGTGATTTATGTATTGTGTTTAAATGTCGAGGCTGTTCTTTGGATTTTATCATTATTGTGTCCTTCATTAGCTCTATTTAGTGGATTTATCACTGTATATAATAAAATTATTGATGACAATTCGGATGGTACAAAAATTACAGAAACACTATTCTAAAATGTTTATCCATTTGTTTTTATGATCATCATGATCTTTTAATCTTGTCTTTATTTTTTCATTACATATTTAATTGACAATAGAGAATTGTTAGGAGCAAATTCTGGAGGTGTTTTAAGTGTGAATTAGGATGAAGATGTAATTTAAGAAGAAAGAAGAGTTGAAATATAGAGTTGTTAAGATAGAGTGATTGCTAGAAAAATATCAAAGACATACGCTAATGGATTCTAAGCAGTTAAGGGAACATCATTTGGAATAGAACCTGGATAAATATTTGGATTATTGGGTCCTAATGGAGCAGGTAAATCAACAACTTTCAATATGATTACTTCAAAATTAAAACCATCTACTGGAATTATTTTATTATAAAATTAAGAAGTTAAAAAAGGTTTAGGAGATGTATATTAGAATGTTGGAATTTGTCCTTAATTTGATAGTCTATATGATATAGTTAATGTTAGAAGACATTTATAAATTTGGGCTTATCTAAAAGGTTTAAGAGGAGAAGATGTTAATTTAACAATAGAATACTTTATGAAAGTGATGTAATTAACAGCTTATGAAAATACATTGGCTTCACAATTAAGTGGAGGAAATAAAAGAAAATTATGTGTTGCATTAGCTTTGATGGGTGGAACAAATATGTAATTTTTTGATGAACCATCCTCTGGAGTTGATCCAATTGCAAGAAGATTTTTATGGAATGCAATTTAATAAGGAGTTAAATTAAGATAAAGTTCTGTTATTTTAACTACACACACTATGGATGAAGCTGAAAGTCTTTGTAATAAGATTGCTATATAAGTTAATGGTAGATTTGCATGTCTAGGATCAGTTCAACATTTGAGATCTAAATTTGGAGATGGATATAGAGTTGTAATTGAACCAACAAATAATCTAGTAATAATAAATATAATAATTTTAATAGGATAATGGAGAAGCTATCATTTAAGAAATTACCAAACATTTTGGGAATATATATATTATGAATGATATGCATACAGGCAAAATTATTTGTAAATTCCCATAGATAGGATTCTAATTCCATTAGACATTTTATTTCTTTTAAGAGAAATTATAAAAGGAATAGAAATTGATTAAAGATTTCTAAATAAGTTAACCTAATTTGGAATAGATCTTTATGCAATTTGCTGCATAATAAGTTATTGAACCAGAAATATAAAAAAAAGAATCTTAAAATCGTTGTCATGTAGTTGCATTATGTGGAAATGATGAAGATGATTGATATGATATGATATGGTTATTTTTTATATATATAATATTTTCATAATTTAATATTATAGGCATAATTAATAAAGAGATTCCAAAAATTAATAAATTAAAAACAATAACAATAATGAAGATAGGTATTATTAACTTATTTAAATAGCTCCTTTCATTTATTTAATTCTTTAAGGAAGTACATTAGCAATTTATGGAATCCTTAATCCTTAATTTTTTGATTTTTCAAAAATTTCTTTTTATTATTTTGCTATTGTTGTGATATTATCTATGGGATTTTATGCTTAGACTTCTTTGAAAGATGTAATAAACTATTTAACAAATAGCCTGGTTATCTTATAATTAGAAGTCCTAACAATACTGAATGTTCAAATTAAATAACACAAAAACGAAAAATGTTTTAATTTTAAGCTATCCCTTCTAATGCTAGAACATATCCTATAATTGAATAATAAAATGTAGTTTAAGAATAAAAATCAGAAAATGAATAGTAGTTATATTAAATATTTATAGAGAATTACCTTGTGAAGCATCATTAGAAGTTAATCAATTACCAGAATTTGATATAAATTAAATTCCATCTTTTACTAAAACTCCAGATAAATATCCATCTCCATTCAAAGCATAAAATACATTTCAAGATTTTGATTCAAAATAACCATCTACATAAGCTTTTTCAATCACAAGTTAAAATGAACATGAAATTATTGTTCCTATTACTAATAATGATTAATAAAAAGATTTAGATGTATAGAAATAAAATGATAAAATTTAATAAAAAGAAATGAGTGAAGAGAAAAGAAGAAATAATAATAAACTTTAACCATAACTCTCTATTTAAGTACATTCAGTTTAGAATGAATATATAAGTGAATAATATTCACCTGGAATGTCAGAGAGAAATAAAATTACACAATCTACAAGAGCAGTGAATAAAGTTTTTATAGAAAAAAGGTTTAATATTTTATAATAGATTAGATATTGTCCAATATGTTCAATTGATTAATTAGCTAGAGCAAAACATTGTTAATCATGTAAAAAATGTGTAGCTTGTTATGATCATCATTGTCCTTGGGCTGGTAATTGTATTGGAGAAAGAAATAGATGTGTCTATTATTGGTTTTTAGTATTTTAGATATAAGAAATCTATTATGCTTTTATTAGCGTATTAAATTTCAATAAACTAGTTTTTAGACATTGCAAAATCTAGATTTTGATCATTACAATCCTCTCTTCAAATTTTTTTCAATTTACTTTTTAATCAATACCATATTTTTTGGTATTTTGGTAACCAGATTATTATGTTTTCAAACATTTCTTTCATTTTAAAATTTAACAACATGTATTATATATATTCTTATATAAAAATAGGGGAATTTTATAGTTGGAATAAGATCTCATATTTGTAAGAATTACAAAAAAAGAATGGATCTCCATTTAGTTAAGGATGGAAAAAAAATCTATAAACATATTGTAGATTTAATATATCACAACTAACAATATGGGAATATAACCCAGAGAGAGTTTATAAATGAAAAATTAAATTAAAATCAATCATAATATTTTATCATATATATTTTTATATAAAAGATTTCGGATTGTAATTATATTTTTGTAATAATTATAATATTTTATTTATTATAAATTTCTATCAATTATGATATTTATAATAAAGTTATTAAATTATCACATTGTCTATCAAGAACTTATACTCCTCTTTCTCTCAGAATAGGACTTTTAAAAACATGCAAGATATTCTCTTTGAGTGCATATAAAAACCTATTTAATATAATTATTTATACTTCTATATAACGTGAACCCAATGATTTCTTGTGGTATTTTTATTTCAATTTTTCAGCTGTTTCCAAATTCTTTACTAATACAAAACACTACCCTTTGGCTTTCCCATTATCATCATATAAAAATTTAATTGTTTTTATCTTTGAATTATCTTAAATAATATATATAAATTGTTACTTTTAAAGAAACTTCTTACATCCTATTCAGTACTTGTCCATGGCAGTCCTCTTAACTTTAGTACTCCTTATTATTAACATTGATATTCATTTTCTTCATTTATATTACCTACTTCAGATGCAATTTAAGGATTGATCTTTTTTAAATATTAATTTGATTTTTATGCTTTATTAAACTCATCAAAACAACTATTAAATATTTCAAGATAACGATGATCCATTTATGATTTATGAAATGTTCTTAAATATTCAAGATCTTCAATTGAATTTACTTAAACATATGCTTCACCAGTAAATAAACCATTTTATTAAAATTTCATAGTCAACATTTCTTTTTTGAGACGAGGCATTTCCAAAAAATTTATTAAATCTGATTTTGTACATTAAAATGGTAGTCCTCTTATCTTTAAGTAAAATTATTATTTGGGTTTTAATTCCTCTTAGATTATATCCTTTTATTAAGGATTTTCCTACTTTTTAAAAATAGTTTCAAATTCGTCTTCTTCTCTTGTATAATATTGAATATTTAAATTATCATCTTAAGGAGATTAATTAAGACTTATTATAAAACTATTACCTGATGGATCATCCATATTCCAATGAAAAGGGAGTCTCTTATTTTATTGGTATTATTGTAGATTTTCTATAATATATTGTATGCCTGAATATAACTCTCCTTAACAATTCTTTCTCTCAATTTAATCTCTTGATAATTCATCAATTATATTTTAGATAAATCCCTCTAAAGTATTAATACAACTCTTTTTATTGGTTGACATTTAAAATTCTAATTCAGGTATGGATACTTTGCATTGTTAAGATCTAATTATTCTATATTAAAGTAACTATATTATTTAAATAAGTCATACTTAAGGATGATCAATTTTTAATTATAATTTAATACCCTTTTCTTATTTTTCTTTTTTAAATTGCACTTCATCATTTTTATATCCACATTATTGACAATTAAATGAGATTATAAAAATATGCTAAAAATTAGGTATATTTTTGATAGAAATTTTAGTTTTACAAGTTTTATCACAATTACTACATTTATTTTCTTTAATGATGACTATTATGATAATGGAACTAATATACTTTCTTAATCCTCCTTAAGATTATCAAATATTTGTTAAATGTTATCCATTAAATTATTATTAAAAATAATAAATATTAGACAAAGAAAAGAGTCCAAAAAATAATTATATATAATATATATTAAATATACATTCACTACTAATAATTTATAATCCCTTAATTTTATTGAGGAAAGTTTATTAATTATAATAACATTGTAGACATTAGAATTAGAGTATGATTTTAGTATTTTTACATAAATCAATTTCCTTATTATTAATTGTAAATTTGTTCAATCATTCCTTTTATGATTAAGATTAATTAGTTATATATAATATACTTTGAAATAGTTTTAATGTTTTTACAAAATCTGAAAATAATATTTCCATATTCAAGTTATTAATCTTAGAAATCTATGTATATCATCTAATTTAAAATTGGTTTAATATTATGTTATTTTTTGAAATACAATAATTACATATTTGTAAAGAACAATATTAAAATGAGATATTGCATTATATTATTTTTTTATGTTTATAATATTTATTATTTGTTTCCTTCAAGCATCAGAAATTACATAAACTGATTTAGAATAAGTGAATTTCATGTAGACTGTTGATTGGAAACCATGTATGATATTATATATAATAAATAAGACATTCCAACACAAGCATTTTCTCAAGCAATAACAAGTTAAGGTTGTGTATTACCTAAAGAGAGTGTTCCATTTTTAAATGCTACATTTACTCCAACTAGAGTGATACCAAGTGTTGATACTAGTAAACAAACTATTTCAAGTCCTGATAAAACATATGCTGAATTCGGAACAATCGATGTTAACAATAATTTATTAAAGTATTAAGTTGATTTTACTACAAATTATCAAAATAAATTAGTATATGGTACATTATACACTTAACCATTATCAATGAATTATTCTGTTTGGGTTCATTAAAATAATAAAGTAAAAATAATGATTTATAAAAAATATAGACTATTGCATATAAATTGTATGAATGTCCTAATATGACTATGGATTTTACTATTACTTAAGTGAATTTAGAAGGATTAACAGAAGTATAAAAGATGCAAATTGTAAATGCAATGAATTCTATTAAATTCTTAAATCCAATGATAAATTAATATTATTAAGATCATTCTGAAACTTTTTGTTCAAAATTAAAATTATTTGTAAGTGAGAAATTAATTTCAAATAAAATCAGTTTCAATATGTTTGAATATTATTAGTTGGATGATCCAAATCCTAAAATTATTGAATCCATAGAGAATATAATATTTTAAGGACTTAATTTTAATGATTAGAATTATGTACTTGGATTAAATGTTGAAATTTTTAATTATTAAACAGAATACACAACATCATTAGATGTACATTAAATTAAATTAAATACATACTCTTTTGGAATATCTATGGATCTACTTAAAACTTATTTTAATTATGGAGCTGAGAATGGAATGTTTGATGTTACTATTACAAATTCTAATTTCCCAATTGATGGATTCTCTTATAAAACAGGAGATTTAAGAACTATGATACCTTCAGCTTATTATTCCTTCAAATTAAATACAGAACTCATAGTTTAATGTAAACTTATTACTCATAGTTTTTTGGGATTGACTGATTTGGCAGTGATAAATAATAGTATTTCAATTTAATTAGGACATCATTGTTAAGTAATTACTTAAGGTATTTTAATAACAGGATTTGATATTGATGTTGAAATGAAATTAGCAGTCAGAGAATTTTCAGAATATATAGATTTTGTATAATTAATATTTAATTAAATTAGTTTATTAAGGAATATCATTTATTATTATTAAAATTCTAAGAGGAACCAAATTATGGTATTTGGAGTTTGAAGAATTTAGAAAAGTATATAAAAATTAATTAAATTTTTAGTATCATATAAAAAGGATTAGAATAAAATTTGATAGGTAAAAATGTTTATGGATCTGGATGGTTAAAAAACTAATTGGGTCCATAAATTAGTTATGGATTTTCTAGTCAAACTCTAGCTATTTGGAATGCATAATTGATTTGATTATCTATATTATCAATATAAAAAAATCGTCCCACCGAGGAATTGAACCTCGAACTCGAGAGCCGGAATCTCACGTGTTACCTTTACACTAATAGGACTTGCCTTGAGGTTCAAGCATTAATTCTATATATATACTCAAAATTATTAATTATGAGGTATACTAATTCTATGAATCGAATACATAAATCATTATAATTCAGATTTGAAGATCTTTTACATTCTTAATTTTTTTGGTAAGTTCTATTTCCTCTTTCTCATTATTTTGTTTTATTTTTATTATTCTTCCAAATTTCCTTACTCCTATTCTACTTTAATTATTTAATTAAAGTGTCTCAAATATGGTTTTTCAATTGTATTCTCTAAATCATCCAAAGTCTATAAGAATTCTTTTCCTTCATGAAGATAATAGCTTTATAATGCTTCAGCTTTATTCTGAAAATCTTACCATTTTTCTGAATAAGGTTTTTCAGGTGATTTTTCCTTTTCTGTTCTATGTCTATGAGATAAGATAATAGGAGAATCATTATTACCTACATTTAATTTAATTAATGATTAATGAGTGATAGTTAAATTACTTGGAGTTATAGCATTTAAAGCAGGAGTAGTACCAACAGTTGTAGGTACTGTTTTAATTTTTGTAAAACTCATTTTTTTATTTGGAGAATGATCCTAATTCTCAGTAGCAGTTTTTAAAGTAATACTTTTTCTAAACTTCAAAAGTTATTATTCTTTAGTTTATTTTATTAATCTGTTAGTGGCTTCATGATAGAATTATAAATATCCTTCATTTGGTATTGATTCTTTCCTTCCCATCTCTATTCCTCTATCTTTCAAATATTCTTTAAGAATCTAATATTTTTCATCAAGACTTAGTTATGGTTCTTTTTTTACTCTTGGACGTGAACTATTAAAATTATGATAAAATTCTTTAGTGTCACTATTTCTTGCAGTTTAGAAATTAATTTAAGTAATTTTATTGAGTAAATCACTTTCTGTTAATGTAATATTACGATGATTCATTTTTTCTTTAATTCGATGTAGATTGTAATGAGTTTCAAGAGTAGCTGCTGATTCATGTACAAATTTAGTTTATAATTATAATGGAAATTTAAGTTTGACCAAATCTACTTATGGTGTTGGACAATCTTCTTTTGCTAAATTTTCTAATTCCATTTCTAATTATTNCTGGATGGTTAAAAAACTAATTGGGTCCATAAATTAGTTATGGATTTTCTAGTCAAACTCTAGCTATTTGGAATGCATAATTGATTTGATTATCTATATTATCAATATAAAAAAATCGTCCCACCGAGGAATTGAACCTCGAACTCGAGAGCCGGAATCTCACGTGTTACCTTTACACTAATAGGACTTGCCTTGAGGTTCAAGCATTAATTCTATATATATACTCAAAATTATTAATTATGAGGTATACTAATTCTATGAATCGAATACATAAATCATTATAATTCAGATTTGAAGATCTTTTACATTCTTAATTTTTTTGGTAAGTTCTATTTCCTCTTTCTCATTATTTTGTTTTATTTTTATTATTCTTCCAAATTTCCTTACTCCTATTCTACTTTAATTATTTAATTAAAGTGTCTCAAATATGGTTTTTCAATTGTATTCTCTAAATCATCCAAAGTCTATAAGAATTCTTTTCCTTCATGAAGATAATAGCTTTATAATGCTTCAGCTTTATTCTGAAAATCTTACCATTTTTCTGAATAAGGTTTTTCAGGTGATTTTTCCTTTTCTGTTCTATGTCTATGAGATAAGATAATAGGAGAATCATTATTACCTACATTTAATTTAATTAATGATTAATGAGTGATAGTTAAATTACTTGGAGTTATAGCATTTAAAGCAGGAGTAGTACCAACAGTTGTAGGTACTGTTTTAATTTTTGTAAAACTCATTTTTTTATTTGGAGAATGATCCTAATTCTCAGTAGCAGTTTTTAAAGTAATACTTTTTCTAAACTTCAAAAGTTATTATTCTTTAGTTTATTTTATTAATCTGTTAGTGGCTTCATGATAGAATTATAAATATCCTTCATTTGGTATTGATTCTTTCCTTCCCATCTCTATTCCTCTATCTTTCAAATATTCTTTAAGAATCTAATATTTTTCATCAAGACTTAGTTATGGTTCTTTTTTTACTCTTGGACGTGAACTATTAAAATTATGATAAAATTCTTTAGTGTCACTATTTCTTGCAGTTTAGAAATTAATTTAAGTAATTTTATTGAGTAAATCACTTTCTGTTAATGTAATATTACGATGATTCATTTTTTCTTTAATTCGATGTAGATTGTAATGAGTTTCAAGAGTAGCTGCTGATTCATGTACAAATTTAGTTTATAATTATAATGGAAATTTAAGTTTGACCAAATCTACTTATGGTGTTGGACAATCTTCTTTTGCTAAATTTTCTAATTCCATTTCTAATTATTAACTGATGACTGCAATTTATTCATCTTAATGGTTTATGAATTTACGACTCTATGATTAGAATTTGAGATGTTGCATAATCTAACGAACCTTTTTATGTTCAATATAATTCAATTCTTTAATAGGTTTAGAGAGATCTATGAATGTGTTTAGATTTTTGAGTGTTTTAAGTGAGGAATCAAATTTAGCAAAATGTTAGCCAGCCCTTATTAGGATATACTGTACATCACTTTAAAAGTAGGTTTGTTTAGTCCATACCTCTTGGGCAATTAAAAGTCCATTTATAAATAAATAAGAGTTGACAATTAGGTAAATTAATTAATCATTATTATTTGGCATCATCTTAACTAAATTGTGACAATCCGACTTTGTTTGGATACACTTAAATTAATTATTAAGAACTGAACTTCTTTTTAGTTTTCTATGGTTATTTATTCATATCAGTTAATTACATTAATTTTCTTTGATTTGTAATCAAATTAATTAATTATTACATGAATTCTAAATTAGCATAATATAAAGTATTTGTTTTATCATTAACTAATGCAAATTAGATATCAAATATATCTTCATGTTTAAGATGTTCTACTGAATCAACATTATATTAAACTTTTGGAATAGCTAATTTATCAATTGATAATTAATCATCTTCTGTTTCTAAATTAATTTTTAATAAACATCTTGATAAAGAATTCATAATTGAAGGAGTATTCATAATAACTTCATCAGGTTCTTCTTAAATATCATTTTTCTTTTCATCTGTTGGTGTACTTGCTGATTATATTTTTATTTTTCTTTATTAATTCAACATTTTATCAAGATCACTCTTAGCAATACTTAATAATTTATTTTTTAATAATTTATCTTTTCCTAATTTATTTTCTAATTACATTCCTTCACTTATTTAAATTTCAGAAATCAATTATTAAATTTTGTTCATTTCATCTTAATTCAATTTCCTATATTTAGATGATGAATTTGAAGAAGTATCACTATCATAACCAGAATCTGGTTAATTTAATAATTCATAAAATCTCTTTTTCAAATCATAACGAGATCTCTTTCTATTTAATGACCATTCTCTTTATACTCTTTTCCATCTCTTTCCATATTTCTAAACTAATTATAATAATTATAAATCATCTTCAATTCTAAAAGCTTCCTTTGATATTGAAGGATCAAGTGTATTATACCAACGATCTTAACATTACTTATCAGACTTATTTAAAACATTAGCCATACATTTCCAATTAATAGTCTATGAATTATTCAAATATGTTATTATCATATTTTATAATGTCTAATCTTCTTATGCTGTCCATAATAATCCTCTTTATGTATGATGGATTAATTCAGTCCAATGACTTTTCAATTCTTTAACTGATCGATTCAATAAATTGCCTAACTCTTTCCATTAATTATGTTACACACCCAATTTACAAATAACCCATATTAATATACGTGATTCTTCCTATGTCCATTATTAACATCTTTAATTTTATTACACATTTTCAATAACCTCTAACATAGATTTCTCATCTTCATAACCAAAATTTCTTAGCAAAAATTACAATCTTGTTTCAATTTCATTCACTTAAATAGGACCCATAGATTTTAACACTTAAACAAATTATTCATTCTCATTTCTCTTAGATTTTATCAAACTCCAAAAATAAGCATTCTATCCTGGATTTTGATTTTCGAAGTATTTTGTTGCTTTCCTCTAAGGACTCTTACAAGCATCAGAACTTAGAGAGAAAGAATTCCTACGTTTCTGAGCTTCACAATTAAACACTGAAGGTACATTATGAATTCTTCGACGACGCAAATCAAATTTAACCTATTACATATAAGAGCAATCTTTGTCTTAATTCATTTATATATATATATATATAATATATTGACAATATATCTATCAGTTGGGGAAAGAATTGGAATCATGAAATCATACAAGATGAATCAGCTTAAATCTCATCATTAATTTAATTTTATTTATTTTATTCAAAATTAACCAAATTACTTTGCTATTTAAATGGTACTTCTAATTCATAATTTCTATATACTAATTCTAATTCTAATCCCCCCCCCTCCCATTTATTAATTTCTTATTATCAATAAATAATTCATTTCTCTAATGTAATTTTATTTAAGTGACTGTTATTTAATTTAAAATGCTAATATAAGCTCCTATTCCTCGAACTAGATTTGCCATTACTCCTACTAATGTTCGACCAATTCATGTTTGTCTAGACATGACTCCAACTAGACAATTTTCCAATAATAATAGCATTTTGAATCTGACTTAAAGAGTAGATGATAGATTACAAATTCGACCAGTTGTTTAAAATAAACACCAATAATCAATTATTATCAAACAAGATAACATCAATAGAGTTCATGGCAACTCATTTTTTCAAAACTAATCTAATAAGGAAATGTAAAATTAAATCTAAGAATTAACAAAATAAAAGGAGAATATGTCTTAAATTTTATCAGAAGCCATTAAAAAAAATAATCTTCTCTAAAAATAGTTAGATGTACTCAATCCTATTTTAATTAGAAACTTTAAAGTGATAAAACTGAACAAACACTCTAATTTTAAGTAAATTTAGATTAATTTCAAGAAGAAATCACAAAATTAACTAATAGATTAGAGGATTTGATAATTGAAAATACTTAGCTTTAAGAATCATATCAAAATTAACAATTCTATATAGAGTAGTTAGAATATTAAGAGAATGATAATTTTAACGTCACTTAAAATTTCGGATAATTGTGAAAATAGTAATATATAGATTTATATTGTTTCATTTTTATTTTGTTACTTTTAAACTCTTTAAAAATAACTCTTTATAAGATGTTTAATAATTTGTATCCAATACATTAACACCTTGTTATTTTCTTGTTGATGTGAATCCTTGAGGAGACATTGATTTTTTGTTTCTAGAACTGCTAATATTGAGAGTGGCTAGATGATAATTTTGAGATACAATAATGGAGACTATTATTCTCCTTTTATTTTCTAGATTAACTACGTCCACTTCTAAGTTCTTATTATTTTGTATCTCTTCCATCAGTCAAGTATTTAATAACTTCTTGCAATTTACTTTTGTGCATAGGAGAGATATTGCCAATATTAACAATTATTTCACTATATATAAAAGGTATCTTTTACCGCAAAGCTTAATTACTTTTAATTAATCTTTGAGAAGCATCTCTAAATTCCTCTTCATTCTTTTTATAGTTTGACTGTTCTCTATCAATTTATTATAATAAATTTTAATTAATTTATTATGTGTAAGCTAAGGATTTATGTAATTCCTCCTTAATTAATATTAATTTAAATTACGCATTATTTCTTTAAGTCCTAAATAGATTTCTTCAATTTATTAGAAGTTTCTTCATGAGACACAGCCAATACTTGAATCTCTTATTGAGATGAGTTTAGAGCTTGAACTAATAGTTTATTATTAGTTTCAAGACTTTAATTTTACAATTAGAATTCATTCAATTTCTCAGATACTCTCATCATATAAATATGAATTTATTACTTAGTTTAAATAACCATCTTACTTGTAATTATTTTATTCTCTAAGATAATGTAGAATACACTTAATTTTCTAGATCTCTAAAAATAACTGAAAATAAGTCTCCAATATTGAGAGAAGCATTGTCTCTCTATGTAGATACTTCACTTTCAGGTTAACTATAAATAATTGAGAGATCCTTATTGACTCCTCTCTTACTATGAATATCCATATCATCTAGATCACTCCCAATTAAATAATTTTCATATCCCTTATACTCTCCATTATCTTAATGTAACAATTCCAAGAAAACACTTAATTCTTTTGACAACTCTGGTTTATTTAACATAATTCTGTTATTTTATTAATAAATATTTCTTAATAATTTAATTCAGCTGTTCTGCAACATTATACCTTCTCTTACTCTAAATATCTAATATATGACTTCATTTACTATAATATCAAAATATTAAACTTTTCTAATACAATTTAAAATGTTTAATTAGTAATACAGTTTGGATTAAACTAACTCTCAGCATTCTTCTTAATAATCTTAAACATTTTTGGCAGTTCCTCGTTTAATTTAATAAGAGATTCAAGCCTATTAAGCTGGAGTGTAGAAGCATGTCAATTTTGAAGACCCTAATCAAATATAGAAGAGTGAACATAAAGAAAGTTTGGAGGAAGGTGATATCTTTGGTTCCAGATTGTCAATGGATAAAAGAGAATATAATAAAGTGGATGAAGTTGAAGAAAATTATAAATCTTTAAAGCTATTCCAAATAGAGATGTAAAATATCAATGGAAGAAAGTTGATATCCAAAAATAGTCGGAAATTTAGTGATTAAAGTGATATGGGTTTTCGTAAACATAGTGAATAATTGAGAAAGGCTTCTTCATCCTATTTTCCAAATCCCTCTCCAAAATTCAAAGCATAAGGAAGTCCACTACTACCAAAAGGAGACTTATTATCTATTCCAAAATGGCCCAAAAGATGGTTTTATATTATTAAGTTCCTAAGTAAAATTATGTGCGTTTAACCTAACATTCTTAAATAATCCCATTTAATATTAATAGATGATAAAGCCAATATCATAGTTTAAAATTGTTTCATTTTTAATCCTTATACACCATAAGTGTTATGGACTCGTTATATTATGCTAATAATGTATATGTTAGGATTTTTGATAATCTTCTGGGAATTCGCATTTAGTGAATCTCAAGAATTATTTTTAGCTTTTTGTAATTGATATCAATTTATATTAAAGTTGCTTTATCAATTTTTGAAAGTTTATGTAACTATTTTATTGGAGTGTACATTGATGAGATGTACACAGAGAATAGATGGGGTATTGTTCAATAATACTTATACTAAGACATTATATATCTAATATGTTGCTTATTTACATTGTTTGCATCTGAATATTTTAGTAAAATTTATTAATAGTTTTAAATAGTTTTATTGATATTATGGAGAGTATAAAGACTCTATATAATAAATTCATAAATAACATATTGTTTTATTCCTATTTTACTTGTACATACATTTTCAACACTTTATTCAAAACTTTCTTAAGATAAGTAAAATATTGTGCATAAATAGATTTTCAGATAATAACGTTTCTATCTACATAACATCATTTTAATGGACTATATTTTAGTTAACCAATAGTGGAAATCCTTATAATAGACTATTAGAAATCAATGGATATACAAATATACCATTAAGATTACTTTCAATTATAGCCACAATCATTGGTTATTTAGTTACAATATATTTAATTAAACAATTCTTATAATATAAGCCATAATAGAAATACAAGATTAGTGCTTAACTAAGTCAAAATTTATAAAGATATCAAAATAGAAAAAAAATAGAACCTATAGACTTAAATATATTGAGACCTGATTTGTAATATCAAATGAGACAAGAACTATTTATGCCATTATTAGAAATTCTTCCTTTTACTAGAGGTTTTTTGTAAGATTTGTCTTAAAAATTGTAAACATTGACTTATTCTCATGGAACAATATTACATTAATAATATTAAGTTATGGATAAATTGTTCTTTTTAATGAAGGGAAACTTTGCTTAATGTATTGGTAATAAAGTGTTAACAACAAATCAATTTCCTATTTAATATTTTTATCGTTAAATTTAATGTCCTTTTACACTTAGATGTTTAAGTGAATCATTAATTGCTTATGTGGATATCAATGATTTTTTATAGATTATTAAGATGCATAATTAAGATTTTTAGAAATTTTGTATGCTTAGAGATAATATTAAAGAAGTTTGTCCATGTTGTGGATATAGGAATCACACATTTAATAAATGCAAACATGTATTTTATGTTCCAAATTTTAAAGAATTAATTCTTATTCATAACACATCTGAACCAAATGATAGAGTTAATTATTATAGAGATAATGGAAGAAATAGAATTAATACTTTAATGAATAAGAATCTTATATGTATTACAGCAATCAGCTTTGCAATAACAAATAAAATATCTTCAGAAACTGATTTAACTAATGAAGTAATGGGAAGATTGTAAGGTAGTACTAATAATTTTGAAGATTCTATTTTAAATGATTTTTAAGATGAGAAATCATCTCGTTATTCTTTATATCAAAAACATGGTACTGTTGAGATTCCTAAAACTATTAATTCACCTTAAAATACTTTCAGTAGTTAAACTCATTAATAAAGCAATATGCCTCCTATAAAATTAGAAGAAAAGGAATCCTCTTATAATAGTAGAAAGTTTGTACATAAACATGTTGATTATTCACACACTTAAAATTCTATTAAAGTAAATTTAGTTAAATCTACTAATTCAAATGAATTATAGGTTAAAAGAACTCAAAAGAATAGATAAACAAGTTCTTCAAGTTCATTTAATAAAAAGATATAATCTACAAGTATCATGTAGTAACCAAAATCATAAACTGGATCTATTATACCTTAATAAGAAGAGAATGAGGATAATTTAGATTAAGTATGTAGTTATGAATATTATTATCCTTCATATAATATTGAAAATATTGCAAATGCTTTAAATCATAAATTAATGAACAAAAGCATATTATTTGTTAATTGATTTCAATAGATATATATGTGTTTAATAGATATATATATATGTTTAACAGATAAAATATTATTATATTATGATCATGAAAATAAAACAATTTCTAAATGACAATACTGCAACTCAAGCTATTAATAAAGTCATTATGGCTTTATCTGATTTGAAACTAATTGTAAATGATACTTAATTTATGTCTTAACTTGAAATTAGCAATCGTCTTAAACAATTTTTTATAAATGATCAAACTAAAGTAGGGATATATACTACATTTAGATGTTATTTTTAAACTAATTCTTACAAGTAGTAGGAGATCACTTATAACAGAAGGAAAATTTTTATGTAAAACTCAAAATGCTGCTTTTAGTCCATATAATTATCAGTTCATAAGTAGCAAGAGCAGATTTTTCTAAAATGATCATAAATACAAAATTAACTATAAATATTAAAGCAAATGATGGGACAGATAATTTGATTGGACAATTGTGTTAATCATATTATTGTTATATATATAAGTTAGCATCATAAACAACTTTAATTAATGAAGATTTTGGTAAGCCTTAAGATGATTTAATGATTTATTTTACTCTTTCAAATTAATGTTATATTGGGATGAATATGTAAAGATTGATTGAAACAATTAATAATGAACAATTACCAAATGATATAATAGCTCATTTAGTTAAATTTTTGTATTTTGATATTTAAGACATTTATATTTTCATCTTGAAAGATGTAAAGTACTTAATTGAAAAGAATCCAAATCTCATAAATAACAAGTAACAATTGTTAGAATTATATAAAGAAGTAAATAGATATATTAAATAAAATAGTGTTAATCTTTATAGGCAAGAATGCTTACCTTTTATAAATTCAATCGCATCTTCCCTCATTTTAATTAAATCATGCCTCCACATTCAATCTAGATCAAATGTGCAATCTTAAATTTGGTTATAGAAGATAAACAGATTTAAGAAACTTCAAAATTCAATGCCCATAAAATAAGAGAACCTCTTTCTGTTAAGAATTCAGAGAAAAAAACCTAAGATTATACACGACCTTTCTCGCCCAAAGTAAATCATTGATTATGAAATTTAATATTATACTAATTAATGATAACATATTTAATACTTAATAACTTAATAAAATAAATATATATTTCATAATATTATATCATAAGTATTATTTATGAAAGATATCTAATACATTTGATTATTAGAAAATATAGAATATTATTGTATTTAATACAAGTTTTAGATTCAAAAATAACTTCTAATATTTGAAGAAATTTGTGTTTCTCAATTTGATTAATCAAACTTAACTAATTTTATTAATAAATTTTGTTTGTAACAACTAATTTTTCGCTACATTTATGTTTCTCAATCAAAGTCCATATAGGAATGTACCACATCAAAATATACCTATTACTACTATCTATGTTGATCCTAACAAATACTAATTGCCAAACATTTAGTAACCAATTAGATATCAATAATCTCCAAGCACTGATTATGGCTATAGAGATTCTCAACTTTAACATTAATTTTAAGATTTAGCCAAAAAATATGTATGCATCTATGTGTGATTTGTTATTTAGCAAGATTTATAAAATGAAAATAATTAATTATTAAGATAGCTGTCAGATAGGCCTTATATTGGTTAACCTGAACTTTTGAATTAAAAATTGGTATTATTATATTGATATATATCTTAGTAAAACTATGCAATTGAAAATGAAAAGCTAAGATAGCAATTAACATACACATATGAATTGTAAGAGAAGTTAACACTTGTTACCAATTAATTGGAAAAGGTTAATGAAGCATTAATGCTATCAAATTAAGAGAACTAACAATTATGTTAATAAATTAATGAATACAAGAATTAATAAACTTATGTGTATTAATTGAACTCAACTATTCAAACATAAGAAATTTAATTATAATAAAAGTAAGAGTAATTTAGAAATTTATAATAAGAGATAGATTATTATTAATAAATATTTCAGTAAAAAGCATCAGAAATATAATAAGCATAATTAGAAATCAATAGAGTAATTGGATAAAATTAAGTATTATAATAAGAATTAGAATAACAGAAAAGAAATTGTTTAAAGTTAAAATAAGAAATTGTTGGATTATAAGTTGAATAAAATAATTTTATATAATTAAGACATGAGAATATGTAATTAAATGAAAAGAATTAGGAATTATTAAGAAACTATGAATAATAAAAAGCTTTAAATTAAAATCTAATAATGGAATTAAATAAATCATAATAAATTGATTCATATATTGATTAATTAATAGATTAATTAAATGAATAAAGATCTAAAATAGAATTTGCTAGTAATAAAATATAAGATTAAGCTAATAAAATTAATGAATTAGAATTCATTGCAAATGAAAAAGCATAATTAGATGTTTAATNATATCTAATACATTTGATTATTAGAAAATATAGAATATTATTGTATTTAATACAAGTTTTAGATTCAAAAATAACTTCTAATATTTGAAGAAATTTGTGTTTCTCAATTTGATTAATCAAACTTAACTAATTTTATTAATAAATTTTGTTTGTAACAACTAATTTTTCGCTACATTTATGTTTCTCAATCAAAGTCCATATAGGAATGTACCACATCAAAATATACCTATTACTACTATCTATGTTGATCCTAACAAATACTAATTGCCAAACATTTAGTAACCAATTAGATATCAATAATCTCCAAGCACTGATTATGGCTATAGAGATTCTCAACTTTAACATTAATTTTAAGATTTAGCCAAAAAATATGTATGCATCTATGTGTGATTTGTTATTTAGCAAGATTTATAAAATGAAAATAATTAATTATTAAGATAGCTGTCAGATAGGCCTTATATTGGTTAACCTGAACTTTTGAATTAAAAATTGGTATTATTATATTGATATATATCTTAGTAAAACTATGCAATTGAAAATGAAAAGCTAAGATAGCAATTAACATACACATATGAATTGTAAGAGAAGTTAACACTTGTTACCAATTAATTGGAAAAGGTTAATGAAGCATTAATGCTATCAAATTAAGAGAACTAACAATTATGTTAATAAATTAATGAATACAAGAATTAATAAACTTATGTGTATTAATTGAACTCAACTATTCAAACATAAGAAATTTAATTATAATAAAAGTAAGAGTAATTTAGAAATTTATAATAAGAGATAGATTATTATTAATAAATATTTCAGTAAAAAGCATCAGAAATATAATAAGCATAATTAGAAATCAATAGAGTAATTGGATAAAATTAAGTATTATAATAAGAATTAGAATAACAGAAAAGAAATTGTTTAAAGTTAAAATAAGAAATTGTTGGATTATAAGTTGAATAAAATAATTTTATATAATTAAGACATGAGAATATGTAATTAAATGAAAAGAATTAGGAATTATTAAGAAACTATGAATAATAAAAAGCTTTAAATTAAAATCTAATAATGGAATTAAATAAATCATAATAAATTGATTCATATATTGATTAATTAATAGATTAATTAAATGAATAAAGATCTAAAATAGAATTTGCTAGTAATAAAATATAAGATTAAGCTAATAAAATTAATGAATTAGAATTCATTGCAAATGAAAAAGCATAATTAGATGTTTAATATAATCATTTAAAATAAAATTATAACATTATAGAAAATGATTATAATAAATTAAATGAATTATTAAAATAGAAATAAATTGAATTAGAAGTCAATAAAAATACTAATATGCAATTCAGTTAAAGACTCTAATAAAATTAAATGAATAATGTTCTTATTAATGAACTTAAATTAGAAATAGAATAATGGAAATCAAAATAAAGTAGAATGGAATAAGTTTTTAATGATAATAAAAAAGAAGATTAATTTAAATTAAAATGTCTATAAGAATAAAATACATAATTAACATCAATTACTGCTGAATTATAAGAAAAATTGTAACAAAAAGAAACAGAATTACAACAATAAAATAGAATTTTATAAGAAACTTTGAAAAAGTTAAGAGAAAAAGAATAAATCATTAATTATTAATCAAATAAACCTAATGTTGATTTAGAAGAAGTCTAAGCTTTGAAGAATAGAATTAAGCTTTTAGAATTGAATGATGAAAAGAATTATAGTCTTTAAAAAGAAATTTAAAGATTAAATGCTCAAACTGCTTCATTAAGATAAGAATTAGCTACTTATAAGAATAAACATCATGATTATTAATTTATGGATGAACAATATCAAAAATCAAATAAATAAATACAAGAATTAAAAAGCCATATTGTGAATTTATAAAAAAATGAATGATATATATTTATTAATTTATACTAACAGTTAAATATAATATTTTAAAATGAATCCAGAATGGCAATAAATGTTGATAGAAGATTTGAATGCTAAATTACTCTAACGTGCTGAATTGATAGGACATTATGAAGAACTTGAAGAATTACTTAAGTTCCATAAAACAAATAGTACTTTCGAATATAGTTTGGCTATTAAACTTGAATAATTGGATTAAGTAATTCAAAATAATGTTTCTTCAGATTAAAAGATTAAGACTTTAATTAAAGAAAGAGAATCATTATATTAAGAATTAAACAAAAGAATAGAAGAGTAAACTTTACTAGTTTTTGAATAATATATGACTAATTGGAGTAATTGTGTCAATTAAATTAAGTTAGTGATTTTAAAGGGTTTAGAGTAATTCATGGAGAAGAGAAATATTAACAATTATTACTTGAATAGTAATAGTAGATATAAGGAATGATATACACATAGTACAAAAAAAAGATATAAGGGATTATATAAATTTATCAATAATTCAACTAAATAGACAAAGCTATACAATACAATATTTAATATGTGGATAATGATTTGTCTAATTAATTAAATTAATAATAATAATAATAATAATAATAAAATAAGACAAATCAATCTATACTATAAAAGAAAGATGATACTCTCCAATTATCATATATGTAATCTTATTTATTATTTTAAAAGAATCCAATAAACAGATCTCTCAAAATAAATAATTTATTTATCATAAGATGACTCATTAATCTAACACATGGACGAATTCAATAATATTATTACTAAATCTTCTTATCCAATCAAATTACAAACTATTTCTGAAGAATAATTGTTAAACAAAAATCATTCTATCAGATAACATTAACATAGCAAAACTATATTTAGCAATAAACATTCAACTGCTTAAATCAGTCCTTAGATGTCAAAGTCTTACTTTTTTAAAGATACTCCTTTAAAGAAATCTTTAACAAAAGGGACTTTGTTACTCAAAAAATTCTCTAATAAACCATCAAAAAGGGAATTTGATGTATTTCAACATTAAAATCCTACTTAATTAGGTTATGGTCTAAGGATGGCATAATTAGCTTAAGATAGAATAGAATTTAGAAATTAATTGAAACCATAGATAATTGACTCTTCATTACTACTTTCTCAAATTTTAAGAGTTATAATTCCAAAATAAATACAGGGATATCTAAAGAAAAAGCCCAGTAAAATATAAGAGAAAGAAAACAATGTTCCAAGCCTCTCTTATTGGCCTTTGCAAATTCTCACTTTAAATCAAGGGTCAATAGATTTGTTGTTCCATTCTTAAGATCATATGATGGATTGGTATAATGGTTTAGTGAACATAAAACATATTAATTAATGAAATATTTCAAATTTTTTACCCTTGTTTCAATTACATTAGGTTCATCTATTCAAAAGCATATTCATCATCTTCGTTCAGATTCAGGAGATTTAGAAACTAATTTGGTTTATGTTGGTATGATATGCATAACAATCTCTATTATCTTATTGTAGTTCAATGAAAGAAAAGCAGCTATAAATTCATATAGACTTTAATATGCAAGATAGAATTGTATATCTCTTACACCTTTTTAAGAATCAAATCCTTAAGATTTAATTCACATCACTGGTTAATTGATGACTGATGAATTAGTTACTGATAAGGAATTTGGTGTTTCATAAATAAATTGTGTAAAATTGTATAGAAATGTGGAAATGTATTAATGGGTTATAGAGGATAAATAAAAAGAGTAATAATGGGTAGATCATTATGTTGAAAACATTTTTGGATATAATAATGACAAATCAAAATGGATTATAAATTCAGAAACATTTTTAAATACAAGTGTTAAATTACATTAATTTGAATTGCCAGAAGATATGAAAAACAAATTAGACACTCCTTTAGAAACTGTTAAGTTGAATTAAGCAAATGTTCAAATATTGTAATAGAGATACAAAGATAGAGGATTTAGTAGATTGTATATATTTAATAAATTTATTAAGTTTACTATAAAATGATTATATATATATGCATTAGGTTGAAGATCAAATTATAAATGGAGATTTGAGAATATGTTTCAAATAAGTAATTTGTAGTGATGCCACAATAGTTGCTAAAGGAATCATGAATTCTCTATTAATTTGGTAATTTGAAGATTCATATAATTAAACTATATCTAGAGATAATAAAGGTGAAGAGAAAAGTTGTTGTTATATTTAACTTCATAATGATAGTAAACCAATTAAAGAAATTTATTTGATTTTTTAAGGTCTTTTAACTCCTGAAGAATGTCTATAAAAAATTGTTAATGAAAATGCATTATATTATTGGGTCTATAGAAGTATTGGATATATTTTGATAGTATAAATAAAAATGGAATAATATAGGCTGTCGGATCGATAATTTTATTATCTCCAGCATCATAATTACCATAATTGATTCCAACAAATCAATTGAGTGGATTTGGTTTTATTATTTATGGTTTTCTTTGTGCAATACCAATTACTATATTTTCTATTTGTTTTTGTTGGCTCTACTATCGTCCTAAAATTGGATTATTAATGTTATTGATATCTTTAATGATAGGTTGTAGTATTTTTTATTATGGATACAAAAATTAATGATTATTAATATTTTTTTTTTGAATTCTATTAAGATATATGTATTTTATTATTTTGATTGATGAGACATGTAACATAACAAATTTCAAATTTATACTTTTTTCCTTGTTTGTTCTTCAACTGAATCTTCTTCTTTAACTTCAACATCTACTTCATCATCTTCGCTATGATCATCAAATATATTCCATATCTTAGATATTGTCATTTCTCTTCTAAATTTATTCTATATCATTAATATTATTATACTTTCTCTAAACCAATTAAAAATTTTCCAACTTATGTAGGATTTAAAATATTTCTAAGTTCATCAATAAAGTTCTCCACTTAAGAAGTTTTATTATATAGTTATTCTTTGATTTCTTGGAATTATGTCAAGATTCTATAACTTTATTGTATATGAATTACTCTAATAATTTATTCTTATCACTTATAATCCTTCTTTAAGATTTCTTCATTTATTTTTTCTATGCTTCACTAATCTATAGATCATTTGTTAGATCCAACAACCATTAAGGTTATCCATCTTATTATTATTAATCTTATTAATCAGCAAACAAGTCTTTATTTTCACTTGCAGCCCATAACATATATCGAACATGTACAGGAAAACAGATTTCTAATATTTAATTAAAAAAGTAATTAGATGCACTCACTCTTTCTTTTCCACCACCACCAACTCTAAATCTCATTGAATCTAACAATAAATTTAATTCATTATCATCTGCTTTATTTTAAATTGATTTCTCTAATTTCTCATATAATTATTACCTTCCCAAAAAGAATCCTTATAACTATTAAAATATACTAATAAATAATTTATACTTATTAATTCTAACTCATTTTATTTAAGTAACCTGCACTTGTCTTATTCAATAATTTCTATTTCTCAAGTTCATCATTCAATTATTTTACTCTATTTTCTAATAATTCAATATAAATCTTCTTTCTCTTTCTTGAATTTCTAGCACATTCTCTATTCCTTAATAATTTTGCCTAAGTACTATCTTCAATGTCCTAATAAGAAACACTATTATTTTTATCATGTCTATCCTCCTCAGATGTTCTAAATTTTGCCTATTGTTGTTATAGTAATTTCTAACTATCCTACTGAACTAAATTGGTAATCTTATTAATGTAAGTATTTTTTAAGTTATTCTTATACTAAAATGGATCCTTTTGTTTTATTTGTTCAGATTACTAATTACATTGCTTTTTAAATTCATTACATTGTTTTTTTGAGTTTTTCTTTTTTTTTATTTTTGTTTCTTTGCATCTACTATAGGCTCCTCTTATTTCATATCCAATTGATCATATTAATTATCCAATAATGAAAAATTTTATTATAATCCAATAAAATTTTAGTTACTATTTGTTCTAGGAAATGTATGACTAATAACATAAAATCAAACACTTACGGTGGATCCATCAAATAATTGACCATGAAATCATTGTCAACTAAATCAAACAAAGAATTGACGACCTTTTCATTATTTTAATTAAACATTGATTATATTTATAATAATTATTAAAACACACTTATTTTTACATAATTAACCTAATTATTATATTAATACATGTGTTTGTAAAATAAGAATCTAATAAATCAAGAGATTATATCTGATTTAAAATTATTATTTTTATTTATAGATATTATTTTTTATATAGCTAATGAAAATTAGTATAGATATCTAATATAAATATAGAAATTCCATTTATATCTAAATAATAAAACTAAAATTTCTTAATAAGAAGGATAAAGTTCTAGAATTCTATTAATTAAAATAAATTAAATAAGCTATTTAATTAATAATGATTAAAAAAGATTAAATTAAGTATATTACATTGACTTAAATTGTTCCATAAAATGACAATTTGTATTAATATCAAATATTATATTAGATCATATTAATGAAATCATAATTTACTTACAAATTGTATTATCCCCTTTTGTTCATAGATTGATTATGACTAAACATAAAATTCAATATTTAATTTAAATTATATTGATATGAATTTGATGGAATATACAAATTACTTCTTTGAAAATGAAATATACAAATTACTCTATTGAAAATTAAAATGATATATTTCTAAGACAATATGCAAAAGAAATAGATGATATTATCTTAATGTTATTGATTAAAAATCAGTTTATTTTAAATGAAGATCAAAAATAAGTCATAGGTGATCTTCAATATAAATTGAAAATGAAAATTGTGAAAACAACATTGAAAGTAGAATAATAGTTCCAAAATTGCATATCATTTACTTTAAAAGTTATTTAAAATATAAATCTATAAGGAAATAAAATGTGTGAAGATTTATTTCAATATAACACAAAAATAAATTAAATAATCAAACAAAATCAGTTTCATCCATATTTTTGAAATCCTATTTAGAATCCTTTGAATTTGTAATTCAAAGGGAGTTATATTGTAGATCAATACTTTAATTGTTAGTTTTGTATTAGGAATTGAATAGTATATATAATATTTATTATTTAGATTATTTTATAGTTTTTTGGATTTTTTAATACTAACTCCAATAATCAGTCTATATTTGAGTTGATTCCTATGAAAATGAATTATGTCTTATTAGTTAGTTTTAGTGAAATATTATATTTACATTAGATTGGAATTATTTGATTCTTTATAGAACAATCATGTTATATTCCTGTATGTGTTGATTCATATGTTACATATTATAGATCTATACTGAGCAATTAATTAATCTATAAAGTTTTAATTTAGTTGAAGTAGTTGTCTGGAATTTTAGATTTAAAAACATCAATTATTCAATTTTTAAATAATTCTTTTGAATTTAAATCGAAAATTTTCATTAAACAAGAAGTATCGATAAGTTTAAAATAATTGGTTAATAAATTTTAGATTTCTAAATAATGAAAAATCTAATTGATTATTGTTATTATAATATATTAAAAATTATTAGGAAGAGTAAGATGGAGTTCATCTAATTTATATTTAATTTGATCATTAATTTAAATATCTTAAAAGATTAAATATTTTAATTTATGAGTGCTGATTCGGAGGAACAGAATAGGTAAATTAACATGCAAATGATAATGAAGGGATGTTTCAAATGACCCATAACCAAAACCTGACAATAAGAAAGTACAGGATTTTACAGAGGATTGGGGGTATTAAGGGAACCCATCACCACGATTTACACCTATGCCTTATCCACAATTATTTCCTCCCATGTGTCCTCCTGCATTTGAATTAGAGAAATAAGGTATAACCATACCATTCTATGCAAGTCTATCATGACTATGATCCACAGAAATATCCACAAATGAACAGTGATAGGAAAGGGCAAAGTAGATATCCTTATCCAAAGCATTCTTTAGGTGAAGTTCCACAAATGGATCACATTGACGATGATCCACATCGTATTCCTGTGCCTTATCCATTCAGTTATTATCCACCTATGAAATACCCGCCACAACCAATGTTTATGAAATATCCACCACCCCCACATCAAGGTTAGCCTTATATGGTTCCACCCAGTCCATGGTATCATCCAAGACCATAATAATAATTAATGCCCCCATTTTGTTATTATCCCTAATCTCAGTATGATGGGCTATAATGTTAAAACACTGTTTCTAAAGAATTGCAAACCAAAGTGTTACAATTAGTATAATATCAAAAAGTGTCTGATTTCTAATGTAATTGCAAAAAAAGCAAATGCCTCAAACTCTATTGTGAATGCTTTGCTAATAATTGGGTATTAGAATTAATAATATTTATAACAAAAGGTTTGTTCACAAAGTTGTAATTGTTAAGATTGCAAAAATAGAATTGATAATCCATAAGAAAGATCAAAAGCTATAGAGGAAGCATTATTAAGAAATCCAGATGCATTTGCACAATGTTTTCAATAAAAGGGTTAAACCTAATTCTCTGTATAATAATAAGGTAATTTTATTATTTATTGTTAAGATAAACCACTTAAAGAACCAACTAAAGATAATTCAAATATCACAAGAAAAGGTTGTAATTGTAAAAAATCTGGATGTAAAAAGAAATATTGTGAATGCTATAGTCAAAATTTAAAATGTAGTGATTTATGCAAATGTGAATAATGTCTAAATAGAACTGATGCTGAGATCTAAGCTTAATAAGATATTGCTTAAGTCTTGAATTCTTAAGATTAAGTTAATGTAGACATTAAAGTAAATCAAAAATCAAAAAAAATCAAGAAAATAGGAAATGGAAATGAAGACAAAAGCGATTCATAAAAACCAATGGTCTAATTGAAAATAAATCTTAATAATAATAGTAGTCGAAAAAAGTAGGATAAAAAATGAATTATAACCATTTAATTTAATTTATCTATCTAATCATATAATAATAATTAGTTGTATCTAATCAAAAATTCATTATTTTTGATCTACCACTTAGAATAATAAACCATTATCTAGAATTTATTAATGCTGTGACATACATCTAATTAAGAATAAATATATGTACTTACTAAATTATTCTTTATAATAGTGTTTTCATCATTATAAAGGATTTAAAAAGAGCATTTTACAGTATTGCTTGCTAAAAATTTAAATATTAATTTTGTTAAATATTTTTAAATTGTAATCTTATAAATGATTGAAGATAGTTACATTTTATAAATCAATAAAAATCAAGGATAGTAGTTTGGATGTTTACATGATACTTTAACTTAAATCAGCTATTTAGCAACAATGAATTATTCAAAAATATCTCATTACTCTAACAAATAATATCTATTTAAAATTATCTAAATTATTAAAAATTAAATCTTTATACCATATATTCAGAATTAAATGATATTAACAAAAAATGTTTTCATTTAAATAAAATTCACTTAAAATATTTAATCAAACTTAATCAGATTTCATAAATAATTCTTTATATTATGAACCTATTGGCTATCACTCTATAAAGTAAATCCAATATTTTTATAATTTTCTTCATATGTAATTAAATCTTAGAATTTTCATTTATACACTAAAAAACGTTTATATTTTAGATTTTTGTATACTGTATTACATATATTACTTTCGTTATTATTGAATCAATCTAAATATAATTCTAAACGATTGACAAGGTATATCCCATTCCCACTTGAAGATGCATATCTTATATAAATTATTAGTCTTATATTTTCATCAATTAAATATCTCTCTTTATTTAAATTAAATTCTTAATTGTTTTTCAACTTATTGAAACATCTATACTAGAATAGAGTTTCATATTCAATTCTCTTGAATTATAGGGAATATCAATTTTAGTGTATTTAAGTTCCTAAATTTGTTATTCTATTCTTGTTATGGATGAGATGGCTGGGTTAATAGTATTTAAAAATTATTAGATTGGTAAAATGAATGTTAGAATTATTATTTTGAACTATGTTTACTATTAAAAAATTAATTTTATGGAAATATTTGATCTTTTTGGAGAGGATATAATAACAGAACATTAGAATGATAAGGTGAAATAATTGAGATCAGAAAAATAATAAATAAAGAATGAACTCCATAGATAGAAAGTAGTTTAGAAGAAAAAAGAGAAAAAAAAGAAAATAAAACAATAAAAATATGAGATCATTTAAACTTTAGAAAGTCAAGAATAAAAGAATGATTTTGTTCATTAATTTAAAGGAGTGAGAAATCAAAAGAAAGAGAATGGAATAAAATCACTTTAAAGTCCATTTAGGATTATTATTGATTGTGGTTTTGAAGATAATATGTCAGATAAAGAGTAAAGATCACTTGCTAGATAATTATCTGAACTTTATATGGAAAATAGAAAATCAGATATCCCTCTTAAAATCTATATTACAAACATATATCCAATTTTGCATAAATATTTAGAGTAATATCATTATAAATAATGGTAATTACTATCAGATGAGAAACTATTCATAGACATAGAAGAATTTTAATAAGCAAATATTGTTTATTTAAGTCCTGATGGTGAAGAGGAATTATAAGAGATAAAGGAAGATGAAGTCTATGTGATAGGAGGATTAGTTGATAGGTACTTTAAAATTTAAAATTATTATAGAGTAATTATAAAAAATGCTACTTTAAATAGAAGTAGATAATTAGGAGTAAGAAGTGCAAAATTACCTATTGGATAATTTATAAAAAAGAATTATAAAAAATGCTTAAATGTTAGTACAGCTGCCTTGATGATATCAGGATGGTTAAAGTATAAAGATTGGAGTAAAGCTTTCGATAGTATTGTACCCCAAAAATTTAAAGAATAGGAACCTGATTAGTAGTAGTGAGATAATTAATTTAATTTTGATGAAACAATTTATCGTTTTTCTTTGTATTCTCTTCATTACACGCTGTTAGAGATAATCCTTTGAATAAGCTCTTAGATAAAGATATTAAAGCAAAATGTTTGTTCATTAGTCAAATTTTATATAAAATTAGTAATAAACGAGACTATTATAATAAGATTAAGATGATTTAATCGATCACTAAGGATAGTAAGAACATGACTAAATTAAAAATGAAGAAGATAAATAAAGAAAGAAAACTAGAAAAATTGTTAAAAAAAGGAGAGTCATACTTAAACCTATTATTATCAAAGTGACAGAGTAACAAAAGAATTAAAAGAAAAGAAAGGTTCATAAAACAATTAAAAAGTGCAAAACCATTATTAAGGAGTGAAATTTTATATCAATAATAAAAATAATTCAAAATGTTTCAATATAAACCTTAAGAAGAGACCTACTATAGATAACTTTGAACTCCCTTTGATCCATAAGTATTTCAAATTTATTTGATTCTTAGGGTCTAGGCTTTGCAGAGCAAAAGAGTACTGTTGAATTATTCAAAAAAGTGGACTTCCAGTTGATACACAAAAGAGAATATGGATTGCAGGAGTAATGAATTAAGATGGCAAACTCTATTATTCAGAATTTGCCACTATTATGAGACTTATTGCATATTGTTAAAATGGATTTGAATTCAATGAATAATTATTGAATTCAAATAGTCCTGTTCCTGATGGAAGGAATATAAATACCTAATAATAATAATAACCTTAATAATAATCAATCTAATAATCATAATAGTAACAGTTCAACAACTTTTAATAAGCTTAAAATTAGTTACCTTAATTAAATTACTTCTAAACATATAATGTTCAAATTTCACTATAATCCTATTTAGAACCTATGCTATAGTGATATTAACTATATTTACATTATTTTAATACAAAAAGGTTTGTTATTTAAGAATCAATTTATTGTTGCTGTTCATTTAATAGCTCTTTGTCGAAAGGATATCCCTTTACCTTAAGTATTACCTGAATCTTTACTTTAATTAATAAGAAGGGATTAATAATAAAATTAAGTTTCGATCAACATCATAAACGATTCTACAAATAATTTCAGGTTTGCCAACATAACCATAAAGAGCAGGATCTTAGAATGAATTACAAGGTTCCAATCTTCAAACAAGTTACTAATAGAATAAAATTAAAAATTAATTCTAATAGATTTAATTTGCAAACAATGTAGATTGATAAAATAAATAATTGAATATAAGAAGAAGGATGTTGAATTTCTCAATCAAACCAAATAAAAGCTTCAAAGTTTTTATGATTTCCTTAAGAACGAATAAGATGAATTGCAAGCTTAAATAACTTCATCAAATGATTAATAAACATAGATATAACATTAAATGAATATTTTATAGGATAGTATTTTAAATCAATTATAAATAAATTAAAACTTATAGAAATAATTATATGAATTGAAATAAACCAATTAAGTTTAAGAAAATTAAACTCCTACATAAAAAATTAATTTTAGACTATATATGTATTAGTTAATTAATATAATAATTGTAGATTGAAGATGATTATGATTACTCTAATTATAGAGCAAAGAAATATAAGGTAGTTTCTGGAGGTAACTAAAACATTGAAAACTTTCTTTGACATTGACATAATATTAAAATTAATTTTTTTTAACGAATAAAAATGTTAACTGCATCACCTCACATGAAATCAGATAAACCATATTAATAAAGTCCTTAATATAAGAAACCTCATCCTTACAATCCTGAGGCCAGTATATCCCTTAAAAACTCAATTAATTTGAAAGGTATTTGGTAACAACTATAATCAAGATTTTTAATTTAACGAAGAATTGGAATACTATAAGAATCGATCAGCTGATCTTGAATAATATGCAAGACAATTAAAAAATGAATTAGATACTACTATAATTAGAATGAGTAAATAGGGAGCTTTGGATGAGAAGGCTGAGTTAATGATACATTAGAATTAAATACTTAGTTAAGACATAGATAAATTATAAAAGAATTTTGCCTAAAAGAAGACTGAATGTGAATTATGGAAATCTAAATATGAATAATAACTCAATAGTGCTGTTTAATGTATATAGATTTTTTTTAAATATTTATAGTAAAGGCTCAATATGAATTGGATTTACGTAAATTAAGTAATGAATTAAAGATGTTAGAGGAAAGAAATTCCATACTTGAGAAGGAGAGATCACATGAAGTTGAAGCTACAAAAACAAACTTTTCAAGTAATTTTATTTATAATTTTGACAGTTTAAAATGAATAATAAAGACATAGTTATCTAACTTAAATAGATGTTCTTGAAAATCAATTGAGAAAGCTAAGAGAATATGCTGATATAAGGGATAAGGAGATCTATGAATTAGAAACTAAATTAACTAAGGTTTTGTAAGATAGAGAATATGTTGAGACTAAATTACTTAAAGATAATGATTTATATAGAATTAAATTATAAGAATAAGAGAGAGATAATCAAATTGAAATGAATAATCTTAGATAAAAATTGGATATATTGAATTAAGGATAATTGGATAATATTAAAAATCAATATATGGCTTAAGCTGAAATTTTAGATGATGAAATTGAAAAATTGAAAGGTCTCTTAGGAATTAAAAATGAAGAAATTAAAACACTTATAGATTAGAATGAAAGATTGAGAGCTAATTATGAAAAAGAAATAGAAACTATTACTTTATAATTCCATGTTTTAAAGGAAAAGATGTTTGAAAATGAATAAAGATTTTAAGAGGAATCATAATAAATGGAAAATAATTTAAGAAGTTAACATGAGATAGGTGTTGATACATTATAATAACATCATTAAAATTCTAGTTAAATACTTGAAAATCAAATTGTCCATTTAAAAGGTTAAGTTTTAGAATAAACTAAATAATTAGAAGAATTGTAAAAAATAAGATAATAATTACTATAAGCTAATCTATAGGATCAAGAAAATGCATAAAATATTATCAATAATTTAAAGAAAGAAGTATAAATTATTAATAATTCTTTAGATTTTAGAATAATAAAATAGATATCAAGATTAGATTTAAAAAAATTATCAAGATTATGATCTATAAAAGAAAGAATTATTGAATTATAATCAATAACAATTAGAATTTAATTAATAGTTATAACAATAGATTTAAAATTTAAATTAAATAATAGAATTAAAAGAATAATAATATGAGACAACACTTGTATAATTTAAGAATATGAATGATCAATTAATTGTATTAAATTTTATTATTATACTTAGAATAAACTTAATGATTTATATAGAGATAATGAATCAATTAAAACTAAATTCAATGTTACAGTAACTGAATAAGAAGATTAATTAAATAAATAATTAAAATAAATTAAACAATAAGAACATAAAATATAATAATTATAATCTACATTTTAAAGAGAAAAATAAAATGCTGAAAGATAAATTACTAATTTATAGAATTAAAATAGATAAAAAGAATAATAATTAGCAGAATTAAAAGCATAATTAAAGGCTGCAGAAGAAAATTTAGATAAAATTGATAATGAATTATAAGAAACAAAAAATACTCTTTAAAGTTAAATTGAAGAATAAAAATATAATTATGAATAAGAAATAGAATAAATATAAGCTCAGTAAAATGAAGATTTAATGAGTACTAAGAAATTATATGAAGAAAAAGAGACTTCATTAAATTAAGAACTTATTAAATTAAAAGGAACTTTATAGACATAATAAACACTAAATTCAGAATTAAACTAAAAGTATTTTTTATATTTATTATTTTCAGATTAGATGAATATGGCTAATAAATTTAAAATGTTGTGAACAATTCAGATGTTATTAAATAATACGAAATTTTATCAGAGATTAATTTAGTAAACAGATTAAGAAATTGAATATTTATTTATTAAACTTATTTAATATTTTTAAAAGAATGATAATTCTATATAAATATTAATTAAAACACTATTACTGATTGAGTTTATGCTATTTATAAATGTATATGTAAGATTTATTACTAAACTAATAAATTAAAATAAAGTATTTCAAATTTAAAAAGTATTAGAGGGGAAATTAAATATAGTAAAATTAAATAAGGATAATTTAAATAGTTTAATTGAAGAGTACTTTTAATAAAAAACCTGAATTTAAAATTAAATAAGATATAAGCTATTAATTTTTTTATTAAATATTAATTTATTAAGATATATATATATATCAAAAAAAATTATTTATTTAATACAAAATTTGTTATTGATATTAGAATAATTAATTTCAGTCCTATGATTACCTTCTTAAGTGATTCATTTTTTTAATAACACTTTATCTCCAATTTTTCATTTAAGTAACATCTCCAATTCTGGGTCCTTAAATATCTCTAGAATTTAAGAAGATAATCATACCTTTTTATAATTGTTGAATATTATTTAAGATAAGTTTTACTGGTTTTTGGCAATGGATGAAGTGGATATTAAAAATATGATTCAGATTGTTTGTCTAAAAATATACCTTTGGATGATAATGGATTTCTTAATTAAAGAATAAATGAGATACAATTTTGAGTAATTATTCTTGCAATTTTAAGGTTATTCTATTATTTAAGGCCATCCAAAAATTTAATTGTAATTCTTTTAAGTTTAGGCTAATTATTCTGTAGATGTAGATAATCGTGGAGCTGTCATTCTATTCAATTTTGGATTAAATTCAAAATTAGTATCATTAGTCTAAAAATAAGAAATACCTAATACTTTGTAAGATATTAAAGTGGCAATTTGTTGTTTTGATTTATCATATTTTAATTTATCTGTTTTAACATTATAATTTTAAGGTGCATATCCTGTGAAGTCAGTTTTATATGAAGTTTAGGAAAATTGAAAATTTTAAGGAGACTTATAATTTTCATAGAGGGAATTTTTATTAAGTTGAACTTTTTCATTAGTTTTCTATAGGAAATCATTTTCATATCGAGTTTTGCATTTAATAGGTTATTTAAATTTATTCATATTGAAATCTCCTTGCTTTTAGTCTTTGAAGTACAAACTCAATAAGTAATAAATATATTCTTTATTTTCACTAAAAAGTTGTTCAACAGTTGAACCTTTTAATATTTCTTATGGTATGATTTGTAACCATATTGGATCTGAAGGAGGAATGTCAGGTAAAGGTTCATCAAAATAACAAAGCGACATATTGGTTTAGCAACTAACTGAATTGGCATTTTGAGAACTTGGTTAATGAGTGTTCTGATGCTCTAAAGTTTAGAATCTTGTAGGTTTTTAATCAGAAAGAATCTGTTTAGATGGTGAATATGAGGGGAGATCTTGAGCACTTAAAGTCGAGATTGCTTATGATCTTTTATTAAGAGTGCTTGTTTTTCGAGAGAATGTCTATGAGAGAAAGGGTTTAGTTTAGTTGTTTAGCATCTACTTAATTTGTTCTGATAACATATATAGATATAATATATATGAATAAATGCATGTATAAAATACTAATAATGATAATTAAAAGCGTACTATGAATCTTTATATATATCTAATGTAGAAGGATACATGATTAATACATTTAATGATTATTCAACCCAACAACTTTCATAGTCTCAGAACTAAATATTAACCTGAGTTACCACAATTATTGTAATTAGATGAGTTGGACACTAAAACAGAGACAATATAGGTGAATGCTCAAATACGAGAAGTATATTTCGATTATCATTCTTTTTAAAGATGTTTCCATTTTTATGTAAAGAAGATGTAAAGGCAGTCACTTTTTAAGCTGCAAATGCTAATGAAAATACAATTAGAGCACCTTTAAGAATTGGTAAGATTTTAGTTTAGAATTTTAAGGTTGTGTACTTTCTGGAGGGTAAGCAGCAGGTGGTCATAATGTTATAGTGGGAATTTATGAATAAATAAAGAGAAGACATCCAAATAGTTAATTGTTTGGATTTTTGAAGGGACCAATTGGTATTTACTCAGGTAAGTATGAGGAATTGAAAGATGATACTATCAATTATTTCAAGAATAGAGGAGGTTTCGATATGATTCAAAGTGGAAGACATAAAATAGAAACAGAAGAACAATTCAAGAAATCTTTATAATATTGTTAATCTTTAAAATTAGATGGTTTAGTAGTAATAGGAGGAGATGATTCAAATACTAATGCTTGTTTATTAGCAGAATATTTTTTAAAGAATAATTGTTAAACAAGTGTAGTTGGTTGTCCAAAGACAATTGATGGAGATCTAAAGAATGAATTTGTTGAAGTAAGTTTTGGATTTGATACAGCATGTAAAACATATAGTGAACTTATTGGTAATATTATGTTGGATACAGTATCTTCTAAAAAATATTATCATTTTATTCGTTTAATGGGTAGATCTGCATCTCATATTGCTTTGGAATGTGCATTATTAACAAGACCAACTTGGGCTTATATTGGTGAAGAAGTGGAAAAGAATAAGACTTCATTGATTTAAATAGTAACTTAATTAAGTGATTTGATTGAGAAAAGATATAAATAAAATAAGAATCATGGAGTAATTTTAGTACCAGAAGGATTGATTGAATTTATTGATGAAGTAAAAATATTAATTAAAGAAATTAATACAATTTTGGCAGCAAATAAATGGGAATCAGATTAAGTATATAATAATATTTTAACTAAATTGACACCTGAATCATCAAAATTATTATAATTTTTACCTAGAAGTATTAGTGATTAATTATTACTTGATCGTGATCCACATGGTAATGTTTAAGTGGCTAAAATTGAAACTGAAAAATTATTGATTGAAATGGTTAAAGTTGAATTATAACGTAGAAAATATGCAGGTAAATTCTCTGCTATTAGTCATTATTATGGATATGAAGGTAGATGTGCTTTTCCTACTAAATTTGATTGTGATTATTGTTATAGTTTGGGTGTTAATGCAGCTATCTTAATTGAAAATAAATTCACTGGAGTTATGAGTTGTATTCGTGATTTACATAAAAATCCATCTGAATGGAATGCTGCTGGTTTCCCATTAGTAACTATGATGGATGTTGAAACTAGAAAAGGAAAATCTGTTCCTGTTATTAAAAAAGCATTAGTTGATCTTGATGGACCTTTATTTAAATTCTATTAATAAAATAGAGATAAATGGGCATTTCATGATTATTATCATCCTGTTGGACCAATCTAATTTGAAGGTGAATAAGTTCCTCCATTTCTTATTAATGGTAAAGGATTTGAATTTGAAGAAGTAGATAATAAAATATATGAATAAAAACCATATGAAGAAATGCATCTTAGAAATTTATCAAAATTAGGATTAGAAAGAACCAATACTCCTTTGGCTTTACCTAAACATTTAAATCTTAAATTAAGTCTTAAGGTTATACATCATAACTATAATGATAATGTCATGAAAGCTATTGAAAAGAATTTTCCTTCTCTTATGGCTAAAAGTATAAATGCATTTCAATTTGTTCATGATGATGCTCATGAAACTCATAATAAACCATTAAGAATTGCCATTACATTGAATGGTCGATAATCTCCAGGAGCTAATTGTATTATTAGAGGATTATTGGCATTATGTGAGTAAAGTGGATCTACATTATATGGATTCATTGGAGGTACTTAAGGTCTTTTCAAATAAGAATATATTGAAATCAATTAAAATAGTTTGTAATACTACATTAACTAAGGTGGATATCATTATTTAGGTCGTACTGCTGATAAAATGAGATCAGTATAAGAATTATAATAAGTTAAAGAAACTTGTAATAGTCTATCTTTAGATGGATTAGTTGTTGTAGGTGCTTCACACACTCTTACAGATTGTATAATAGTTGCCAATTATTTACTTTAAGAGAATGTTAAGACTAGAGTTATTGGAGTTCCATGCACAGTTGATAATAATATTGGTCATCCATTTTTAGAAGGGATTGTTGGTTTTGATACTGCATCTAAAACCTATTCTTAAATGATTGGTAATATCATGATAGATGCAGCCAGTGCTGTCAAATATTGGTACTTTATAAGATTAATGGGAAGAGATCCTTCACATCTTGTATTGGAATGTGCACTTTAAACTCATCCAAATGTTGTACTTATTAGTGAAGATATAAAAGAAAGAGGACTAACATTATAAGAAGTAGTATCAGAAATTGCAGATGTGGTTGTACTAAGATCATAAAAAAATAAAGAGTTTGGTACTGTACTTGTACCTGAAGGTTTATTAGCCCATATTGGATAATTTAAATAATTAATTACAGAATTGGATAAACATTTTACAACCAATAAATAAGAGATAATGAATAATTTAACTCCTTGGTCTGCAGCTCTATTTTAATCACTTCCTGATTTCACTCAATAATAATTACTAATGGAAAGAGAAGTTCATGGAGGTATTTAATTATCATAAATTGAAACTGAAAGATTATTAGCACATTTAGTTGCTGAAGAACTTAAAGTTAGAAAATCTGAATCAAAATATAAGGGTTCATTTTCACCAATTTGTCATTTCTTTGGATATCAAGGTAGATGTGCATTTCCAACAAGATTTGATGCAAAATTAGGAGAAGTCTATGGTTATTTAGCTGGTTTGAGTATCTAAAGAGGATTAACTGGTTATTGTGTTTCAGCTAGAGGAATTGCAGGTCCAATTGAAAGATGGCATTTTAATGTAATTCCTTTATTAGGAATGATATCTATAAAATAAAAGAGTGCTTATGGAGAAGCATAACCTGTTATTGCTAGTTATGAAGTAGATTTAAAATAGGTAATTAGAATAATTTAATTTAATATAGTCGCTCTTTAAATACTTTAGTCAGATTTCTAAAAATTGGTATTTGAAAGATCATTATGAGAATCCAGGTCCAATCTAATTTTATGGACCTATGGCTCGTAGACCTACTTTAACTGTAGAACTGAGTTATAAATGTTATGTGGATTAAATTGAAGAGATAGAGCGTTTAGTAGAAGTGATATCTGAATAATGTAGATTTGAAACAAGAGCTGATTTGCTTGATTTAGCTATTGCTCAATTAAAAGCTTTGGCTAGAACAATCGAAGTAGTCAAAGAGGCAAAACAGTGAAATATATATATTAATTTAACAATATGTCAGTTATTCGTGAGAGACATCCCCTCACTTCTCTTAATTAATTACAAAATCTATTTGGAAAGACTAAACCATAAGAGAACACTCATAGTGTATGTTTAGAGAAGACTCGTTATACAAGTAAACCTAAATAAAAAACTGAAGATTCTAGAAGAGAAGTGTCAAATGTTTAGAAAAGTTAATACACATTATAATCTTAAAAGCTATATACTAATCATTTAGATAACATCAAATCATCTAGGGCTTTTAATGTAAAAAGTTAAGATCTCTTACTTTCACCTGAAAGAATTGAATCATTATAATAAGATAATAAAGTACTTGAAATTTAAAATGATAAAAAGAGAATTCTTAAATATTCTGTTGAACATTCAAATGATACAAATCATAAATTATAAACTTAAGAAGAATAACCAAAAAAGATTGAAAAGTCACAAACAATTTTATTAAAAAATCTTATATAAGTTAAATAATAAAGAGATACTACAGAAAAACTAAAGAATTCAAAAAGAGAAAAACATATTACTTCAAATTAGTATGAAAATAATGGAACAAAATTATGTAAAACCTAATCAAATACTCAAAACTAAACTATAAATGAATGTAAATTATCAGAAAATACTCAATAATGCTTTATTTAAAGATTTATTAAAGATTTTTATTATTTTCTTAGTAATACAGAAAATGTCAGAATTAGTTGGGATTACTCAAAAATTTATGAAAATGATTTCCAGTAAATTCTTTAAGGATTAGGATTTGGAGAAAGTAAAGATTTATGGAATGATTTTACAAATGGTTCCTATATACTCTCCAGAAATATGTTAATAGTCTTACTTGCAATCCTTAATGTACCAGTTTAATAAATACCACTTTATATAACAAAGGATGATGAACAAGTACCTATGGCATCTCATTATAAGAATGATGAAAATGGGAATTTAATACTATCCTCATAAGATTGTATTGAAATACATAACAAATATAAATAACTATATTTGAATACCAAACTAATACATGGAAATGGATAAAGACGAAATATTGAAAAATCTAAATCACCTCCATAAGTTATCAATTTATTAAGCAATAGATCTAGAGATATGGCTATCAAGAAAAAGAATAATCTAAATATCAATGAATGGTTTGCTTAATAGGAATAGAAAAAAAAAGATAATATTGAGAAATTGAAAAGTTAACTTGAATAATAAGAAGAAATAAATGAAATCAAAAAATAAACTATCAAACCTGTTGCAATTGATTTAACTTAATTAAGCAAACCAATTAAAAAACAATAAGATAAATCAACTATTGATTTAGAATTTGAAAATCAATAATAATTTTGTACATTTTCACCTTAGATTAATCCAATGAAATAATTTCCAATCTCTACAGCTTCTACATAATATGATATTGATTAATAAGCTAAAAGATTAAGAGAAGCTCGACTTAGATAGAAGACATTAGAAAAATTGAAATGTACTGGAAACACAACAAACAATGAAAGTAGAACATAAATTAAATTATAAACTGAATAATCAAAAAGTTAAGAACCAAAATGTAAAATAATTAAAAGCAAACCTATATTTCTTAATTTTCCTATTTTATATATTGATGTAAAAATAGATGATGCAAAAACTGTAAGATTACCAGTATTTAATGGAGACAATTCAGAAAGTTTAGCTACCAAATTTGCAATAGATCATAGTAATAATATATATTAATTATATTAAGATTTAGATAATTCTTTAGAAGAAAGACTAAAAGATTTATTAGAAGAGTAAATAACTTCTGTATAAGGTTGATAGTTATGAATTTATTTATAATTTATTAATAATTAGATTGATAAGTATAAATTGATTTATTTATACAATTATCTCATTTTTAATTTCCACTATCCGATTTATCTGATTGTTGTGATTGATCTCTTTTATGATTCTTAGATTTCTTATCCTTTTTCTCTTTTTTATCTTTATTTTTTTTATTTTTTTTCTCTTTTTTTTCTTTTTTTATTTTTCTTTCTTTTCCCTTCTCTTCTGAATTCTTTTTCTCAAATTTCTTATTTTATTTTTTCTATAATCTTAATAATCTCTCCTCATTTGTTTCTTATTTTTCTGGTTCTTGAATCTCTTTATACTTTTGCATCTTATTATTGAAATATTAAAGAGCTTCAATTTTTTCTAATAGTTCTTTCTTCTCATCTTAAACCATTAGCATTTTATCCCACTTTAAAATATTATAATTATAATACCCTTTCATCCTCATCAATAATGGTCTGCATATTTTTTATCTATTGCATATTCTCAAATATTTTTTCATTCCTTTTCTAAATCTCTTATGATTAAGCTTCTATTTATGCTTTTAATACTAATTCTTCTTAAGTCAACTCTCTAAAAATTCCCCAACCTTTACCATCAGGACCAGATGGTTTATAGAGCTTATTAAATATTTCTGGATCATCAGGAGAGATATCAAGATACTCCTTAGGGGGTTTGAACTCTCTTACATGATCTACTCTTAATAATCTTCCACCTTATTGGTAATTCATATAAATACATATTTCTGCATGATTGAAGTTATCTACAGCCAATATTGTTGATCTTTAATCTTCATATGCCAAGAAACAAAACCCTTTGGATTTACCAGTAATTTTATCTCTGACTAAATGTACATCAACTATTTCTCCATATTATGAAAAGACTATAGCTATATCACCTTCATTCATAGCATAATTAAGATTGGCAACAAATATGTAACTACTCTTATTGTATTCATCATGCCAAGTTGTTGTTTGCATATTTTCTAATGCAGCATCATTTAATTTCTTAATAGTCTTACTCATAAAATAATTAATGAACAAATGCTAACAAATAGGATTCATATATTGTGTATCAGGAAAATGCAACCAATTTGGATTATGTTTGGAGTAAGTTGCCCTTTCAACAGCCTCTATTTAGGAACGGCATGCTCTTTGTTGTTGATGACATTATGTATATACCAAATTACAGTGAGAGTAATTGAATAGAGAAGATTTTACAAAAGAAAGCAAATATTGTTTTTGATAATTTTACTTGCTGATACTTGTAATGATATTTTTAGGATAGCAAAAATAAATAGTTTTTTTCATCTTTACGATGGATAGAAATCTAGCATTTGCTTATTTTTTGTATTTTTACTTTGATTAATCTTTTTTGATTTTTCTGGTATACTTCTTTACGAAAAAGGCAACTGATCTTAATGTTTATAATAAAAGCAATACAAAATTAGTGAGAGGATGCACATATGGATTATTTGCTTTTTTTTCCATATTATTATTGATAGATATAATAGTCTATTATTTGAGATAGGGTTATGGAAATTGTAGTTGTATATAAAAAATATCTTAGGCCTTAGATATTACACTTTTTGTGATCAGAGTAGTGGAATTATTTGCAAGCATTATATTCATCATAGGAGCTTATTTTCTAAATAAAAAAATGAATGCTTTGATTACAGAATAAATAATTTTCACAAACAGGATGACAGGAGTAGAAAAGACTCAGTTCATAAAGATTAGAAATATAAAATTGAAATTTTGGTAATAAAACAATTTTTATTAAATAAAAGGACTTTAGTTTGTGTTACAGCAATTGGATAAGTAATTTAATGGAGTGCAGATTTAAGTTATTTCATATATTCTCAATCAAAACAAACTTTAAACTAAACTTAATAATAATGTTATTTTCCTGCATATGTAAGATATTAGAAATGTTTATATAGAATATTGTGTTGACACCTTAGGTTGATTTATTAATTTGTCTCTTTGGATATTTTTTGCCATTGTTTTGTGCTGTTTATTTGTTTTGGTTCAAAAAGAAATAAGTGTAATATGTGGTAAGAATCTCATCCCCCTTATATAGAGGAATCATTAGAAGTGGAAAGTTTACCAGAACGATACTATCATAAATTATTAAACTAATCAAATAGTTCATTCTCTTCTTCAAAATAAAATTGAAAAAAAAAAACAATACAAATTATAAACAATTATTCTGCAATATTATTTAATTAATAAGTATCTTCAATTAATTAACTATATATATGTTCATGATGAAAGAAGATATGATTTTCATTAATTATATTAAATAACCATGTCTTGGGATGCTTATGTGACAAATTTGACAGCCAATGGAGTTCTTGAATATGCTGCCATTATTGGATTAGATGGAAACATTTGGGCAAGCAATTTAGGTGTTGCTGCCCTTCCTTCATATCAAGCTGATGTACCAGATGAGAAGAATCCAGATGTTACAACCAAAGTTGCTTATGATGAGAAGGCTGCTTTTGTTCATGCACTTACTCACAATGGAGAATCAGGTAATAAAGCTGGAGTTAGAATCAACAATCAAAAATATTATTCAGTATAATTCGATGGTGAATCTAAGACATGGTATTTGAAGAAGGTATTTTACAAAATGATAATAAATAGAACAAAGGAGGAGCATGCGTTGCTTGGGCTAACACAGTCGCTGTATTTGCTTCATTCTCCCAAACCATTAATGCAGAAAATGGAGCACCTTAGAATGCTAGTGATTGCAACAAACGTGTAATTGACATGGCAAAATACCTTGCTGATGCTGGATATTGAGTTGTTATGTTCAAATAAAACATAAATAAATATACATCATATATCTCCTTCTACCCCCTCTCTTTCTTCATATTTTACAAAGTTAATATGGTATTGTTCTAGAATTTATACCATAAACGTGTTTTAATAATTAAAATGAAAACTTTTCTCCTTCTCCTCTGTGTCCTCCTTCAAACACTATGCTAAGATTATTATTAATTACTTGGAGTACAACGTGGTGCATCAGATGATTAAATCAAAAAGGCATTCAAGAAACTATCACTAAAATATCATCCTGATAAGGCCAAAGGAAATAAAGAGGAAGTAAATCAAATCTTGCTATATTAGTCTGAAAAATAATTCTAAAAGATTGTCAATGCATATGAAATACTTAAAGACCCAGAATAAAGAAAAATATATGACAAATATGGAGAAGAAGGATTAAAAGAGCATACTTAAAGATAATAATAAAGTATTTATTGATAAATAAAGAGCAAGAATAGGGACATTTTAATTATAATGATGTTTTCTCTAGATTTTTTGGAGGAGGATTCTAATAATAAAAACCAAACCTTGAATAATCATTATTTTCAAAAAGTGATGTTTATGAAATTGATATGACAACTATAAATAGATTCTTTAGAAGAGATCATGTTTGGTTGATTTATTTCTATAAAAATGATGATTATGGAAGGTAACATAAAAATACTTGGAATGAATTATCATCTAAATATTATGGTATTTTCTAAGTAGCTGCTCTAAATTGTGCTGCTGAAAATGAAATTTGTGATGATGAATTTTAAGTCTATGAATTTCCTAAAGTATATGCTTATCCTGCAAATATAAGATAAGAACCTATTGAATATAAATAAAAAATGGAAATAGATCAACTAGCAAAATTTGCTATTTAGTTTATGGAAAGTTTTGTAAGTATAGTTACTAATGATAATTATGAAAAATTTATTCAACAAGAAGAATAACATATAGTTTTATTATTCACTAATAAAACTTCAACACCTCCTCTACTTAAAGTATTATCAAAAGAATTAAAAGGAAAACTAGTTTTTGGATAAGTAAGAAATTCAGATAAAAAATTGGTTGAGTAATTTTAAATTAAGAATTTCCCTACTCTTATGGTAGTAACTGAACCAGAATAATATAGAGGAGTTATATATGAATAAAATGATTTTAAAAAAGAATAAATTATGAAATTTTTAAGAGAATATGCATATATAAGCAAAAAAGTTAAAAAAACTCATTAAGGTCCTAGAGAATTGTCTAATTTATTAATAAAAAATGGGGCTTGTACAACAAAAGACACTAAAATGTGTTTCATTATTATTACTGATGATAAAGATTATTTAGATATATTAACACCATTGTCTTATCATTATATGAAAGACAAAATCGATTTTTATTATATTAATAAAAAGTAAGTATTTAATAATATATTTTTAGTAATTTAATTTATTCAGAAGTTTTTGATGATGTTAGTAATTTCCCAACAGCTGTAATGATCAAACCTAAAAAGGAAAGATATGCTAAACTTTAAGGGGAATTGACACTATCAAATATTTAAGATTTTCTTGATTCGATTATTAGTGGAAATGTATAATTTAAATCAATGAAAGATAGTCTTGATCTTAATATTTTTAAAGAAGATTTGTGATTTTAATGTTAATATATAAATATTTTATTATAATAAATAATATACATTTATTGATTGTTAATATATAAATATTATAAAAAAGTTTGTTAAGAAATCTAGTAAATAAATAATTATTTTTACTCATTTTATTCTTAGTACATGATTAAATAAAGTTCTTCCTAATCAAAAGGTTCAAATGTTTTAACAATATTTTAAAATAAATTAGGATTGATAAAATTAATATGAAATATAATTAATATATATATATATTACTGATTTAATACATTATTTCATTTCTTTAAAGATCTAGTCTATACATTATGTTGATTCCATTCTTTTTAATAGACTCCAATATGTTTATTAAAATTTTGAAGTCATCTTAAAATTTAATTGAGATCTGTGATTTCAAATAATCTTCAATTCAAACTTTTGTTTTAGTTATTACCATAAATTGTGTGGAAATAGGTAGATATAATGGATTTTAATGAATGAATGATATATTTTTATATGAATCATTTGATTTCAACGATATCTGCTCTTGTGGTCTCTGCAACAGCAGCAGCTTCAGCAATAACTTCTGCTGGAACTCCCATTTCTTTCAAAGTGTCACCAAGATGCTTAACAATTGTATTGAAGGCAGCTGTTGTAATTCCAAGACCAGCATGACCAGCTTTCATGTCCTAATTATATAAAATAATATAATTACTCTTCCTTTATAGTTATTGGGTCCTCCAAAAGCCATAGTAAGGAACTTTTATTACATCTCTGTTTATTTCTTCATGTCTGTGTTTTTGAAATAATGACTGACAGATGGATCAGAGAGTACTTTTTAATAAAACTTGACAACAGCTGCGTCAATATTAGCTTAGCCTCCTAATTTATCGAAGATGGTCTTATTTTACATTGCTAAATTTAATTAATGATTTGAAATACAAAATATGATTTCGTTTAAAAATGACAAAAAAAAGATATTTTTAGATAACTAAAATTATTTTATTGAATTAATTAATTTATTAATCACTATTAATCATAATATTTAAAATCTTCTATCTAAGTTGTATTAGACTTTCGAAATAATCCACTAGTTACTTTGAGTTAGTTTGTATCAAACTATTATTCTTGCATAGGTTTAATAGAACAAAATTAGCTTTTTCTAATAGTGGATTTAATTTTAACATCATAATAATCTTCCCCATCACTTGATCCTGTATAACAATCTTTTTTCAATAGAAATGTTCTCTATCTTTATCTATTTGAGTTTCTGGATGCAAGATGACTTATATTTTTATTAATAGTCAAATGTCTTAATGTCTTTCTAATTACATTTCCTCTAAACCATGGATGTCCTAAAGCATTATCTGGATGTGGTCTTTCTTATGGATCTTTCCTTAATAATAATTAAATTAAATTTTTGGCTTCAGCAGAAACTTCTGAAAAGATTTCTTCAGGGAAATCATATTTAGCTTGTTTAATATTTTCTACAAGGTCATTCAAACTAAGATAATAATGAATAGGATTACTAATCTGCATTAAATGGTAATTATCCAGAAAGCATTGAATAAAGAATACAACCTGCACTCCACATATCAACCATTTAACTTTCAAAATATCATTAAAGTATTTATTACTTATAACCCTCTCCTGTAAATATTTCTGGTGCAGAAAATGCTACAGTGCCAGTATATGTCCACATTTCTATTTTTTCAGTATCTCTCAAGTCTCCAAATAATTTATATGAATCACTAAATTTACTAACATTGAAATCTGTAACTTTAATTTATTTTTTATCTAGAAGAAGATTATTTTAAATGAATTTACCTTAAAGACATAAGATATTGTTTGGTTTTAAATCTCTATGACAAATTCCATGACGATGCATATATTCAATGGCACTTAGTAATTATTTAAATAATTCTTTTGCATCATCTTCACTATAATGTCCAGCATCATTTATAACTTCAAACATCTCTTTTCCATGTATCAACTCCATAATTACAAATGCTTAACTTTCAGATTAAAATCCAGTATCAAAATCTAAGTACATTTTGTAGGCTTTAACTATATTATCATGTGATAATTGAATTAATCTCTTAAATTCTATAATCATCTTAAAAGGTATTATTATTGTCTTTTTACATTGCGTACAATTTCATCATCTTAAGTAGCAACTATCTTAACAGCAAATTCTAACCCTGTATTTTTTTAGACTATTCGTTTCACTAATCCTAAACATCCTTCTCCTAATCTCTCATGTATTTCATATTCTTCAAAAAACTCTTTTGTATTTGGAATAATATTTTCAACATCAATTGAGGTAATTTCTAAATCTAATTTCTTACCTAATTCAATTAACTGTTCCTCTCTCATTTATAATGGCTATATTGGTTTATTAATTATTGCATTCAATTAGCCTAAAATACATATTAGTTAAATTTTACATTTTAACTGTTGTTTGATTCGATTTCTATTGCTCTAAATTTAAGTTTATTATTCTTCCTCTTGAGTTTTTTTAAATGTAAATCGTCCACTATATTTTCTATCTAACATAGAAGATCTTTATGAAATTTTAAGTGAGTCTTATGGACTTCTTTCTAAAACCCTATCATCTTGCATTTTAGTTTATATTAATTTATAGTATTGATTAAATTGCTAAAACAATAAATTTCTGATGAATAGACAAATTATATTAATTTATTCTTTTATGTAGATATATGTGTACTAATAATATTTGTTAGATATTTAAATTTAAGATATAAAGTATGTGAGTGATGGTTTAAATTAAAAATACATTCTATTAAAATATTAATGGATTATATATATAAATGGTTCTTTTAGAATTCATTTATGATAATGTACTATTTATTCAAAAATAGATATAACATTGAGAATATGATAAATTAATTTGAATATAAATATAATTATGAAAAGTGAACAATAATCATTATTATTGACAAAAAGAGAGGAATTTCGATTTTCGATTAGAAAAGAGAGATTAGAAGATTTATTCAATTAAAATAGAAAGAAATGTAATTTGAACAATGAATTGGATCCTATAATAGAGATTCCAAGTTTTTCAGAATCATAAGAACTTCACAAATATCTAATAGATGGAGAGTTTAGTTAATAGAAATTATTGAAGGCTGCAAATGACAAATAATTATTAAATAAGTTATTTCTTAGTGCATAATAATCAGATTATTATTCAATAACAATTTTGAGTAATATTTGTACACAATAAAATCTTGGAGAGTGTGAAGTGCTTTTTCTAAATTAATTAAAATTGGCAAAATAAAGAATGGATATAAGAATGATTGATAATGTAATAATACAATAAAAATCATTTAGTTATTTGATGCTCTTAATAGTATTTGTACACAAGAATTAACAAGAAAATAATTAGAATACTTATTAAATAATAATCTAATTTCATTAGTAAATCAAATATTAAAAGAAAATTAACATGAAATATATACTGATGATGAATTTAGAATGATAAAAAGTGGTACTGAATTATTCTGTAGATTCTTTAATAAATTTAGAATCTTTACAGAAGATGAATTAAATTAAGTAATATTAAAATACAATTAAGAAGTATTTAATTATATATATATATATATAGATTCGATATACATTTTATTTAATGAAATAATTACTTCCACTATAATTATAATATCCAAAAATAACATTTATGTTTGTTAAAAATCTCATTTAAATTATTTCATTAGATCCAGATATAGCTAATGATTTAGATAATTAAACACTTTAAATTTGTGTATAATTATTAGAATTAAGTGATAATTAGATATTAATATCTATAATATTAAGATTTATGATTGGTATAAGTGCTTTTAAAGATGAAAAATTTGTATAAAGAATATTCTTTTTAAAAGGTCATAATATTGTTAAATAATATATTAATCATGAAAGTTTAATTATAAGATAAGCTTCTATAAAATTATTAGCTAATTTTACTAATGTAGATTCTGAAAATTTACAAAAAGAAATAGTTTCAGATCTTCCTTTCATAGCAGAAGTTGTTTAAAACTTTTAGAATTCTGATAAAACAGATTAAAATTATTTAAGACTTATTTATGGTATTACATATAATTGTATGACTTATACATCTACAGAATTAATTCAAGATTTAAGAGTATTTTAAATAGTTAGAATAAAATTTCTATTAGAAGAATAAGAAGAAACAGAAAATATTATTATATATTTAAAAGTACTCTATACTTTAATTTACTATTACTAAGCTTATTGTATAGATGATACTGAATTAGAATAAAAATTAGAAGTTTTATTAGATCATAAAAATAATGATATAGTTAAACTTGCTGATGAAACATTGAATTTGATTGACTTAAAAAAAGACTAATGTATGAATGAATGATTTTTTAAAACTATGATGATACACAATAATAATAATATCATTATTTTCTCTTTTTACACATCAATCTTTACCAAAAATGTTTCATATAAACACAAAACAATTAATATTTTTATTCAAATGGAGTTTAAATAGTAGATTTCCAGAAAGATTCATCCAATTTCATTATTTTTGATTGAATCTTTTCTCTTATAAAGAATTCTTCCAATTTATCTTTTTGTTTAATTCTCAATATACACTCTTCCAATTATTTATATTAATCTGAATATGTTACAGGTTTTATGGTACTTAATAAAATAACTGTATTTGATCTTTTATAAACTTATTGAATCTAATTATAATTTTATTTATTGTACTCTCTCTGAAATCTATTATCGTAATCTAACTTATTTATCCATTGGAATCTAATCCATTTTACAACCAACAAAAATAAAAGGAATTTATAAAATCTCATCCATTGGAATTCCTTTATAACTATTATAATTTAATAAACAATCCTATTCATCTTATATAGCTATGCTACTCTATCTTGAAAATTCACTATTATCTGTTTCTAATACTTCTTCATTTTCTTCATGAATTACACTCTTTATTGTTAAACGATGAATCCATTTTCGAAGATTATCTAAAGTCTTCAAATTAGTCACATCAAAACAGAATATTATACCATTTAATTTTAATCTTGATATATAAACATCTAAATATTATCTTTAAGCCTTGTCTCCAGAAAGATCTAAAATTTACAATAAAAATTATTGTTTTTGTGTAAAATCATTTCTTAAAGCCATTCTTATATCACATCCTTATGTTTTATATGGCTGTTTACAAACCTTACTTTACATCTTATCAGGATATTTTCTATAAGTCAAAATATTAACTAATGAAGATTTCCCTGTCTGACCATCTCCAACAACCAAAATCTATTTGAATATAATATTATATGCATACTTACAATTTAGAAAGACTTTAATAATTTTTATGATCTCGATATCTAAAGTCTTGAGATTCAATATTCATTAATTATTATTAAAATAATAATTAACATGCTAACTATTCGTAATGAAGGACCTTTCTTAGTATAAGAATTAGATGTCTCATTATAATAAGACAATAACAATGCTATTGTTATAGATGAATCAGATCTTGTCATATTAATACCAGATGAATAATTGACTAAAAAAAGAAAATAAAAACTAAGTAGGTAAAATAACAAAAAATAGAATAAAGTGTAATCATTCAAAAAATCAAATACTAATTTAATATCAAATAAGAAAGAAAAGAAACAATAAAAATAAAATAACATTCATTGTAAAAATAAGTTCTTCAAAGACATAAATATGTAATGTTCATAAATCATCCAAAATAATGATCTCAATAATTGCCCTCTAAAATTTTGCACAAATCAAAATAATGTTTCCAATTAATCTAAAGCATTCTAATCAATGATGGAAAATGTCTAAAAATACAAAGAATAAGTTTCTTGGTCAAATAAAAAAGATCATATTTAAATTCCAGATAAATTATTAAAAGATGAAATTCAAGACATTTAATTGTTTGTTCCATAAATTAAAGGAGTAAATGATTCTATTTGCTCTAATACCTTATATCTAAATAAAATTAAAGATAAAATCCTTCATGTTTCCAGTCCAACATAGAATACCTAAAATATCAAATACCCAAAAGATATATCAAGAGATGCTTATATAGAATATTTAAAAAATATCTAAATGAATAGAGTGATCTCTCAAAATAAATAATTACCTTGATCTGTTAAATAAATCAAAAGTAGTAAAAAAATATATTAATAATGCCTTCTCATTCTTTCCATTAATCCATTCATATTCTTAAATACATATTTATTCTTTATTTTACTATTCATTTCATCTATATATTTTGTAAAATAAATTAAGTTCTTCATATAATATTCTTTTTTTTTATTTTAATTATCAATCTATTACTTTTTCTGTACAATTATCCTTTCTTATATTTTATTGATAATTTAAAACATTTTTCATTTCATCTCTTATTAATTGATACCTTCGTAATTTTAAATTACTTTTACATCTATTTGATTAATATATTATTATTTATATCAATAATTGCATTAAAAAAACAATTAAAAATTCTCGAAAATCTCAGATAAAAAGAACCTAATATAATTTTAGTTAATTTTATATCAGTCGATATTTCATTTTTATAAAGCAAAACCACCACCCACAAATTTTTTCTCTGGTAAAATTACTTAGATTGACTATCCTTATTCTTCCTATATACGAAGGTCTCTTTATTATTATTCTCTCTTTTTTTAATTAAAATACTTCTACTTAACTCTTTACAATTCCTTGAAAATTAATATATTTATTACTTTATTGATTCTATCTATTTCTAATTTATATTCATTAATATGTGATTGATACATACTCAATTCCTAATCCATTGCTTTCATCTATTCTTCTTTCTATCTAAGACTATCTTAATAATATGGTATCATAGCTTAATCTTCTAATCCTGGTTTACGTTTCATCTCATCTTTCAAAGCCTTTAATTCTTTTTCCTTTTCTTCTACAACCTTTTCTTTAATAACAACTTCCTCTGTTTTTTAGATTAATCTCTTTTATAGACTGTGTATTTTTGTCATTAATTCATAATTTTCAGAATCTGTAGCTTCCAATTTTCTCCATCTATGTACATTCATTGGATTTTCTAATTCTTCTGTCAAAGCTTTTGCTTTCAATTTCTCTTCTGTTAACTCTTTTGTTAGATTATGTATATCTCCTTCTAAATCTTTAATAGTATCAGCTTCTCTTTTAAAAACCTTAATTTCTCTTTTATAATCAGCTATTTTTTCTTTTAACATTTATATATCTCCTAATCTTTCTCTATATTATTATTCTCCTTTCTTAAGAGTACTTTCATTAATTTTGATTTTCTCATAAAGTAGATTAGTTTCTGATATTCTTCTTATGAGTTAAGTACTTAAGATATCTCTTTCAGCCACAACTAATTCAAATTCTTCTTTGAGATTTTGTATTTATTATTCTTCATCTTTAATTGTAAATTGTAATTTATCAACTCTTTTAATATATTTATTAATCTTTTCAGCTTTTTCATCTATATCTGTTTTATATTTTTCTAATACTCTAGATTATTCTTCAATAGTTTTATCCTTTTTTTTATGTTCTAAATGTTCTTTGGCTAATGCATTACCTTTTGCTTCAATTTCTTCTTTTAATTATGATATTTAATGATTTACTATTTTATAACTTCTTCTCATTTTTTCAATTTCTTATTATTTTTCTGTATAATTTTTAGAATATAGATTTCTATCACTTCTAACTGTTTCATATAAATTTTATTATTATTTTAATTTAGCTTCAGTTTCAATATTCTTTTTTTAAAATTCACTAATTAATGAATCTTTTAATTTAATTTCATCTAATGAATGAAAATATTTAGTTTATGCTTATGAAAATTATAAACATTATTATTCTGTTTCTTTTTCAACATTTGCAATTTTTTTATTTAGATAATCAATTTTCTTTTATAAACCACCTAATTCATTTTATTTTTCACTTAAATATTTTTATTTAGCAATAAAATCTTCTTCAATTTTCTTATTATTATTATCACATCTATCAATTTCCTTTTATAAAATATTTCTTGCCCTTCTTAAATCCTCAATCACTTATCTATCATCTGATGCTCTCTTTCTTTCTATCTAAATATCCTCCTCCAATTAATTTAATCCATTATTAGCTAATATTTTTTCTTCTTCAATTTTTTCTTCCAATTCTTCATATTCTTTTACTAATTCTGTCATTTTTTTCTTTTTCTCTTCTCCTTCATTTATTTTTTAATGAAGTTATGCAATTTCTGTTTCAAACAATTCTATCTATAATCTAGTATCCTTAATCTTCTCTTCTATTTATTCATTTATTTTCTCTACAGAATCTAATTTCTCTTTAGTATCCCTTAATTCCTTATCCACTCTATTCTTTTCTTATTTAAAATTTTCAATTTCTTTTGTTTTAACACTATTTTATAAAGTCACTTTTTCAATTTCACTTTTTAATTTCTTCTTCTCATTACCTAATTATTTTTCATCCTCTTTTAATGAATCAAAATCCTTTTTAATCTTCTCCAATTCTGCTTAAGTTACATTCTTTGCCTCCTCATCTTTTTATAATCTCTCCTCAAATTCAGATTTCTATTACTATAATATTCTATATTCTTTCATAACTGATTCCTTAGAAGTCTCTAAAGACTTAATTCTATCTGTAATTGATTAATTTTCTGATCTAGTTCCAAATACCTAAATCTATAAAATCTCTTTTTCTTTTAAAAGTTCTTACTTTCTTTATAATAATTCATGTACAGTTGTAGTCTATCCTGAATTTAAAGCTTTACTTTATTCAATTGTTTAATTGAGTTATCTATATAATAATAATATAACAATTACTTAATTTCATTTTCCTAGATTTTAATCTTTTATTTATGTTTCTCTTCCCTCTCTTATTAAATCTCTAACACCTTATATGCTTTTTCTAATTGAGTTTTCAATTATTATATAGCAGCAGAATCGTCAGCTGTCATTTTTAAAACAGTTTGAATCTAATGTTAAATTGATAAATACTTTAGATGCATTCTAAGAGATTTCTGCATTATACTCCCTACATTTGCTAATTAATCGTCTTTAATTCTCATGAATGATTTTCAGCGAACGATAAAGTTTATCAAACTCAGATCTAAATCTCTCTAAGTTTTAATCAGTGCCTAAATCACGTAAGACCTCTTAAAAGTCTCTCTCCATAGTATCAAATTAACCTGTGTCTATATCTAGATCCACTTAGTTTTACATTAATAAAAAATATTTATATATATCAATGCAAATTCGTTAACCAACACGATATCCTGTAGTACCACAATTCTAAAATCTGAACTAATATGGTCCTTTTGTCTCACCAACACAACGAACATCTCAAATCTAAAGAATTGGAACTCCAAATACATTACGTTTTGACTACCAGAGATTAAGAAATACTCAATCTATGCAACAATATCCTATTATACCTTAAACTTCTGTAGTCACTCCATAAAAAGCCATCACAAAAAAACCACATATCAAAATGCCTTAACCTGGATAAACAGTTTCACAGTCTTAGACACCTTCTTATGATCCTGCCCTTATGGTTGGGTTGATTAAGGAAAATTAGGAAATTAAAGCAAAAATTGCTTAGAAAGAAAAGGAGCTGTAATTACTAAATGAAGAAATTGCATTGTTTGAATAAAAATCATGATATATATTAAAATATTTAATGGCTGAATAGGTTTAGATGTTATAAAGTAAGATTGAAGAAGAGTCCAAACATCTTTAGACTTTACAAAGAGAAATGTAAAAGTATGTTGAAGGTATTCACTTCTACTCTAATTGAAGGCAGACAAAAACTCATAGAGTAATCTCATGAAAATGAAATGGTCAAAAAAGAACTTGATCTACTTGAACCAGAAGCAAAAGTATACAAACTTATTGCTAGTGTTTTGGTAATCAATAGTTGCATTAACTTTTAAAGGTTTCATAAACTCTCCAAGAGTCTAAAGAGAATGTGAGTAAAAGATTAGATTTTATTGGAAAAGAATTCAAAAAAGTAGAGGACTTAATTAAAGAGAATACAAACAAGCAAATTGCTAAGAAAACATCAATCTAAAAAATGCAAGAATAACTCTATTAAATTGTTTAAGCATATTAACAATCCTTAAATAAATGAGAATGTAAAATTTGTTCTAAATACATATATATAAATTTTAAATAATGGTATATAATATATATAACAAATGTTTAAATAGTCTATATAAACAAAATATATAAAAAATAATTGATTTTCTTTTATTTATAAAAATAAATAACTTCCTTAAGATATATATTTAATAGGATTTAGATTAATAAATTAAATCTATTATAAAATATATCATTTAAAATAACAAAAATAGATGTAATAATATTAATTTTATTAGTAATACTAAATTTTAAATTTATATTTATAAATGCTTTCATTTTTCTTACTAAAAGTTCTTTTTAATAAATTACTTGATCATATCATTCTTAATATCAATTAATATATATTATTTATTTCATTTTTGTAATCTAATATTTTAGTTTTATTACAATAAAAATAAGAAATGATTTAATAATATTATTACTTTATAATAATATCTTAAGAAAATTATTCTGCAGATATAAGTTTATATTATAATTCAATTAGTAATAAGATAATTATATTAATATAATAAAATAACTAAAAAGGAGAAGGTAGTATAATTATTTATTTGAACATATTTTAAATTAATTTAATATATGTCGAAAAGCAATTCAACAAAAGTGGCATTAGTTTGCTTGAAAACATCTCAAAACATTACAAATCAATCATTACTTCAAGTTTTTGGGAAACATGGTAAAATCACAAAGGTGAGATAAAGTTTGAATTAACATAGATTTTGATCTTCGAGTAAGGTCCAATGCAGACAAAAGTTTTTATTGAATATGAAGAGCCTGAATAAGCCTAGGATGCAATCAAGTAGGGATTTTAAGTTGATTTAGCTGTTTAAATAATACTAAAGTGATGAATAATATCATTTGCAATGTTTATCCTTCTAGGCTTAGAGAACTGAAATTAGATAATGTGCCAAATACAAAAGGAATGGATTTGACTTAGAAGTTACCTTTCAGTATGCCATCATTATGGGACTTGAATGTAAATGAAGATGAGTCTGCATAACAAGTATCAGAAGAGAAACTTGTTGATATTAGAATGAAGCTGAGTATGATCGATGAAGAGATAAGCCGTACTATAGAGAACAAATTAGACAATGCTTTAATTAAGCTATATCAACAGACAAAATGTCTAAGAGTTCTAATGGGAGACTATCAATTAGAGGAGATCTTGCATAAAACTAGCAAATATGGAAAAATAGTACACCTCCTGCCACTCCATAATTTAGGTTTACCTGAAGCAGGCATAATAGGAAGTGTACGTGAAGTATGACTCAGATAAAGAGTGTTAATAAGCTTATGAGGAGCTCAAAGACCAAATGATTGTGCAGATCAAGTACAATTTCGAGAGCATCCCTGGTTACGTTATGGTGAACTCAAATTGCTGAAACATCCTCTCTCAATTTATAATTTATTTAATTTAATGTGGCTGCATCCTGAAACTATGATCAAACTTGGTAACGAATTCTTTCAAAAGAAGGAATTTGATTAGGCCATCAATTGGTATCAATAGTCTATAAATAAAAATACACAATTTGTGGAAGGATACTACAATTTGGGGTTGGTATATATGTACCGTAAGAAATTTGATGATGCCATTAATTACTTCAAACAATCCTTAGATTTAAGGCCAAGCTTTCCTGAAGCCTTGTGTAGTATGGGAATTGCATTGTATAACCTCAATTAAGTAATTGTGTCTGATCATATTTTATTAGTATGAAAAAGCTTTGAACTATTTGGATCAAGCTCTTAAACATCGTCAATCATATCCAAATCCTTTAAAGTACAAAGGAGATACTATTAGGAAGATGGGAAATTTATAAGAAGCAGTCAATTAATATAAATAAGCAATATAGTTGAAGGTAACTGTTATCCTTAATATTTCTTTTAGCCTGACTTTTATCAAGCTCATAAAGCACTGGGAGATACTTATAGAAAATTAAAAGAATATAAATTATCTATCTAATCCTATGATAATGCATTAGAATATAATTAAAAATATGCTGAAGTCTTCAAAAAGAAAGCAGATTCTTTAAGAAATCTTGGGATTTTTGAAGAATCATTACAAAATTATACAAAAGCAATAGAGATAAGGCCAAGCTATCCAAAAGCTTATAATGATGCAGGGTTGCTATTTATTTAGAATACTAAGTACAAAGAAGGAGTTGAGTATTTTTAGAAGGCAGTTTAATTGAAACAAGATTATAAAGATGCCTATAATAATTTAGGTGTTTGTTATTATCATCTCTTACAATATTAAGAAGCTATCACATAATTTGATACAGCTCTTCAAATATAAGTAGGTTTTTCGATTCCAATGTTAAACAAGGCATCAACATTATTAAGAATGAAGAAGTATGATGAAGCAAACAAATGTTTTGATTAGGTGATGAAACATTAACCAAAGAATGTTTAGGTTTTATTGGGTAAAGGAATCTCTTTATATGAGACAAAGAAATATGAGCAAGCAGCTTTATTATTAAGTTAGGCTTATGATATTGATAGTAATAATTTTGAAGTAGTCTTCAATTATGGGGTTTGTAATTTTTAATTAAAGAAATATAAAGAAGCTTTGTAATTATTATAGGAGGCTTAATAATTAAGAGATACTTTGGAGGGTCACTTTAATTAAGCAATTTGTTCTTTATATTTAAAAGACTATGAATATTCTAAAAAAGAAATTGAGATGTATGTGATTCATTAGGAAGATGATATGGAGGCTAAATCAGTCTAGGGAATAGTTGAATATTATCTTAATAATCTTAGTTTTGCTTAGGAATGTTTCTAAGAGGTTTTAAAGAGATAAGAGAATTAAGTTGTTCATAATAATCTTGGAGTCATTTTGTTACTTAATTAATAATTTGATGAGGCATTGAAACATTTTAATGCATCTGTATCAGGTAAAGGAGATTATGCTGATGGTTTATATAACAAAGGAGTTGCATTGTGTAATTTAAATTAGTATGAGGATGCCATCAGATAATTTAATAAGGCAATTTAACTTAAACCAAAAAATGAATGCAAATTTGCATTTATAAATAGGGGAATATGTTTAAAAAATCTTAAGAAATTCAATGAAGCTATATAAAATTATGATGAGGCCATTTAACTTAGTTAAGGTACTGATGTAGAAGATATCTATTACTTTAAAGGTAATTGTCTATTGGAATTAAATAAATATGAAGATGCTATTTAATTATATGATTAAGCAATTTAACTTGAAAGTGTTTACAGTTCATCTGCTAATTTCTAAAAGGGTATAGCATACACAAATCTCAAACATTTTGATGATGCCATTCAATCCTATTAACATGCAATTGAATAAAATTCTTAGAATTCTTGGGCATATTTCAATTTAGGAATTACTTATTACAATTTAGAAAATTATGAATAAGCTTTAATACAATTTACAAGATCTTTTGATATATAACCAACTTTTAAGGATGCTGTATTTAATGAGGCTGCTGCTTATATAAAATTAAAAAGATATGCTGAAGCTATTAATAGTTTAGATAAATACAATCAATTAGAAAGCAATGATTATGAGAGTTTCTTTTTAAAAGGTTGTTTATTAAAGTAATTGATGAAGTATGAAGAAGCTTTAGAATGCTTTTCAAAAGCTGTTCAATAAAAACCAAATTTCTTTGAAGGTTAATTCAACAAAGGAGTTGCTTAACTTGAGAGTGGATTGTCCAAAGAAGCTGTAATTACATTTGATGCAGCATTCAAATTAAAGTCTGACTCAGAGAAATCTCTTAATAATAAGGCTGTTTCCTTACTTAATCTAAGCAAACCTGAAGAAGCTATAAAAGAATTAGAAAAGGCTATTAAATTAAGTCCAAACAATCCTACTTTGTTAAATAATAAAGCAGTTACTTTAATTGATCTAAAGAGACAGGATGAAGCATTGATTATACTAGATGAAGTTATTAATATTGATCCAACATTCTTTAAGGCTTATAATAATAAAGGAACAATATATTTCAATCAAAAGAACTTAGCCTAAGCCTAACAATACTTTCAAAAGGCAGTTGAGATCAATCATGAATATGATTCTGCAAGAATTAATTTGAGTATTACATTTTAGGAAATGGGTGAATATCAATTGGCTGTTTAATAATGTGAATTGATTTCTAATTAATAATGGTTAAATAGTAATTCTGAAGCATTGATAGCTTTTGCTACTGCTTTGAGAAATTGTGATCGTTTTGAAGAGGCTAAATAAAAATATGAATTATCATTATAATTGAATCCTCGTCATTCATAAGCATAAAATGGATTGGGAATAGTATATTCAAATATTGGTTAATATGAAGATGCTCTTAAATGCTATGATTAAGCTATCAATTTAAATAATAGATATCCAGAAGCATTAAATAATAAAGGAGTTACACTCTATCTTATGGGAAGATATGATGAATCAGTTTAAATGTTATAATAATCTTTAAAATTGGAAGTTAAAAATGCATAAACTTTAAATAATTTAGGTGCTTCATTATTTTATTTAAAAAGATATGATGAAGCCAACAAGATATTTGATTAAGCTATTCAATAGAATGATCAATTAATGGAAGCATTAGTGAATAAGGCTAATGTATTAATTGCATAAGAAAATTTAACTGAAGCCAACAAATTATTACAAAAGGCTAGTCAAATAAAAGACTCTCCTTATATTCATAATGCTTATGGAATTATTGCTTAAAAGTAAAAGTAAACAGATAAAGCTATTTCATCTTATTAAATGGCTCTTCAAATGTTACCAACCTTCCCTTAATGTTTATCAAATCAAGCTACACTTCTTATTGAAACTGAGTAATATTCATAAGCATTAGATTTACTTAAATAAGCTTTAAAGACTGATTAAAATAATGCTGAAGCTCATAATAATTTAGGTGTATTGTATTACAAATAAAATAAACTTGAATTATCATAAAATGAATATATGGAAGCTATTAAATTGAAAGTTCATAATCCTGAAGCCCATTCAAATTAGGGAGTGATTTTCTGTGCCAAATAGGATTACTCATAAGCATTATAATGTTTTGATGAAGCTATAAAATTGAAGAGTGATTTTGTGAAAGCTTATCATAATAAGGGAACAACTTTGTATGAGAAAGAAAACTTTAAAGAGGCTGTTGAAATTTATGATAAAGCTATTAAGGGTAAGACTTAAGATCCAGAGACTTATTATAATAAAAGTATAGCTTTGTAAGGTTTAGAGTAGTTTGATGATGCTTTAAATGCTTTAGAATAAGCTTATAAATTAGCACCTGAAATGGCATTATTATATGTTGAGAAAGTATTTTTTTCTATTTATTTAAGGGAACTCTGATGTATAGGAAAGGTAAAGTTGATGAAGCAATTAAAAACTATGATATGGCTATTCAATTATAACCTAATTGTGCTGAGGCTTACTACAATAAAGGATGTGCTTTGGAAAATTAAGGAAAGATTGATGAGTCAAACAAAAATTATGAAAAGGCTTTTCAAATTAAACCAACTTTAGTAGAAAAAAAGAAATGATATATATGGAATTATTATTATATTATATTATTAATGTTGTCAGATAAAAATATTTTAATTGTCTAAAGTAAATTATTAAATTGATATAAAATTTATATACATTTAACAATCAGATATAAAGATTTATAAATTTTTATTGAATCAATTAATGTAAATAATATTTAATTATTTTAATATAATAATTAGTTATTGAAGAGTGATTATGATTTTAACAACATGAATTTATTTAATTAATTAATCTAAATAATCATTCTTTTATAATATAAATAATAATTATTTACAAAAAATAGAATCATTTATTAAAATATATCATAAACAATAAAATCCTACTAAAGATTTAAGCCAATGAATATGTGCCCAAAGTCTACTAATATCCATATTCTTTTAATAAGCAATTTCTTAAACTGTATATGGTTTTCCTAAAAATTTAAGAAGTGATTAATAGAATCGAAATAATTAAGTGAATTTCTTTTCTCTTTCTCCTTATTTATCTTTACTCTTTATTAATTCAGCAGCAATTTTATTAATTTCATCTTCTACTTTCTTTGAAGTCAATGTAGGATCTTTTTAATATAAATAAACTTGACATTCACGTATTAATCTAAATCCAATTATATTACAAAATTAACTTTCTATTTTTTCTATTCTATCTTATCTTAATTATTAAGAACTCATTGGACATTTAATAAATGAAACATATTATTTTAATGGAATTTTCTCTGCTAATTTTTTATGAGTTTATGTGCATGCTATAGTAAAATAAGAATCATCTGTTAATTTATTGAGAAGTAAACTCATTTGATTTTAATTGTTCATCATAATATGATTAACATAAACTTGAATTTCAGTCATTGAAAAATAGTATAAATTAGACATTTCTTGAAATGATTTTGTAGGTTACATTTTTTGAATGAAAGTCAAAAATCTTTATGAAATATAGGTATTATCATCTTTTCCAATAAAATTAGCAACCAACAAGGTTTAATATGGTTTAATTACTATGGCTATAGGATTTAACATTAAATCTTATTATGGAGGTGTCATTTATATCTAATTATATATGTATATATAATGATTTATACTTAAAAGAAATTAATCATTTTTCTATTTACAAATGCTTAACAAAATTAATTTAAATTTCTTCTTAATTCACATGAATCCAAATATTTTCTAGCAATATTAGTCACATTATCCCTAACTTAAATAGATTTACATTTCTATTTCTCATATTCTGGAATTTATGCATTAATCTCTTTCTCAAATTAACTTATCTAATGTTATATACTATCTTATTACATTTTGAATGATTAGATTTGACATTCTAGTTAAAGCTTTGGATTCTTTTTCAATTTTTTATAAACATTTCTTTATAAAAGTTAAACAATATGTAGCATATTAAGAATTGTACTAACTTTCCTTCTATATAACCAATACTAAAGTAATTGATACAGGCTCTTTAATAGTTTGAATATAGAATATCAAATCTTCTATCATTAATTCATGACATTATGCTTTTCTTTCTTATGAGAAAAAATCAATGATAAAGTTAGTTGAATAACCAAGAAAATTGCTTTTTTGTATAAGTCCAACTATTCTAAATTGAATATTGATTTACAATATTAAAATTACTAAAAGAATTGTGTAATTTTATCTCTATATGTAACTATGTCAGAATTCTCTCCATCTCTTATATTAAATACTTAATCCAAATTAAATTACTCTTCACTTGCATACAATATTTTACGATCTTCATCTCTTGTCTTAATTATTGCAAAAAGAGATTTCATTACTAATAATAATTTTATATAATGGAATAGAGATGGGAAATGTATATATACTATTTAAATTAAATTGATTAGATTAAGAACTCTGAGTACTAAAATAAAAAAAATACTAAACAAAGCATAAGATCAATTTCAAGAAAGACATTCAAATATTTAACAAGGTTACATAACAGATTTAAGATAATATTGTAGGATAGTAACTGCTTGTGAAGAACAATTGATTCTTAATTTGAGTGATTATAACTTAGAGTTTATTGGTGATCTTATAAAAGTAAATAATAGATTTATAAATAAAACAGACATTATCAGGATTTCATTTATTATTGATCTCAAATCTCTTAANATTGAAAAATAGTATAAATTAGACATTTCTTGAAATGATTTTGTAGGTTACATTTTTTGAATGAAAGTCAAAAATCTTTATGAAATATAGGTATTATCATCTTTTCCAATAAAATTAGCAACCAACAAGGTTTAATATGGTTTAATTACTATGGCTATAGGATTTAACATTAAATCTTATTATGGAGGTGTCATTTATATCTAATTATATATGTATATATAATGATTTATACTTAAAAGAAATTAATCATTTTTCTATTTACAAATGCTTAACAAAATTAATTTAAATTTCTTCTTAATTCACATGAATCCAAATATTTTCTAGCAATATTAGTCACATTATCCCTAACTTAAATAGATTTACATTTCTATTTCTCATATTCTGGAATTTATGCATTAATCTCTTTCTCAAATTAACTTATCTAATGTTATATACTATCTTATTACATTTTGAATGATTAGATTTGACATTCTAGTTAAAGCTTTGGATTCTTTTTCAATTTTTTATAAACATTTCTTTATAAAAGTTAAACAATATGTAGCATATTAAGAATTGTACTAACTTTCCTTCTATATAACCAATACTAAAGTAATTGATACAGGCTCTTTAATAGTTTGAATATAGAATATCAAATCTTCTATCATTAATTCATGACATTATGCTTTTCTTTCTTATGAGAAAAAATCAATGATAAAGTTAGTTGAATAACCAAGAAAATTGCTTTTTTGTATAAGTCCAACTATTCTAAATTGAATATTGATTTACAATATTAAAATTACTAAAAGAATTGTGTAATTTTATCTCTATATGTAACTATGTCAGAATTCTCTCCATCTCTTATATTAAATACTTAATCCAAATTAAATTACTCTTCACTTGCATACAATATTTTACGATCTTCATCTCTTGTCTTAATTATTGCAAAAAGAGATTTCATTACTAATAATAATTTTATATAATGGAATAGAGATGGGAAATGTATATATACTATTTAAATTAAATTGATTAGATTAAGAACTCTGAGTACTAAAATAAAAAAAATACTAAACAAAGCATAAGATCAATTTCAAGAAAGACATTCAAATATTTAACAAGGTTACATAACAGATTTAAGATAATATTGTAGGATAGTAACTGCTTGTGAAGAACAATTGATTCTTAATTTGAGTGATTATAACTTAGAGTTTATTGGTGATCTTATAAAAGTAAATAATAGATTTATAAATAAAACAGACATTATCAGGATTTCATTTATTATTGATCTCAAATCTCTTAAATTGGATTCAATAATTTGAATTATTATTAACACCTCATTAAGGTAATCTACCTTTCGAACATCTTCTTGAATAAAGTAGATAACATAAAAATAGATTCAATAATATTAATGAAAGTGATGCAGCCAAACATATTAATGAATTACATGAATCTATTTAATCTCTTGCTTAAAATAATAAATAGATAATTGATAGTCACAATACTGATATTTAAAATCTAAATTCTGTTGATATTATAGATTCAGTAACTTAATAACTTCGTGATAATATTAGAAGTAATTCAAAATCCAATTCTAAAATGATATTAAAAAAGTTATTATCTAATTAAAAGAATAAAAATATTCTCATTGATCAAGAACAACAAACTGTATTAAATTATTAAGAGGTTGATTACATAGAATAACAAAATTATGAATTAAGAGTACTTATTGATAGAACCATCAAATAGTATGAGGATAAATTAAAATAATCTATAATATAATATAAAGAAACCAAATTGATTCTCAAAGCCTAAAAGATTGAATTAGAACATTAAAGTAATTTAATAGAGGCATAGAATGAATTATTTAAATAATATCAAGAAAAAAAACCATAATAAACTCTTACTCATTTTATACAAGTTCCTACTATTGCTGATAGAAATAAAAGATCATTATTTGATAAACAATAAAAATTTATATTTACAAACATGAAATTAAGATCATCATCTCTACCTAAAATTGATGGAAAAGATGAATCTATTTTAAGAAATTCTTTTACTAAGATTGGTATTTAATTATCTAAGAATTAAATACCAACATAAGATGTTATTGAGAATTTCAAGAAATATTAATAATCACATGAATTTAAAGAAAAAATATTTAAAGTTTGTTAATAAGTTCAAATTAAGATACCAATAGATGAATTATAGAATGAGTCTATTTCTCATGAAAATAGAGTTATGACTTTCTCAAAACTTTGTTAAGTTCTTAAAGAAAAGCATTAATTATGTTTTCCTTAATGTGATCATCTTAACTTTTTAATATGAAATTACAATAAATTAAATCAATTTTATTATTTAAATATTATTTATTCTTTTAAAATTTTTGTATGAAATATAATTATATATACTATTATCTTAATCTAATTTGATTATTGATAAGATAACTATGAATATTGAAAAAATAATGAAATGAAATTATGAAAGATTTATACAATTTTAAATATTAGAAGATTATTTTGGAATAGAAATATTATTGATTTTATTAAAATATTAAAATGTATATAATTTTGAAATTATTTATAAATTTTTGATTATAAAGAGAATGCTTTAAATTAGTAATATAAAAGATCGCTTAAAATGCAAGATAGATTTTAGTGAGAATGAAGAAGAAAAAGGAGAAATTATTAGTATGAGTAGTGTTGATGAGGCTATAAGATTTGAAGATAGGTATGAAACACAAGAATTATTGGGTATATATTGAATATGTAAAAGTTAAGGATAAGGAGCACATGCAATAGTAAAACTAGCTAAAAAAAAGGGAACAAATGATTTATTTGCAGTAAAAATAATGAGAATGAACAATGAAGAGATTTACAATAATGTGAAAAGAACATTTAATAATTCACGTTGTTTAAGACATTAGAATATAATATAAGAATACGAACTCTATATTAATGAAAAATATTAAACTGCCAGTTTAGTAATGGAATATTGTTCATACCCATCATTAGAATAAATCCTAAAAGATAGAGTAACATTAAAAGAGGATGAGGTAAGAAACATTATTAAGTAATTGCTTATGGCAGTATAACATATACATAGTAAAGGAATAAGTCATAGAGATATTAAACCAGATAACATTTTAGTAAATGTAGAAGGTAATTGTGAATTGAAATTACTTGATTTTGGAGTATCAAGAAGATTTCTATAGAAGAATCAACATAATGATATGTTAACTAAGACAGGACATATATATTATTGTGCTCCTGAAATATATCATTAAAGTAATTATTCAAAAGAAATTGATTTATGGAGTATTGGAGTTATAATGTATTAATGTATGACAGGAGAATTACCTTTATAAAATGAAAATATTAGTGATCATATTGATTTATTAGGTAAACCTGATTTGTGGAATTTTAAGAATCGTATAAAATGTGAATCTTTAAGTGCTCAGAATTTAATATCACGTTTATTATAATAGGATCCAAAAAAAAGGATTGGATCTCAAGATGCATTGAATCATCCTTTTATTGAGAAAAATAAGATTTATACTACTTTAGCAATGTTATCATCAACAAAAATGATTGATGATGATGATGATAACATATTTTTAAATAAATGTCAATCTTTATAAACAAGTTTATCTGTTGATTAGAAATAAAGTATTCATAGAGCATTGAAGACTCTTCATTTAGGTTAAGAATATTAATAAATTATTCTTGAAGATTTGATGTAAGAACTTGGAAATATACATATAATTTAAAAGAGAAATAGTGATAAATGTACTGGATTCATTTAATTGGTCAATTCTCTTGGTAATAGTTAAGGAGTAGCAATTAGTAAAGTTGTTGATATTAATACTACTTCATAATGTAATCTTGGTATAGGTTCTACTTAAAGTATAGGTATTATTTATATTCATATATATAATAGTATCATCTGATCATCAAACATAAGATTATTTTTGTGAATTAGGTAATATATAATCAAGTGTTGATTTAGGTAATTCTAATAATGATACTTAAATATATTAAGACAATAAAAAAAATACCTTAGGTTAATTTATTAATTAAATGGGTGCCAAAATTGAATGCAGTATTGATATTAATTTAAATATGGCTGAAAATTAATAAGATACTGGATTAAATAATAAATTTAATTAAATTATATCTACTCTTGATGTCTTAGGCATTAAAGAATGTGATGAAACTGTAGAAGATTAATAATGAAATGTATTATAACTTCATTTTTGTTTATATTATCTATTATACTAATATTATTATTAAATATAACATATCATTTAATTTATATATATTCAATAGAATACTCTCAATTGTTATCTGTAGTTAAAAAATGATATAAAAATAATTTAATAGCAAATGGATTTCAAGACTCGCTTCTAAGGAAGAACTTCAACAATGAATAAAAATGGTGTTCTGGGTATTCTATAGAATACATCTCAACCTATCAAAAAACAATTCGACTCTTAAAATATATAAACAAATACTAATACCAATCTTATTGCACAATCATACTATTTTCAGAAATTTCAAAAAAATGCTGAGACTATTCTATAATAATAAACAGATTATGATATGACTCCATCAACACTTTCAGGATATCCATCTCATAGATTTTTACAAGATCTACAAAAAATCAATTTAGATTAATATTAAATTGTAGCAATACCTAAAAGAACTTATGATGATCCTAAATATATGCTTACACAACCTGTTGCACCAAATTTAAATAATATGATGAATAATCATACATTTTAAAATGATTAGATATCCTCACTGGTCAAAAAAACCATCCCATAAGAGAATTATCTTCCTAAAAAAAAGAACTTGAATCTAAATTAGATTACAAATCCATTTATTTAAGCTGGATATGGAGCTCTAAAATAAAAAAAAATTAAATTTTTGACGGATAGATAGATGAATACATAACTAAAATGATTAAAAATCAAACTTAATAATTATTTATCGCTATAAAGTATTTAATTTTATATCATGAAGATTTTATTTTAGATGATATAAGTATAAAGATTATAGAATCATCTATTATGAAATTATATTACTCAATGAAATTTTGTTACTTAATATATATTTATATCATAAATATAATTTATGTTAAGAAAATAACTTCGATTCTAATTCTGCTCTCTATAAGATCAAATCAGAAAATAATAGAATTCTTATAGCAATATTACTGATAAAATTATATAATATGTTGGTAGAGATTTACATAAAATTCCATCACATCCTCTAGGAATAATTAAAAATAGAATTGAAACATTTTTTCAAAATGATGCAATAACAGAGAAGTAAAGTAAATATCCTTTGAAATACAAAATCATCGATAATCTTTCACCAATAGTATCAGTAAAGTAGGTATTTATATATATATATTTACATAGAATTTTGATTCATTATTAGTGCCTCCTGATCATCCAAGTAGAAAAAAAAGTGATACTTATTATATTAATGAGAATACTTTATTAAGATGTCACACTTCTGCACATTAAGTTGAATTAATAGAAAATAATATTGATGCTTTTGTAGTTATTGGAGATGTTTATAGAAGAGATGAAATAGATGCAACACATTATCCAGTCTTTCATTAAGTAGAAATTGTAAGAATCTTTTAATAAGATTAATTCTCATCTAAATATTTACAACATTAAATATAAGAATCTATGGATGATTTAAAAGAAACTTTAGAAAGATTGACTAAAAATTTATTTGGTGATGTATAAATGAGATGGGTTGAAACTACATTTCCATTTACTAATCCTTCTATGGAATTAGAGATTTATTTTTAAGATAAATGGTTAGAGGTACTTGGATGTGGAGTTATTCATTAAGATTTAATGAAAAACTGTTAAGTATATATTTCTATTTATCCAGAGACTCACTGAAGTTGGATGGGCAGCTGGTTTAGGATTAGAAAGATTAGCACTCCTCTTATTCTAAATCCCAGATATTCGTTTATTTTGGTCTTAAGATCCAAGATTTCTAGAATAATTTAAAGCTGGTCAAATAAATAAATTTTAACCCTTTAGCAAATATCCTAGTTGTTACAAAGATGTTTCTTTTTATGTTGATCATAAAACATGGGAAGAAAATGATTTACATTCAATTATTAGAGATATTGGAGGGGATTTAATTGAAAAAGTTGAATGTGTAGATACATTTTACAATAAAAAAAAAGATCTTACAAGCAAATGTTATAGAATTCATTATAGAAGTTTAGAAAGAACACTTTAAAATGAAGAAATTGATGTCTTATAATTTAAAATAAGAGATTAAATCAAAGATGTTTTAAAATTAGAGTTAAGATGAATTATTTTTTATAAATTATATATATAATATTAATAAAATCTTAATAATCTGAGAGAGTGAGATCTTTAAAGTAAATTAATTTAATAGTATAAAAATAAGTAAATTTATTGATATTTGATTGTCCAATTAAGCTTAAATGAAATAAAAATTATAAGATGTTAAGTAATTTAATTATATTTATACTGTAGTAATGATAATATTCTGAATTCATTTAATTAGGATTAAACAATTCATAAATACTATTAATAGCATTGATCAATATACATTCAATAATACATCTAGTATTACATTTAGTCTCTACTAATAAAGTATAAAATTATAATATCAATAAAATTATTTCATCTATTTAGTAATCATTAAACTTCAGAATTGATACACTGATTTCTCATTTTTTTAAAACTATAAGATTGAAAATTCTTTTTAACTAAAATTAAATTCTTATATATTACCTTATTAATTTCATAAGAACCTTAATATTGTAATTGAGCAATTAATAAAAAAAGGGAAACTTTATTTCAGATTAATTCGGTATTCTTAATTTTTATTAAATCAATATCTAATAAATATTTGAATAATATATATAAAAGATAGATATTATAGTTTTTTCAATAATATCTATATTGAAAAATGAATTCCTAACTTGATGATGGTAGCAAAAATTCTTTATTAAAATAGTATTACATAAAAAGAAATTTACAAAAATTGCCAAAAATTCTCCAAAATCCAATTAAGATGAATGTTTGGAGCCACCATCATTTTTTGAAAGTTTTTTTCTTGATAATTCTGGTTAATCAAGCAAATAGTAGACACCAAATATTTAGGATCAAATCAATCAGGTTTTAAATGAAAATTGTAATCAATGGGCTGATATTTATGAGTAAAGAAAGGCATAGAAAATAATGTACAGCAAAAATAATCTAACAAAAAATAATTAGGAAATTTAATCTGCCACTAAAATTGCATTACTAATTAATTGTGTTATAACATTTTGGAACAATATATTTAAAGCTTTATTGGCAGTTTTATTCCCTCATCTTATTCTCTTAGAAGAGGATGAGAGCATTAATAATTTATCTTAATTTTTATTATTTTATATTCTAACCATTACTTTAACTTATACCTTTTGTTTATGTATACAAATAAAGTAAACAGAGAATTTTTCAAATTTATGCAATTTTAAACTTATTAATGACTTTACAATAAGAAATATATTAATCATAGGATTACTTTTGATTCTTATTTTTTTGAATACATAAATCATTGTAATAATTTTGTCCTTCTATTTTTTTTATGATGGCTATAATCATATTGAAATGTTTTTTAAATTACTCATAATTAAAAAAAGTATAATAATCTAATAAATTTTAGAAAAGTATTTTAACTATCTGGCCATTACAAAGATAATAGTTTATTATCTATATTTAATTCATCTATTTAGTTGTATATTATACTAAAATGATTATTAACTTAGATATAGGGATTCATTATTTATAAATATCAATTTTTTCACTTTTCAAACAAATTATTATGTAACTGAATCAACATCTAATTTAACTATGATATTTAGTTAGATTGTAGGATTAATTATGTTATTTAAAACTATTGATGTTATAATATAGATTAGAATAAATAATATAGAATTATAGAATATACCTAAAATAAATGTGCATATTCTACATTATTATATTTGGCATCACAATGGAAATCTAATTGAAAAGTTTAAGATGGTTACTTAGTTAAATAATAGTCGTTTACTAAAAAAATAAGTAATTATAATAAATAATCTAGATATGTTAAAATATTATGAGAATCATCTTTCAATAAATATTAGAAGATTATTTAGAAATTTCTCATTTTTTTACAAAATAATTTATAATAAACTTATCAGATAAAGTTAAAGTTTTGAGAAAATGTAATGAATTAGATGTTAATGAAAATTGTGGATTGTATTTAATTTTAAGGGGATAAGGATAAATTAGTTATAAAAAGGAAGGATTAAGGTAATATGAATAAAATATGATTGAGAAGGTGTTTGGATTGATTGATTGCTTTTAAAAGAACATATCAGATTTAAAAATAAGTAAATTTATTAATTGAATTTAGAATTTAATAATAATTTCTTAGTTTTGTTTGTAAAAGATGAAGATTTTAAAGCATGTTTAAATTCAAATTAAGATATAGTAAATAACTTATCTATATAATAGGAAACATTCCATATGATATAAAATAAAATATTTTTTGAAGGAGATACATTCTAGGTCAATTATAGATGTCTTATTTGTAGAGGATTTCATTTAATGAGAAAATGTCAAATTTAATAAGATGTTTACAAATTGATTTTAAAAGATTATCATTAATAGAATAATAGAAGGAAAATGTAAAGAAGATTAAAGAGGAGACCATATGCTTATGAAATCTTTGTAGTAAATGTATTATAAATAATTTGAAGAAAAAAAGAAAGTAATTAATAAATATAACTACTCATTCTGAAGTTGAAAGTAGTGAGAGCAGCAGTAATAATGAATAATTTCAGATATATCAAGATGAAGCTACTGAAAGTTTAAAGTTTATTGATAGAAATATGATACTTGGTAATAGTAAAGGAACTATAACTATACCTACAATTTCAAAGGAGTAATAAGGTGATTTCATTTCAGATAAGATATTATTAGATTAATTGAAATCAAGTCGTAAAAAAATCTCCATTTAACCTTCAATACAACCTAGTAGTTAATAATTTGGTGATGGTTTAAGAACAGATTTTAGAAGCTAATAATTATTTCCTTCAGTATTCAAATTTTAAGATATTGTACCTATAGATGACATTGATACAATAAGAGAATATGTATATTTCTATCCAGAATTCAACATTAGCTCTATAATTTCGATGTTACAAAAGTGATACTATATTTTAATTTTAATTACTAATAATAATGTAATAATAAAAGAAATCTCAACCTCCCGCTGTTTTAAATAGAACAAGATCTCTTGGAAAACAATAATAATAAAAGCCATAATAATAATAACAATAATAATAATAATAACAATAACCTAAATAAGGATTTACTTAGCTTCCAAGTTAAAAGTTAACAAGTATTAAAACAGTTGATCCTTTCTCTGATAAATCTAAATAAAAAACGTAGAAATATATTAATAATAAAGAAATTCATTTGCTTATGTTTATAATGCAGGTGGAATACCATGTAGAGTTAATCATGGTTGTAATACTATGAAATTATAATGGAATTAAGGAGTTGAAATTAGTCATTTACCTTATGATCCATTAATGGTAACATGTTTTGAAGGATTGATTGAAGAAGCACATCCATATTGTTTAATTGCTACTCATGCAATAAAAGATATGCTCAATGAATAAGTTTTAAATTTAAATTTTATAATCTTTTAGAATGCTCAAGAAAAAGTCATACCTATTCTAACAAAATTAGTTTGGCCTTTAAGAACTGCCTTATCTAGTTAAAATGATAAAGTTTTTATGTCCTCTTTGGAAATTTTAAAGTAAGTCTTATTATGACTGAATTCAGATTACTCTCCAATACTGTAGGTTCTCATCTTAATACTCATCTTAAAAATCTCCTAGTTCCATTGAGTAAAAGAATGGATAAAAAGAATTAGAAAGAAATTATACAAGATGTTTTAAGATAAATACAAGATAATGGGGTATTGATATTATATCATTATTTAAAAGGGACCAGAAACATTGAAATTAATCAAAGTAGCTATTCCTACTTATACAAATATGTGAGAATTTTATTTAATATATAATTTATATTCAATTATGAAAGCACATGATGGTCTTATATTAATTTAGAAATATACATCAGAAGATGATTGTTTATTTTGTGAGAAATATGGGAGATTACCAATAATAAAGATTAATTTTGCTCCACTATTGAATAGAGTATATAAAATTGTAAAATGATTTACAGGCACTTTATACAAAATATTCATAATCCTCATGGCAAGGTAAAAAATTTGAAGATTTCTTTTCAACTAAGTCAATCTAATGGATTATATAATTTAAAGATAAATTAGTATATGGTGATCGAGATGAATTTTTAAAGAGGTATTTTTTATCAAAATTTCATTTATATAGATATTATCCATATAGAGATCACCAAGGTAAATTTGATCAACTCTTAGAATATTATAAATACCATAAAGATATTCCAAGAATGTTTATACCATAACTCTCAGATTTAGCAATCTATTATTATGAAAAAAAAAAGTATTTTTATATCTGTATCCAATTTTAGACAATTAGAGTATAGGAAAATTAAAATTATGTTAGGTATTCCAATTGAAGATGATAGCAATTGTACAGGTATTTATTTTTAATATATCAAGAATATGAGAAATTAAAGGAAGAAATCAAGGTTCTCAACAGTATTACATAATAATCTGAAGTATCCAGTCTTTCTTTATTAAGAGTCTTGTTAAAATCAAAAGGAAATGAAGAGATTATGGTATTAGATCCTCCAATTATTAGAATATTGATGCTACTTGGATTACTATGGTAAACAATTAATAACTAAAAACTCCATAATAGCCATCCAATTTAAAATTACTAAAATAGTTGATATCCAAAAATACTTAATTTTACAAAGATAAATTGCATACTAAAGCTAATGGATTAAGTAAAAGAACTATTTAAAATTCACCATAATAAAAAGTTCATTTCAAAACACTTTCAAAAGATACTTCATAAAAGTCTTTACCCTCTTCTAACAAAATAATAAATAATAGTAATGGAGATAGTGAATTTAAGAAGTTCTTAAAATAATAAATGGTTGTAATCAATCATTCTAATCCTTGTAATTAAAATAATGTAAAATAATAAGCAAAACCTATATAAATATCTAATTATCAATCAAAATAAAATAGTATTCATTAGATTATGAGTACAAGAAGTATCTCATCTGAATAATTAAAATTAATTTAATCCTAATAAATCCTTAAACCCAATCACTCTAATAAAATTAATTATTAATCTAAACATAAAAAAAGTTAAACTTAAACTCATTATACTGAAATCAATTCTCCAAATAAACACACAAAATAACCATCAAATAATATGCATACAAATATAGGAATTGAATTAAAATAAGCCTTAAGTCATACAAAATCAACAGATAAATTATTTAAAGTGTATACTTCGTAATCATCAATTCCTTTATCTGCAAACATAAATATAAACATTGATTAGTTAAATATGAATAATCTCAATATCAAATCTTCATTTTAACAATACAAGGCTATGCTCGAAAGTCCAAAAATTAATACCAAAAAGAAGACTCAATCGAATGTTGAAACCTAAAGAGTCAACAATAATAGTGGCTAAAAAAGTAATGTTTCTTTAAAAAAATCATAACTCTCAGTTTAATAATTATATGCTTAAAAAATCATATCGAAGAATAGGATTTCTAAAAAATGAACTCTTTAAATTATTTTAATATAATTTATATTATCATAATATCTATAAGTTTATAGTTATATAATAATATAACTAATTTATAAAATTTAATATCATTTATATAAAATAAAGTACATAAAAAAAATTAATCAGATAAATTACTTTTTTATATTAAATTAATAACTAGTGATCTAATTAAATTAAAAATTAGTATAACAAGTCTGACTTATAAAATCGAAAAACTAAGATATTATTATAAATAAAATTATACAATATATCATTAAATATTTTTCTATTTATGGAATTGTTTTGAAATTGATATATCTAAAAATACATATATGATTCAAATTATACTGTTTAGTCAATTAATACAAATTTCTGATTTCTATAGATTCCATTAATTTTAATTATTTTTTGAATTAAAATTCTACAATTATAAAATTTTAGTTAAGATTAGTAATTAATTATATGATGTTTTGTAAAAATTTCATTTAAGATTCTCTATTTTGTAGAATCAATAAAAATTATTATAGATACATTTTATTATATCATTGCTTATTTATAAATAAAATTAAGTTACATTAATAAAATCTTTAAGATTAATGTGAAAATATCATAAATAATACTCTAGATGTATTTCTATACTAAAATTTTCAAGATTTGACACTTTCTATATAATCAATTATCCATTGTTGAATTTAGTTATTTTTTTGAGATTAGATTGGTTGTTTTTTTAGTAGAATTATACAATAATCTTTAAATAATTTATTTATGAATATCATAATACAAATAAATTTATAAAAATTTTAGATATATAAAGATAATAAATAAAAAATGAATTTTAATCCTAATTTAAATATATGGATATTAGATTTATTAAAACATTTAGTAATATTTCATATACTTATTATTACTTAGAATTATAAAGAGTATTTATATTATTTTGTCTTATGTCTTCAGCATTTAATTTTGATTATAATTAAGAATAGTATTTAAAAAAATAAGAGATGATTTAGAATTTACTTATAAAATTATTTATATATATATATAGCAAGAATATAATTAAAAAATGGGATAATCAGGCTCAAAGAAAGAGATTGAAGGCAATATTTTAATCATATTAGAGAGAAAGAACTATTTTTGTGGTGAATTTATAAAAGGAAGTGTTTCCTATTCTGTTTAAGATTCTGAAATAAAAGCTTTCCTTTAACTTATATGTGTGGCTGAGAGATATGTTAAAAAGAAGAGGTTGTATTAAGAAAAGTTGATTGAATAGACTCTAATGTTGAGTTAGCCAAATGAAAAAGGCGTTTTGGAGAAACCCTTTTCAATAATGACTCCATAATTGTAGAGTATGGAATTAAATACATGGAATAAAGATGAATAGATTTATATAAAATATTTTTTAAGAAGTTATCTAAATTTTGAGAATCATAAATTAAAGGATAAGTAAAAGAAAATCAGTGAGGAACAAATATTCATTAAGAGAACTTATCAAAACAAAATAGAAAATATTATAAAATAGTTTTCATATGTTACAAGATCATGGTTTTTAGGTGATGATTAAGTACAATAAATATATTAAATAATTAATAGAGAATTGAGTTCTGGTATGACTTTGAAAATAAAAATTTTAGATCAAATGAAAGATTTAGCTTTTGGTTAGGAGTAGACAATAGACATACAACAATAAATATTGAAAGCATAAAAGCTTATTTAGTTTTTGAAATATTAGAGTTTTAAGTTTATTGGAAATTAATAGAGAGAAGAGTTTTATCATGTTTAGATGAAAGAATAAAGGTTCCTTTTGGAATTTAAAATACTTTCTAAATAAATCTTATAATTCCAAGTAATAGTCCTACTGCAATCTTATCTAAAAAGATAATGATGTTTTATCATGTTGAGATAGAATTTGAATTTGAATATATGGGATGTAGAAGATAATCATACATAGAAAAGATTTTGATAGATGTAGTAAATTGTGAAAATTAATGATATTCATTTCCAAACTGGTTTACTATTAATTATTGATTAAATAATGCTTTCATCATTTTTAATTTATCCAGGAGATGGATATCTCCATCCCTTATTTTTAATAGTAGCAATAAGTTAATTAGCTTTTGGGATTGCATTACCTTTAAATTATGAGAAATCTCAAATACCTTTGACCAATGGAGAATATTATCTATAGGCTAATCCAATAGTTGGTTTTGGCAAATTAGGCATAGGTTATAGTTCAGGCTAACTAGAATAACATAAAGATTTTACGCATAAGCTGATCTTGGTCTTTCACTTAGATCTCTTTTTTATTATTTCATTGATTATGATTTCCCTTATAACTTTTCTTTTTATTCCTAATGTTTTTTTAGACTATCATTTTATTATCTCTTAATTGTTCCACTACTTGGTTTTATAAGAGACATTTAGGCAGAGTCTCTTGAATTTAAACTAGTAATACACTTTTCTTATTCTTCTTTTAAAGTTACATAATTATTAACTGTTACATGATAAACATTTCCATTAATATTATTTTAATTATTTAATTTAACTGTTGGTTTAGTAGTATTCTATTTCATTTTCTTTTGAGATTTTTTAACTAATGTTTAATCTGCCCATGAAATTGTTTTGGGTCTATTTTCATTTAAATATTAATTAAATAATCTTCTATCTAACCAACAAGAGTCAACATTACTTGATTTTGAATTCTAAAAAGTATTACGTAATAATTTTTCATCTTCATCAAGAGGGAGATCAACTTCTTCATGAGGCTACCAAGAACTTGATAATCCTCCTTCACCTTTCTTACTCAATTTAGATTCTAATTGTGTTAATTAGTGATAAAATCTAGCCCTTATCTCTAAATCAGGTCTTCTAGTATTTAAGAACTCTAAAGTTTTATATAGTTTCCATTTATATTTTTTCATAAAAAATGCTGCTAATGCACAACATGATCTTGATTAACCTCTAACTGAATGTACTAACACAGATTCACCATTTAAATGTGCTTATTCTATAAATTGATATATTTCATTCACATTTTCATTTTGGAATAACACTTGCTGATTCAATAAAATTTATATATACCTGCTCATTCTCTTACCAATTAAATTTTAGATATGATATTCCATAGTTTTCGAATACACAAGGCAATTATTTAGCAGCTCAATTAATTATATGACTTACTTTATTTTATATGACAAATTCAAGATCCTTTAATAATTAATTAAATAAAAGTACTTTAGATGCAAATTCATCACCAATAAAAAGTCCATCCTTAATTTTAATTGCTCCTATAATCATTTAATTTATTATAAATTATTTGAAATTTGAATGATGGAAAAAATGCCTAAATTACATGAAATTCACAAAGAATTACAATATTATACTCGATATTTTTCAGAAAACAAACTCTAGTAAATGGACAGGTGAATTACTTTTAGGTTTAACATAAGAAGAAGATTTATAATAATCTAATTTTGCTATGTAATTCATTCAAAACAACACAGATTATAAATATTAATTTTTAAGAGAATTTGTACCTGAAAATAATGATATTATTTGTGTTGCAAGAAATTTATTTGATTTAAGAGAGTTTAAAAAATGTGCTTCATTATTATAGAGTTTAATACATAAAAATGAATCAGCAATGTTTTTATATTATTATTCTTAATACATGTATGGAGAGTTACGTAAAGAGGAAGAAATGTTTGAAAATGAGAATTCTAAGACAGCCATCAATCCAGAATTAAAATTATTAGATAAAGAATTATCAAAATTATATGAACAAAAATAATTATCTTAGGTATAGCTCAAAAGTTTTAGTTTAGTTAAATCTTTATCTTTATGGATTAATTCTTAAAGATACATTAAGACTTCGTGAAGCCAGAGAGGTTTTCATATAGGTTTTAAATTAATTGCCATGTTTTTGGAGTGTTTGGTTAGAATTATGCAAATTATTGACTGAAGAAGATTCAATTAATGAATTACCTAATCATTGGATGAAATATTTTTGGATTTCTAATTTTAATTTAGAAAAATTTAAGAATGCTAATTGTGTTGAATCCTTTTAATTATTACTTTATTATTTTAGAAACTCTAATTTCATTATTAATTAAATTGCAAATGCTTATTATAATAATTAAGAATTTGAATTATCATTAGAATGGTTTGAAAGACTATTAAGTATTGATCCATATAGATATGAGAGTTTAGATACATATTCAAATATTTTGTATATTAAAGAAAATTAAGGAGAATTGGCAAATCTTGCATTATAATCTTTTACTAATAATAAATATGTACCTGAAACTTGTTGTGTAGTTGGAAATTATTATTCATTAATGAATGAACATGCAAAAGCTATAAGTTATTTTTAAAGAGCTTTAAAATTAGATAAAGATTGTTTAGCTGCATGGACACTTATGGGTCATGAGTATTTAGAAATGAAGAATGTTGCTTCAGCTATATAATCATATAGAAATGCTGTTGAAATTGATCCAAAAGATTTTAGAGCTTGGTATGGATTAGGTTAGACATATGCTTTATAAGGAATGAATTAATATGCTCTATATTATTTTAGTAGAGCTGTGATTAGTAGACCTAAAGATTCTAGAATGTGGAATGCTATGGCAGAATGTTATGATAAAATGGATAAAAAGAATGAATCTATGAAATGTTATGAAAGAGCTAATTCATGTAAAGATAAAGAAGGAATTGCTATACATCAATTAGCAAAATTATATGATGCAATTGTAATATGATAATATCTTAATGAAAGGGTAAAGAGGATAAGGCTTAATAAGCATTTGAAGAAAGTTTGAAAAGAAAAGATGAAGAATAAGTAGTTGATAAAGAAGTATCTGAAGTTTTATTGTATTTGGCAAAGATATTCTTAAAGAAAAACGACAAAGAAAGAGCTATGTAAATGGCAAAACGACTTTATGATTTTAATGGACCTGAAAGGGATGAAGCAAATTTGATTATGAGTTAATTGAATAAATGATAAATTTTGTGTATATGTTTTAAATATTCACTTTATATTATTTAGATTTATAGAGTAATTTAATTTTACTTATTATCTAAGAATTATTAATGTTTAACAAGATTCAAAATATATAAAATCTATTCCTTTTTTGGAGATATATGAAAAAAAATTTAAATACAATTATTATAATAATTATTATTATATGATAAATTCAACAACTTCAAGAATCCGTGATGACAATGAAGATTAAAATCATCGTCTTAAAATTCTTGAAATTAATGCTCATTAATTCTATACTTAATTAAAAGTAACTCATTTAATTATATATCCAAGCCATTATTTGCTGAAAATACTCAATTAAAACAGAATCTTATCGAACTTAATGTTTACATAGAGGAAAGAAAAATGCACCTTTGTAAATATTTATCAGATGTTGGACCCAATGGAGAAGATTTGATTCTTATTAAGGCAGTAGGTGATTTACAATAGATTTGTGATTTAATAGGAGGTATAAAATAATAATAGTATATAGATGAGATTAAAAGACTTAGATCATAAATTGTCACTTAAATTGAAGTTTAGTAATCTAATGAAAAATGTCTCAAAGAAGTTAGATCAGATTTATAAAGGGAAACTGAACGATTCTTAAATGAAAAATAACTCCTTATTAATTAAAATACAATATCTCAATAAGCTCATAAATAAATTATAGAGAATCTTAAATCTAAAATTGATATACTTGTAAATTTAAATTAGTTATATAGTTAATGAAAAATGAAGATCTTTAATCAACATTAATTAGATAATCAGAAGTAGAGAATAAATTGAGAATTAAATATAGATTTTAATTGGAAGATGAGATAAAAACATTGACAAATTAATTAAATAATATTAAAATAGCAAAACAAGAAGAGGCAGAAAAATATGATTAAGAAAGAAGAATTTATTTAAAATAATTAGAATAATTTAGTGGGAAAATGAAATAAGTAAAATAAGATATTATTGATGAATATGAATATAAAATGGCAACTTAAAAAGTTAAATTTGAAAATTAACTTAAAGTAACAAAATAAGAAATATCTGATTTAAAATATGTAAATACATAATATCTTGATAAATAAAAATTATGGTAACTTCAATAAGAAGTACTGATTGATCAAAAGTATAAATTAGAATTATAAAATAATGATTTAAAAAGTGTTATTTCTATTTTAGAAGAAAAATTAATTATTTAAGAAGAATTAAGCATTTAAGCTTAAAATGAAATTAATCAATAAAAGTATTTATTAATATTTATTAGATCTGCTATAAGTGTTCTTAAATAATCTACTAATCCAAAGAAGAAAAGTATGACAGGTACTTAAATTTATTCATAATCTCCATAAAAATAATAATCTAAATCATAAACTCCTGTTTTAGAATCAAGACCTTAATCACATTAACTTTGGTAAAAAGCAGCAAATGCTGTTAAAAAGTAATCTAAAGATAATTCAAAAATGACTGATTCTTAAAAATTAACTAATAATAATTAATAATAAGAATAACATTAAAGAATAATTTTAGAAAAAAAAACTAGTTTTTCAAATGATTAAACAAATTTAAATATTAATTCAAATAATGAAGATGTTAATTAAACTATTTAAATAAGAAAGTTGGGTTCAATATAAGAAATATAATTTGAACATTTTTCATCTGCAACATTATCTTAACGTGGTGATTAAAATTAAAAATTTGTTTAAATAGCTACATAAACAGAAGAATAGATTAATAATAATTAAGTTCCATCTTCTAGAGGTAGGATTTCATCTATACGAAAGACTAGATAATAATTTGTCTAATAATATTAATTTAATCATGCTGAAACATAATATGAATGTGAATTAAATGATAATGATTATTTCAATTTTAAATTAGAATTACTTGTTTCATAATTATAAAATAAAATTTAAAGTACATAAGCTATGTGTGATTTAAAATTAGAATAAAAAAATTAAGATATTGAAGAATTATAAAAATAATTATAATCTTAAAAAGTTAATTTTGATTCTCAATATAAATAAATAGAAATTGAAATGAATTTATTACATAATGAAGAATTGGAATAAAAGAATATAACAATTAAAAATTTAAAAGATATTTTTGATTAAAATAATGATAAAATTAAATAATTAGAAGAAACAATTAAATTATTTGAAATTAATTAAGAAAATATTCATTAAAAATATGAAGATATTCTTAATAAAAAGGATTAAGAAATAAAGGATATTGAAAATAAAATGTAAGAAAATAAATTGATGGCTTAATAAGAATAATATAGATTATTATAAATTAATTAAAGTTAAAGAGAATAATTTTAATTAGAATTATAAAATCTTTAAAATTAACATACATTAGATGAATAAAAAATATAATAAGAATAAGTCAAATATTTAGAAGAAAAGATAACAATAGAAAAAACAAGATAAGATAATTAATAAATGCTTGAATAAATTAAAAAAAAAGAATTTATTTTAGAAAATTATAAATCTGAACTTATTAAAACAAATGAAGTAGTCAAATATCTTTAATTAGAACTTGAAAATTATAAAAAATTGAATAATATCTTTAAATAAAAAGATGAAAGTGGTTCTTAATTTATTACTCATGGATTTTTATCTTAAGAAGCATAAGAAAGAATTAAATAAAGATTATAAAAGTCAAAAATATCAAAAGATAATCCAAAATTTGGATTTTAAACAAAAGATGTTTATAGTATGAATTTTTAAATTTAAAGAAAAGAAAGAATGAAACATGCTAAATTAGGAACTTTGAATACAAGTTTTGATGATAAAAGTATCTATTCGTAATTTATTAAAATATATATATTTAGTACTTAAAAAAATGTTTTCAGATTTAAATTAATGGATGATGATAGTTAAGGAATATTATAAATAAATTCAAGAAGAATGTAATCATAAGATGAAAAAAGCAATAGTGAGATTAAGAAAAAATAAAAATAATATAAATAAAATCAAAGAGCAAGTTTATAATTTATTTATTCTTAATAGAAACTTAAATAGGTGATTATTCAGAATCAAAATTACTTATTTAAGATATTTTTGAAAAGGAGATAACTGTACTTAATAGAAGTAATTAGCTTTTAAGCCAATTAAATGATTAACAAACTAAGTTTAAGAGTGTTCATAGCACGTACAACTCTACAAAAAAGAAATTTATCTAAAATCGTTGAAGTAGTATTATAAACAATTCTCACATTAGTAGGATCTCATTCTTCATAACAACATAAACACCACCATGGTTTTTGATCTGTTTCTTTATTTTTTTTTAAAGGATCCTGTTCTTAACAAATTATTTTCTCATCAAAATTTTCTGTATTCTATATATTGTTATATTATGGATTTATTTTTTCTTCTTCACTTCTTGGTGATATTGGTGATTTACATGATAAGGGATCACTTAAAGATGAAACCATTAAGGAATTCAACATTATTTAAGTTTGTTTCAAAGCAAAAGATTTAGTCTCTAATTGACGTAATTTTTAATGTTCATCATAAGCTAAGAAAATTAGATTTTAATATACGCGGAAGTTCTTCATCTGGTCTTTCATCTTCATCCATTTCATAAAGTTCATATATATTGAAATCATTTAAAAAGAAAAATAATTCCATTTCTGCTCTCTTAAAAGTTTAATTGAATTCTCCTATAACCATTTATAAAAATTCTCTGACAGTAATATCAGATGTTACTCTAATAGTTACAATAATTTTTCTATGCAAATTATCTATCCAAGTAACTCTATATGGTATTGAATAGTTTCCTTTTTATTCTTATGTATCAACCTTGCATATAGGATTATTGTTTGCTTTTGATTTCTCTTTAGTACTGATTGGAGCATTATCATCATATACCATTTAAATGTCTTCTGTATAATAAAAACTCATCAAATGTCAGATATAAATTATAATGATTATTATCCAAATTTTGTAATATAGCACTTAGATTTACATAATTATTTATTAAGGAGTTCTAATAATATTTAATAAACCCAATAAAATTTTGAGCAATATTTTATTATAAAATATATATATCTAATTAAAAAAATAATACTTAGACTCAATAATTGTTTGTTATATATATTCTTAAATGACTAAGTAATTTTATTTAATTTAATTTTTTATGTATAATAATTCAAGAGATCCTCCTAATCAAATTCTTCTTTTAATTCTAAATTCATTGCCTTCATCTTTTCCTTTGAACAATTAATTCTTACATGAAAAATTCAATTAGTATGGAGATATTAATAAGATTCTTATTTTTGAAAGAGGAAAAACAACCAAAGCTTTTGTTGAATTTCATCAATTGAAAAGTGCAATTTAAGCTAGAAGATAATTAAATGGATCCAATATTTAAGGAGGAAAGTAATTACTCTCTTTTTTATAGTTTTAGAATGATAATTCATTTTTCTAGGCTTAAAAATCTTAATCTCGAAATTGTCGATAACTCAAGAGGAACAGATTATACATAAGCTAGTAGTAATAGTTAGAATTCGGATTCTATACTAAACTCAAGAACAGATGAAAATATTTAACTTGATTTAACAAATCATATTAGTTAAACTTAATCACCAAGAGCTAATTCCAGTCCAATTAGAAATGAATAAATTAATCGTCTATTAGAATCAGATGATGAAGATGATTTAACAATCTGGAAATAAGCTATCCCTTAGAATATCTTAGAATTTCATCCAGAAATATAAAAATTACTTCAACAGAGATAATCAAGATTATTAAGAATCATAAATTTTGATTCTAAAATCACTGGAAAAATGATCTATAATGTCTTTTCTAAATTTGGTAATTTAGAAGAAATCCTATATTAAAAGTCATTATCCAGAGCCTTCATTAAATATTAAACAGTAAATTAGGCAATTATTGCAAAAGAATATCTCAATAATATTTAATTTTTTGATTCATAAGTAAGTATTTTAACCTTCTAATACTTTAGATACGTATTTATTTTGAACCTCTCTAATCCCTTTAACCAACTTCTTTTTAGGACGAGTATATGATCTATTATCATGACACTTAATAATTTAACACTAGTCCCCTCTCCTCAAATCTCTTGATCACATGTGTTTAAGATCCTTCTGAAATCTCTGAACAAATCTAAATGTTTGCAAAAGCTAAAGGTATTTTATATTATTTAATTTTAATAGAAATTAAATTAGGAGTAAATAGTATTCATTTGACAATGTATTCTAATGCAGATGCACTAAAAATTATAGCTGTATTTTCAGATTATGAATTCTAAAATGAGAAAATGAATATCATTCTCAAATAATAATGATATCTTAATTATTATCATAAAATAAACAAATAAACCAAAAAATATAATATTAAATTATCACTATTATGATTTTCTATATATCATAAACTCTATTATTAATTTTGCATATTTTAATATTCTTCTTATTTTGTAAATAATTTCGAACTAATTTTTTTCTAAAAGTTCTATTTTAAGAATTTAAAGTTTTTTTATATTTAAGTTCAAAATAAAAAATATTATCATCATAAACTAAATATCTTTCTTCTTAAAATTATTATTTAAAAAGAATATTAATGTTCTGCTATAATATTATTTATTTTTTATTTTTATAGCAAATCCATCTCTTATATACATTAATTTTCAGTCAAAATATATTATAAAGGTTTAATAAATTTTTGCAAAATAATATTTAAAATATATATTCTATTTGCTTTTCTTAAATTGATATATAAAATATAGATAATAGAATAGATAAACTTTAAAAAGTCTTTAATGTTTAAGGATATTAATTTTAATATTGTATTTATTTTTAATGTAAAAATTTTAATTTTTTGGTAATTAAATGAATTATATTTGTATCCTTTTGTATATAAATATAAGAAATAAAAATAAAAATATATGTATTAAATACTTTTGAAGAAAAAATAATAGAAGCTTTTTTGGATTTATAAATGAAAAATTTTTTTTTGGGCTTGTTTTAACTTAACAACTTAGAGAATAAATTAATGAATCATAAATGATTAGTTATTAATAATATTTGATTAGAGTGATAAAAAAGATAATTATTCCTTATTTTTAGTTAATTGATCAAATAATATGTTGATAGAATAGTAATATAATGAATTGATTAAATTGAAATCAGTTTTTACTACTTTTTAAAAATTATGATCATTTACATTGAATATGAAATTATAGTTTAAGCTATTAAAATTATTAAAGGAGACATATATATGATGAAAATATTTATAACTTTACTAAATATAACACTAAAACGTGATACATTAAAAAATATTTAAATATTAAATGAAATTTTACATAATGTTTATAATATTGAAAAAGTAGTACAAAATGATTCAATATTAAATATACATCTCTGGAGATACATATGATGTATTAGTTAAAATGCTTTTATTTTGTTTAATGGGAGGGATTTAATTATTAAATATTAAAATTTTAAAGATGAGTTCAGCATTATTAAAAATTTAGAGTAATTTGATCAAGAATTATGAGATGTATAAAGAGTTCACTATAAAATAAATTAATCAAATTTAAGGAATTCATATATAGTTTAAGTAAAAAATAGAATTATGTGAAAAATAAGTAGTATCTGTTAATTTTCTGAATTTGATTAAATCTATTACTTTAATATAAGATATGCCTGATTAAAAATAGTATTAGGCATAATTATTATTGAATTTACTAGTTATACTGGTTAAGATGTAGTAATAATGATAGCAAAACTTAAATTTTATAAATAGAATGGAATTTTAAGTAAAGTTATAAACTAATAAAATTTAAAACTTAATGAATACTTGTAAATAGACAAAACTGATCGAAATTTATTTAAAGATTAAAAAAATCACCATTATCCAAAAAAATGAGAGAATAGATAAAAAGTATTTTTATTAATTATAATTTAGATGTAAAGTTTTTCAAAAGAACAGCAATAAAGTTAGAATCAAACTATTTTTGTGAAGCTTATTAGAAATATTATTTGATAAAAGTAATAGTATAAACTTTTAAATCAATAGTATATTAAATAATTTTAATATGAAAATTTAAATATATAGAAAAATAATAGTGTGAAATTGAAATGAATTATTAATTAAAAAATGTGCAAATATTATATTATATCAATATATATATATATATAATTATGATCTGTTAAGTCATTTTAGATAAAATAAGAATTTAATAATTATCAACATAAATAGAGAAATTCCTGATTTAATTAAAACTGACTTAATGGTTTATGATTCTAATATTTTATAAAATGATTTTATGCAATACATAAAGAGTAAGCAATAGCAAATTTTAATTAGTATTTCATAAGCATAAATTCCAATAAGCATAGATATCATAAATAGTATATAAAGTAACATCAAATAAGTAACCATCAAAGGTTTACTGACTTTAATATATGAATAAGATTACTGAATAGCATCCAATCACTAAATAAAATAATTTCTAATAAAGATGATAAGGCTATAATAAGAATTGCAATTTTAAAACTCTCTTAAACACCAACAAGGTAACCAAAACTTAATTTTTAAATTGAAATTTCAATTAAGATTGAATTTATTTTTGTATTAATTTGATTATCAATTTTATTTTATGTAATTTGTGTATGTTATGTGAGTTATAAGTCTTTTATAGTTTGAGTTCTGGCAGGTTTAAATTAAGGCAGTTCACTATCCTAATCAGAAACTCTACCTAAATGTCTAGCTTTAGCTAATTATTTATTGCTATATTCAGAAACACAAATTTTATTTTATTTGCTATCTATTGTCTAATATAATATAATAAATTACAAACTATAATTTATTTATTAAATCTATTTAGTTTGATTTACTATTACTATTTTTAACTTCATCACTGTGTTTTATTTAATCAATTTGATTTTAATTTCTGTAAAAACTTTCAATCTATTAAATTTCTTCATTTTTTTCAGTAACATATTCTGAAATAGCTTTAGGTTATAATATTAGAGGAGGAGGTGAGAACGTATTATTGCTTAGAGCAATTTATGTTAATTATGTTTCTTCATAATCTTTTTGGTATATTTCTTAAAGTTCTTTAGCAATAAATAATAATGGAATCAAGAATAAAATTTTATATTGTATTAGGAATTCATTATTTAAATATGCTGAAATTGATTCTCTTTAATAATTAGGTAATTGATCAATTTGTCTAATAAGTTTCGAATAATTATGATCCTTTAAGTATCTATTATGTTGTAATTCAATTGCATTAATAAAAAACAAAGGGATAATAAATACGAAAGCAGAATGAAATAGAAATCTTCTAATAAAGTTGATAAGCTATTCAGTAAATCTTTCATATTTCATAATCCTTGCGTTATAAATAAAATACGTAATCCAAGTAAATGCCAAACCTACTATAAAGTTTATAATATAAATCATTTTATATAATGAATATTCAAATTTACTCAAACAAAAATGACAAAAGAATCTATTTTGAAAAACATTTGAAATTATATAGATATATAGATAATTCATTCAAATAATCAAAATGGAATTTAAAATGTGATTCAAATTAAATTGTTTTTCAATTTATTGATTATGCTATTGTTTATCAAAATATTGAAGATAAAAAGACAATTAATTCGAATGAACAATATTATCAAGTTCTAATTAATAAAAACACACATTATCATTATAATTTCTTAATTTTAATTTAACAGAATTAAGTTACTTGACATTATAGTTTTATCTCGAAAAGAAATTTACAATTTTTTTGTGTTAATATTAATAAATGAAAATCATTCTACAAATAATGAGATTATTATGAATTTATTCACATGATATAATATGATATAATTTTAAATAATGTTATTAGATAATCTAATTAGAATATAGTAAACTTTAACATTATCATCTAAAATAAAAAATATATGATATTATTTTGGATTAATTTTAAATATTAAAAATAATTGCTGTGACTTACATTTTAAGTTTAGCTAATTTATTCAAATAGAAATATATTATTATAATGTATTAATATTCATTAATTCTTATTTTAATAATATAATCAATATTTTTGATTGTTTAAGTATTTTTAATAATGATTATTCATTTATTTATAAAGAAATATTAAAAATAACAGTTTTATTTAATTAGTTAATTTTAATATTAACATGCTTTAAGACTAAGACGAATGTAAAAATTATCAAAATTTTTATAGTCTCTGATGTTACTGCAGATGAGCAAAACAACACTAAGACATTCGTATATCAAATAGAAAAGATGAGGTTGCTACTATAAGTACCTATAGAAAGAAGAAACTAATAAATATGTTAAGATATTGCATAAATTGCTGGAGTAATATTTTTTATGATATTGAAAAGGAAATTTAATTTTTGAAGTAATACAAAGATAAGCCAAATTTCTTAGACTTGTGTAAACACTTATTTCTTAAGACTTATAATAAAAGAGAATATATATTTTAATAAGGTGAAACAGGTGATGCATTTTTTGTGATTCTAAGCGGGAGTGTAAAAGTTTTCATAGAAGAGCCTACAGAATTTAGAAATTTCATGTAATTAGTAAGATTTAATTATTTATGTAGAAAGAAATCGCTGTTTTACATAAAGGTGATGCTTTTGGAGAAATATCATTACTTTATAATTCCAAAAGAACAGCTGCAGTTATGGCAGCAGAAAAAAGTGATTTAATTGTCTTGACTAAAGAGATATTTGATGAATATCTAAATAAAGATCATAAATAGGAGATGTAGACAGCTAATTTAAATAAATTATTATCTTTTTTAGAAAGAGTTCCAATCTTTTAAATGATTTAAAAATCTATACTAGTTTAAATCTCCACAAAATGTACAATAGAACATTTTCCTTCTTAAACAATATTAATAAAGTAAGGTACTGAACCTCAAAACATGTATATTATTAAGTAAGGTTGTGTTTAAGTAATAAGAAAGACAAAATTCTAATGTGGTAGTATAACATCAAGAGATGAAATAATAAAATAATCTAAGGATCTCTTTTATGATATTGATGAATTAGGTGATTATGAAGTTTTTGGTGATTATGCAATATTAAATGAGATTGAATCTGATGTTTCTTATATAACATCTATTCCAAGTGAAATTATTACAATAAGTGCATTTAATGTTAGAAAGATATTGACTATGGATATCATTTAAATTTATAAATAATAATTAAAACGATATCCTGATGATTTTGATATTCAATATTTACATGAGGAAAAAAAGAGATGGAATTAATATAGAAGAAAACTTGTTAGAAACATAGATATAGATAAACAAAATAAAAAAGGTTTTAATCATCGTCTTAGATTACCTGAACTTAAAACTAAGGAATTATCTCCTCCAATAAATATAATGGATATCAAAACTAGTGATAGCAAGATATATTTTAAATTTTTAGAAGAGAGAGTTAGTCCTGTTGCAGATAGCAAAAAGAAAATATCATAATTAACTTAGGTTGGATTTAATAATTAAATAATTAAAGATCTTGAACTTTCATAAGCACAATAAACCTTCTAGAGAAAACTTAAAAAATTATAATATAAAAAATATTGAATTATCATTGTTTTTTTAACATAATTTTGAATATTTATTTTTTTATTCTATATTAATTACTGAATTCTATTTATTATTAAATAAGCTTTTTATGATGATTTTATTTGTTATGTTCCTTCCATTTCTACAAAATTCTTTTGCAAAATTTAACTAAATGTACTTGCATCATTTTCTCATTCATATCTCTTTTTTTTATTCTATAATTATAATATAATTTTAATTGTGAAAACAATTATTTTTATAATGATTTACGTCTAAATAATTCTGCAAATTCTAATGAGTATCTTTTATATTTATGCTTTTATGTATAATTTTATAAATAGTAGAATATTTATTTCATTTTTTTTTAACTAAGACTATTTTCTATATCTTTATATTTTTAAACTAAATCTTTAGTATCCTTTAATGTGAATATTGTTAATTTCAATAGATTATCTTTTCTAATTTTTTGTAAATATCGTTTATTTTATTATTATCCCTTATATTTTAATAAAATACAAAAAGATTTTTGCATAAGCATTTTCCATCTCCCTAAATAAGCCAATTTTTTTTATCTTCTATAAATCATATGCTTCTCAGTTTATATTTTTAAAAAAGAAAATAATTCATAAATAAGTGAAAGATTTCTCTTCTTGATAAATTCTTTAATTTCTTTTCTTTAATTGATTTTATATTATACATATTAGAACCAAAATTAAAAAATGTTCTAAAGTCTTTATTTTTATTTGTTTATTGCATATTATTCTAAATATTTTTCTGTTTAATGTAATTTGGATTTCATAATATTAAAGTATTTTAAATATAATTTCATTTATTATTGATGAATCAATTCTTGATAAGCTATCACATCATTTTATGTTCTATTAATATACTTACGCCAACATTTATAATATCTTTTTTTTGTGTTCTTTATATATAATTATTAAGCATCATATTTATTTATTTATTTCTGTTGTAAATTTAAAACAACTTAACTCCAAGCTTTCATTAATGTACTTTTAAGTCTTTTCTCTCTTTTGGTTTAGAATCTAAAAAGTAAAACTTATCTTATTTGAATCTAATCAATATATGCATGCCATTCCTTAAAGAGCATTTTCAACCATTTAATTCTTTTTGTTTCTACAAAACTTGCTACTTGATATACATTATAAGTCTTTGCAGTTTGTAATCTCCAGGCTTAAAATAGTTTTTGTAACCATTCCCTTTATTTTTCAACATATTCAATTATTTCAGATGTTTTTAAAGAGTCTATTAATTCATTTAGTTAGGATTCAGCTTCACTATCTATAGAGTTTTCCTTCAATTTACATGCCTATTGATAGAGATCCCTCTTTATCGAGTTAGATAAAGATTTTGAATTCGAATTCATTTAATTGATTAATATTAATTAAGAAAAG